TTCTCATTTTATTATTTTAGTTGGTCCAAATTAAAATTTATTATTTTTTTAAATAAAAATAATTTTCAACCAAATAACAAAATATTTTTACTTTTTTTTTTTTATGTTACTTTTACTTTAATGCGGAAGATAAAATAATATTGCACTATTGTATTACATTATATATCTGTCTAATACTAATTTACTTTTATTTGCATGAAAAGCAAAAAAAAAAAACAAATGAAAAATTTATCCATTGATGAAAATAATATTTTTTAAAAAATACATTTTTTTTTTTTTTTATCAATTAAATAATTACTTCTAATAATTAGGCATTGCAATACTATAATTAATCTGTTTGTTCAAATAAAATATTGAATGTTTTATTGAGTTAAAAATATTATAATTTCAACGACTACTTAAGTTAACCAAACAGTATAGTCTGGTGCACATGATAACGCTGGTTTTCAGCATAATTAAAAATGCATTTAAATTCACAAAATAAATATTCAGTCATGTTTAATTTATGCTTATATATATCTTTCAAATATTTCATTTGATATACATATTAATGTTGTTTTTTTTCTATAAAAAAATAAAAATAAAATTGAATGCACATTAAAAATATACGAATTAGTTTCAACTACTTTGAGATGACATTATTGTTGGCCCCCTTTATTTTATTTTATTTTTCATTTATCTTTTCTTTCTCATGTGTATAGTATAGTATATACACGAAAGATGCTTTATATATAAACCATTAATTTGCAGAGTGTGACGTGTAAAATAATTTTTATATATTTATTTATTTATTGTGTGGTTAATGATTGGATAAAATAAATTGAAGAATAGTTTATAGGAGTGGCCACTTTTGGTGGATGGAATCTATCAGTAATCTAATAATGCCTTAAATTATTGTAGCTTTAGCCCACCAAATGTACCTCAAATTATTTATTTATTTATTCTTCATATGGTCCCTGTTTCGATTTATATATTTATTTATTTATTTATTTATACTAGGTTACATTTTAGTACTTGATTTGTTTCAATATATATATATATATATATATAGATGGACTATAAAATGAGTAAGAACAAATATTTTATTTTCGACTTTAATTTGTTTCAAATTTTATTTCGATAATGTTATTCAAAAGAATTACAACAACTTTTTTTTTTTTTTTTTCCAACTTTTTACCGGTTTATATAAATATGTACTAGAAATTATATATACATAAATAGGATATTTCAATATTAGATAGAAGCAATTTAATTGAAATATCTTATTTATGTATATATGCATATAAATATATTTGCATATTATGCTACTCCCTCCGTCCCAGATACCGTGTCTGCTACACTGTAGACACGGTGTTTTAGAAGGAGTGTAATTAGTAGATAATTAAGAATGTCTTAGTAAAAATAATTATTCTATAATATAAATAATTATAAATTAGGATTAAAATAACTAATTAGTTTAATTAAAATTTTAAAAAAAATTAAAAATTTAAAATGAGATTAAAATGTGTAATCATTTTTCAGAAAATGAAAGTGACATGGTATGTGGGATGGACAGAAACGGCAACGTGGACATGGTATCTGGGACGGAGGGAGTATTATTTTGTGGATGATGATCACTACATATTATTGCCAATTTTAAGAAAGACTGAAATAGGCAATTCAATAATTGTGATATATTTTAGGGTTTTGTTTAGTTGTCTTTAAATTGCATTTCCGTATTCTTTAAACATTTATTTTCTCTAAATAGAGTATTCAGCATTTCTTTAAATGCCTTCATCTCTTTTAGTATATTTAGATTATCATATTTAATATTTTTTTTATTTAAATTTTAAAATTAATCATATTACCAAAATATTTTTAAAATAGAAGTATGTGTTTGATTTATCTCTTAGTATTATTATTTGAAAGTGATTTCATAACTTTACTATATCAAAACATTGTGAATTATAATAATTTTTTTATGTAACTTTTAATTTTTTTTTTTTTAAAAAAAGGTATAATACGTGGGGTTTGTTTATATATTTATCATATACTAGTAATTTACTAATTTTATATGTTACACCATTCCAAAAAAAAAAAAACAGCTCTTATTTTTAGTAAAATATATATAGTATATAGAATGTTACAAAACATTTATTTCATCCAAACATGTATATCACAATTTTTCAGAATATGTTTATAATTATTAATAATTAACAAAAAAACATATCAATATTTTTTACACTGAGATAACACAACCTAAGTTTTTTTAAAGCAAGAATAAGTGTGGAATCTATTTCAATCTTCAAATATCAAAATTATATATTTATTTAAAATAAATGAAACAAATATTTCAGTCTTTTTTGTTGATGTAACTTTCTTTTTGTTAGAATCTCCAATATTTGAAAAAATATAAAAATAAAAAATAAAAAATGAAATGTTTGTTTCATTTTGAGTTGATCGACTTTAAATTTGATATAAAATAGAATAATTTATATTTTTATTAAAATTGTATTTAATAATATTAGACTTAGATTTGAAATTAAACACACAGACCCAAAAGTAGACCTGCTGATTCACTCCATTTCCAGTCCCAAATTAATAACAGTGGCCAAGGTGGTCCCCACGTAACCTTAATTATTACTTCCTTCGTCGTCCCACGTAACATGTCCATGTTGTCGTTTCTGTCCGTTCCACATACCATATTACTTTTCTTTTTTTGAAAATGATTACACACTTTAATCTTATTTTAAACTTTTTAATTTTATTTTTTAAAATTTTAATTAAATTAATTAGTTATTTTAATCTTAATTTATACTTATTTATATTATAGGATAATTATTTTCTCTAATACAATCTTAATTATCTACTAATTACACCTCTCCTAAAATACTGTATAGGAGTACTTTTCTTTTCTTTATATAATAATAATAATAATAATAATAAAAACTAATGATCATTTTGCAATTTTTGTAGAGTTAAACAAAACCACAGTTTAAATCTCTCTCGAGCTACCGGTCAATCTGGGTTTTATGGGCCCCACTTTTTACATCTAACGGTTTGGCTTTGTTTAGACAATAATTATTTTAAAATATTAATATATTTATTTTTTTAAATATATATCATATATATCAAATTAAATACTCTCTTCGTCTAAACTAAAAGTATACAATTACTTTTGGCGCAGAGATTAAGAAATAATACTATTTTAATTATAGTGGGTAGGTAAAAGTAGTAAAATGACATTTTTGTCTTTACTTTTTTGGTATAAAAGTAATGATGTAATGTAAAGTATGAATATTTGTGGAAAAAATAGAGTATTTAACGAAATAATTACTTTGTAATTGGACGTTCCAAAATAGAAATATGTATACTTTCTAACTGGACGGAAAAAGTATATTTTTAGCTTTTAAAATTAGATATTAGTTTAATGGTAGCATGTTTATTTATATACGCGGGAGAAAGAGAAGCGGGCTTTGCGCGCACTTTTAATAATACGGTAGGTTGTAATTATGAAATGTCAGTATTATTAATAATATTATGATTATTATTATTTTATTTTTCTTATTATTATTATGGCAGACAACCTTGTACTAAACAAAACAAGAGGCGCCCATAGTAATTCCAAAACCTCCCAAACCCATGATATGATAAGTATCTGAAAAATTGTATAGTTTAACATATATATATATATATTCAGAATTTATGTAATAATTATTTCGTATCGAAAAAGTGGTTAATCTATAGTGTTACATTGAGTTTATTGTCACTTTCATCACTAAAACTAAATAACTAATAATAAATAAATCATCCAATGGCCCAGGAGAATCCACGCCAGATATCAATTTTACTTTCCTCTGCGGACAAATAATATTATAGTCATCGCAGGGCCCTAACTGACATACCAATTATATATTTGAACTTTTCAAAATTGAAAAGCATATTTCTAATATAATAATTTTATACTATAAAAATATAATTATAAATTATATAGTAGAAAACGAGAATAAATTTTCAATACAACAAATTTCCAATTTCTCTTACCAGTTTGAGCTAATACTATAGGCCCATTGGGCTGAATTAATCAACCCCAAGTCTTCATTCAAAACGGGCCCATATAATAATGTAACGGGCCGCCATAATATGTTACGTTAGGTTAGGGCATCAAAAACATGGTTCAAATCAAATAATAATGGCGTCTTTATAGGAGAAAAATATTTTCTATTCTAAACATTATATTTTATATATAATATTTATTTATTTATTTATTTATTATTCTCTAAAAATTGTAATGCTTCTATTATACATATTTATATATATATATATATTGTCTTTAATGAGTAGAAGAAATTGGAGTAAATTGAAACAAGAAATAGAGTAGACCCTATATCTAGGGCTGTTATTAAAATTTTAAATTAATATGTTTATAAATGAAATGAATTTAAGAAAAAATGATAAAAAATAATTTTTTCTTATAATACTATTACAATGATATTTATGAAAAATAAAATAAAATAATAAAATTATACAATCATTGAATGCTAAGTACATGAAACTTTAATAATCGGATAATCATCATAAGTAAACATATATCAGTACATGTGTGTGTCTGTTTGTGTGCGCGGCTTATGATTTTGAGTCTGAATTAAGATTTTTTTGGTCTTAATTATATGATTGATTGCATTTGACTTAGCCAGGCAGAGGCGTGCCGTACGTATTTATGAGTAATAAATAAGTGATACAGTTTTTCGGTCCGAATTAGGTAAAAGATCTCTGTAAGAAGAGCTAGGCATTCGGCAAAGATTAGCAGCTACGATAATCTCAAGACGAACCAGGACAAAATTGGGGGAGAAAATCTTGACTACGTAGTACATGAACTCTTAGCTCATCTGAAAAGCCGAGCGATCGATCGAAGATATAACAGACAAGATCGAATATATATACGTTCTTTATTCTTCCACGACGTTAGAACAAATTATGGTTTCGACTGTATTCCACCTAAATCCGCGTTAAGACAACCACGTAAAACAATTCTTACACAGCCCCCGGCAAATTTCGAAGAACACCTAATTCAATTCAATTGAATGGAATCGACTGTTTAGATGATTATATATATGATTATGAGGTAAGACTTAATTAAATCTTGGAGATAATCAGAGATTTGAAAATGGATGAGAAAGAAATTGGGGCGCCGGGGAGCTCGATGCACGGAGTGACCGGAAAAGAGCAGTCTTTTGCCTTTACGGCGGCCGGGGATGAAGATCCCACGGCGGCGGCTAAATTTGCGCTGCCGGTGGATTCGGAGCACAAGGCGAGAGTGTTCAAGATCTACTCGTTTGCGAATCCGCATATGAGAACGTTCCATTTATCCTGGACTGCCTTCTTCACGTGCTTTGTGTCGACGTTCGCGGCGGCGCCGCTTGTTCCGATCATCCGGGACAATCTAGGGCTGACCAAGCGGGACATCGGGAACGCCGGCATAGCCTCCGTCTCCGGCAGCATTTTCTCGAGGCTGGCGATGGGCGCCGCCTGCGATATGCTGGGGCCGAGGTATGCCTGCGCAGTTCTGATCATGCTGTCGGCGCCGACGGTGTTTTGTATGTCGTTCGTGTCGTCGGCGGGGGGCTACGTCGCCGTCAGGTTCATGATCGGGTTCTCCCTGGCGACGTTCGTGTCGTGCCAGTACTGGATGAGCACCATGTTCAACGGGAAGATCATCGGCCTGGTTAACGGGACCGCCGCCGGGTGGGGCAATATGGGCGGCGGCGCCACCCAGCTGCTGATGCCGTTGCTGTACGAGGTTATCCGGAGAGCCGGTTCGACCCCTTTTACAGCCTGGAGGATTGCCTTCTTTGTACCTGGATGGATGCATGTCGTCATGGGCCTCCTCGTTTTGGGCCTCGGCCAGGATCTTCCCGACGGGAATCTCGGGGCTCTGCAGAAGAAAGGAGAGGTCGCCAAAGATAAATTTTCCAGGGTCAGATCTGTTTGTCATTCATTGATTCCATTATTATTACAATGTTTTTAAGTTTCGGGGCTGCAAAACTCAAACGTTGTTGTCTTCTGTAATTTGTTATGAAATCCAGGTGCTCTGGTACGCTGTTACCAATTACAGGACCTGGATTTTCGTGCTCCTGTACGGGATGTCTCTGGGAGTCGAATTAACCACAGATAATGTCATCGCAGAATATTTCTACGACAGGTTTGTAAGTTGTAACTGTAATCGATCGATCGATCAGGTTTTGTAATTTAATTTATCGGTATTGGTTAATTTCCAGGTTCGACGTGAACCTTCACACGGCGGGAACCATAGCGGCGACGTTCGGCCTGGCGAACATCGTGTCCCGACCAATGGGGGGGATGATGTCCGACGTGGCAGCCCGGCGGTTCGGGATGAGGGGCCGGCTATGGAATCTGTGGATTCTGCAGACGTTGGGGGGAGTTTTCTGCATATGTTTGGGCAGGGCGGAGACGCTGCCGGTTTCCGTCACTTTCATGATTCTCTTCTCAATCGGAGCTCAGGCGGCCTGCGGCGCTACGTTCGGCATAATTCCGTTCATCTCGCGGCGGTCTTTGGGGGTCATCTCCGGCCTGACCGGCGCCGGCGGGAATTTCGGCTCCGGCCTGACGCAACTGCTGTTCTTTACGAGCTCCAAGTATTCGACGGCGACGGGGCTGAGCTTGATGGGGATTATGATCGTGGCGTGCACGCTGCCGGTGGCGGTGGTGCACTTCCCGCAGTGGGGGAGCATGCTCCTGCCGCCGACGGAGAAGTGGACGGAGGAGTATTATTACGGGAAGGAGTGGAATGACGACGAGAAGGAGAAAGGGATGCATCAAGGTAGCCTGAAGTTCGCCGAGAATAGCCGCTCCGAGAGGGGGCGGCCGCCGCCGGATTCCGCCGCGAACCCCGCCGTGTGAAGGAGGAAGGTGGTCTCCCTGTGTGGGCTAACTGTACATCCAAAGGCCCATTAAGGAAATAAGAATTGATTGGGCCTTTATTCAGCCCATAATCACCTGCGCAATATGGGACTGCGTTTGTTTAATATATTAGGCTCGGTCCTTTTTAGGATTTTGATCAGAGCTGCGGCCTATGTATTTCACCAATAATGTTTTTAGGTAGGATAATAGTATTGTATGTTTGTTTATTTGGGGTTTGATTTTAAATTTGTGTTTGAATAGTAATTTGTATGTAATTTTCTATGACGTGTAATAATAAATTTTTATAAAAAAAATTGTACGTGAAAAAACTGAGACAACCTTTTTTTAAAAAAAAGAAGTTTGACTGTAGTGAATTTCAATAGTCATGTTTTAAAATATGTAGAATATTAATTTGTAAAGAGGATTATAATTTTATAATATGTTGTCAGTATTTGTATTATATATATTTTGTAATTTTATCTTATCCCAAATTTTCTGTGATAAATAGTAGAGCTTATATATAATAATGTATTTATGTGAATAACTTTCCGTGAAAAAAAAAAACAAAAGACAGCAAAGGAGCTGTACTTGAAGGAAAAAAGTTTGCACCCGCCTCAAAACTTGCGCTATGTATATATATATATAAGCATAAATATCGATACAGAGGTTGTTGAATTAACAATAATTGTCAAGTGATCCGAGAGAGTGAAGAATCAATAGAATAATTAGTTTGATTAATGAGGAGGGGTGAAAGAGAGAAGGAAATTCCAGGTGGAGCTGCTGCTGTTGCAGTTGCAGTTGCAGGGAGGCACAGATCATCTTCTTCTAAATCTTCATCTTCATCTTCCTCAGTGAGTTGCAGCACTTCTTTCAGGAACAAATGCACACACCTCGCCAAGAATCATCGCGCCAGGTTTTACATTTTCCGCCGCTGCATTGCCATGCTTCTCTGCTCTCACGAGACCAACGACCTCTGACACCCTGCCTCTCTCTCTCTCTCTCTCTCTCTCTCTATATATATATATATATATATACACACACAGACATATATATATATATATATTATGTGATGCAGCTAGCAAAGCAGCTGGAATTAATTTTCATTGTTACAATGTGTAAGATTGGAGTAGTTATATCTTTAATTAATTAAGACCACCTTGTTTGTAGTTTCTACAATTACTATATGTGTGTAGGTGTGTAAGTATACTTGAATTTCTGTTGTCTTGTCTGTGTATGAATTGATCAGAGTTTACGATGAGCTGCTGCTGCTGCTGCCTGATGCTTCTCTTAATTAGTGTTATTCGTCAATGAAGGCGTCTGTTTCACGGTGTATTTGATCTTCACCTATACGTACAGTTGATGAAAAGTTTGTTAATTAATTAATTAATGGTGGTTATGTTTAGCTACAGAATTTGATTTGTGGATTAAACTACCTACGACACTTGCTTGCATTGCACCTCCAACATTCAACCAACCCTTGTTTTCTATTAATTTTCTCAACTCAGTTACTTGTCTTGTCTTGTCTCTCGACTTAACCACCAGTCAAATAATAATAATAACACAATTAATTACATCTAGTTAAGGATATCATTGTCAGTCAACCATCACTTCAATAATATGTATGTAATGAAAATGATTAATTTTGAATAAATTGAAGATGTTGGGATGCCGACAGGGACGGGAGCAGCCACACGTGAAGAGGCAGAGGTAGAGGTAGAAGAAGAAGAAGAAGAAGAAGAAAAAAGGGTGCGTAATTCTCACTTTTCCCCATTCGTGCGGCCCCTTTCTGACTTGGAGCATTAATTAATTTGCCCCTCTCTCTCTCTCTCGAGATCGGATCAGATACTAGTGAGTGAGAGTGAGTGACTTATTGTCGTTTTCATGGCTTGCTTGTTTTTTTCAATCAGCTCAGCTCAGCTCAGGTCCTTGCTGGTTTGAATGTTAGTACGCAGTACACACACACACACACACACACACATGAAAGTAGATCCGACCCAGACCCAGACCCAGACCCCTACCAGTAGCAGACCGACCTCCAGGGATTGATACAGACATACATGATCAGTCTGGATGGATGGAGGAAGCACACATACATGCACGTGGATTGGAGACATTACATTGTGGGTGTGTAATACTGGGAGTAGTAGAAAATATCTGGAAAGTAGGCTGGGAGAAGGACGACACAGGGGAAATGGAAACACGTGCGTGCACTCCTACCCCTGACACCCATCCAAATGAAATTAAAGCTTCTTTCCACCCGGAACATATGGTCCGGGTCTCCACATTGTGACACGTCGCACATATCTCAAATATTTATATTTCCATATATTATTGAAAAAAAAAAAAAAATTTGTTTCATTTTGACACAAAACATTTTGATTTTGGTACAATATTAACCGATCCTCGTGGAGTGACCACCATCGGACCTGAATTTGTTCTTAGACTGGGACGGCCGTCAGTGAGGATGGAGCAAATGGTGATGTAGAAACAAGGGTATAATAGTAATTGTCTATTTTTATTTATAAAAAATAATAATAATATACCCAAGGTCGAAAGAACCCAAATGAAAAGCGCCCCAACAGGCAACAACCTAACCCTACACTTTTCTACTAGTGTGGGTTCGTTTGGGAGATTCTCCCAAAGTGCATTATTCATTTTATTTTTTTTTTTAAATATATTAAATTAAAAATCTATTTTTTATTTTTTATACTTCAAATTTAAAATTTTTATTATTCAAATAACAACTCAAAATCCAAACTCCAAAACAAACAGACCCTACTCTCTCTCCTCTATTTTTATTATAGTTTCTTTTTCTATTTTTCAAAACCCATCCCACCCCACCCCTCATTATCATTGTTCGAACTACTCGTTTCAAACAATGCATGGAATGGATCACCATCTCTATCGCCATCCACTCCTGCTTAATTATTTAAATTTTCTTCACTGTGAATTTCTACTCAGAGGGAAATGGGTGAAGGAATGAAGGCAAGCTACCTAAGTAGATATCACATGATCGTATATATATATAGCTTAGGGAACACATATGTCCCTCTTTCGTCATAACATATACTATAATATTGTCACTGATTGAGTACTTGTGAGTGTTTGTAGAGTAAACAGTGATATTTTTACTTCATATACATTTATAACAATCTTACTTGGTTCGGGGGGTGATCAATTCCTAGTTGTGTTCACGAGACAGTCCCTGTTGCTTTGACATCAGAATAGGCCCTCCCTCACTAAATGTGGATAAATCAATATCTGTCTCCAACCCTTACTTTTTCAATATACATATATAATTTGATTTGATTTAGGGAAATTTAGTAATTTACAGTCAGGAGGGTCTCAATAATTGTAAGAAACTGTTGTGAATGGAGGTACAGTACAGTTTATTAGCTTAACAAACCATAAAACCATTCCAAGAACCAGACAGCATCCATTATATATGTCATACCTACTACTTACTACGTAGGCTTCAATGGATGTGCTTTACTAACTTGGGCCGACGAGCCCACTTACTCACCTTGGTTGCCCTCTGTAGACACAAAAAAAAAAAAAAAAAAACAAAGACAGTCTGAAAATTTCTTCACAAGAATACCAAATTTTGCACTGATACTGAGATAGTTCAAAAACAAACATGGGAATGGGATATTGGGATCTCATCTCTGCAACATATCACTGTTTCCTGCTCCAAACAAAACCCTTACACAGATCCACAAATAGATTGATTGTCCTAATTAACAACGCTATTCCAAATTCTTGTATATCTTACAGTTAAAAGACACCAGAGATTGTAAAAAATCATTCAATTCACCAAGAAGCAGAGAAAGATGTAAAAAGAGCCTTCCTTCATTCATTCATTAATTCATCAGCTAATTTGCTGGCAAAGATTGTTGACTGCAGCAGGTGTAGAAGCCCAAACATGGCTGCTGCTGCTCCTTCCACCCTGATCTTGCACTCCTCCTCCGACAACAACAACCTTGCTGGCTGCTAATGCTTTCTTCTTAATTTTACACTTCATGTCCTCCATGAACATCTTTAGTCTCTTCTCAGACGATCCTTCGCTTGTCAGTGCTTTCTCCATGGTTCCACTCACTTCCCTCACTGCATTCCTCAGCTGCTCCGATCTTCCTCCGCTCATCAAATCCTTAATCTTCTCCTCCACCTCCTCCCTCGTGATCGTCTCCCTGTCGCACAAATTGATCCCTATCTTCCAATCGTTCACCACCAGTTTCCGATTCGTGAACTGATCGGTGAAGAGAGGGAAGCAGAGCAGAGGAACTCTGCACCATATGCTCTCCAGCACCGAATTCCAGCCGCAATGGGACAGAAATCCGCCGATGGCAGGATGGGAAATCACTTTAGTCTGCCTGCACCACTGCACGATTAGCCCTCGCCCGTTAATGCTCTCCTCGAACCCCTCCGGCAGGACATTGGTCTCGTCGGAGCTCACGATGTCCGGCCGGATTACCCACACGAAATTGACACCGCTGATTTGCAGCCCGTAGGCGATCTCGAGGATGTCCTGCTTGCTGGTGGTGTGGGCGTGGCTGCCGAAGGAGACGTAGAGCACGGAGCGTTTGGGCTTTGTGTTTAGCCATTCGGTGAAGTCGGATTCCGACCAGAGACTGGTGGTTAGTGTCTGGCTGGTGAAGTTGGAGACGATGGGGCCGATTGCGTATGTCGGCTGCTCCGTGTTGAGCGCCGAGAGCGTGTCGGATTCGAGATCTTCCACCGTGTTGCAGATGATGATGTCGGCTTTCTTGACGTCCTCGAAGGCTCTGTAGATGACGCGATGGACGACGGTCGTTACGTCGTCGGTTTGGAGGTACGATGTGAGGTCTGTCGGTTTGATCGCCTTCACCCCCGGGATGTAATCTATGGTGTCCTTGCGTTTCTCTGAAAGAGGGGAATGGATTGTGAAATTGATGAAATGAAATTGAGATGAAATGGAATTATTACCTTTGGAATGGAAATGGCCGTGCTTCTTGAGGAGGTGGAGGTGGTAATAGAGGGACAAGACGAGGGCGGGTTCGGTCCAGAAGGAGACGCAGAGGAGGCTGTGCTTGCGGGCAATGGCGGAGGCCCAAACGTAGAAGGTGTCTGCGATGAGGATGGTGAGGGGGGAATCAGATTCCGACAAATCCGCAACTAATTCGTCGACGTGGGCGGAGAAAACGTGGATCAAACCCTCGACGAACTGGTCGTGGTTCGCCGACCGATCGAACCCTAAGGGGAAGCCGTCGGAAACGGTGGCGTAGCGAATGTCGAGGCCGGAGGCGCGGGCGCCGGCGAAAATGTCGACGGCGTTGGTGCCCCGGGCGCGGGAAATACGGGAGTGGACGGACTGGGTGTTGACGAAGGTGATGGTGAAGCCATTGGAGGCGAGTTTCACGGCGAGGCTGACGAAGGGGTTAATGTGGCCCTGATAAGGGTACGGAATCATGATGGCGTGAGGCTGAGGCTGAGGGTGAGGCTTCGCTGCGGCCATTGTCGTCTTCCTTCCTTGTCCAGGTTGTGCTGCTGCTGCTGCTGCTTCTGCTTCAGACGAATCGAAGAAGAAGAAGAAGGGCGATAAGTGTGTGTGTGCGTAAGGAGGAGAGGGATGATCAATAGACAATAATAATAAATCAATTGCAGCCCCGTCTGTCCGAATGAGGTCAACCAAATGCAATTTGCTATTTTAAAGGGAGGAGATGATACAGACACAGATACAGATACAGATGACAATATCACATTATAATACATAATACAGGTAGGTAGGTAGATTGATATGCATACACATAACACATTCACTGCTGTCAAAACTATTTCAATTTACCCCTAACTCTTCTTATTCTAGGTATAACACAAATAATTATAAATTTAATTTAATAGAATTATAATTTATAAATCATAATTTAAAATATATTTAGAATATATAATTTTTTTTAAAAAAATGATATATGATATGAAATATACAGAAATGAAAAATGTTCACTTACTAATATTTTTTTTCTCGATTTTTTCAAAACCTTTGAAACATTTCCCTGCTGAATTGGATAATTTGATATTTTTTGAAAATTTAAAACATATCATATTAAACATTTTAAAATTACTACTATATAAGTGGAGCCTAAATATTTTATAAATATCAAATGTATTTAATTAATAAATAACGTGTCTACTATAATTTTATTTTTTTTAAAAGGACTAGAATAATAGGATTACATGTTAAATTATCGTATGAACAATATCAAATGCAAAAAATTTAAAAAATATATATAGATATAATATTAGCCACCGATGGAGGTGGCGGTGAGACATTTATTATGAAATCGTCACTAGCTCATAAATCACAAATATAAATAATAATAATAATAATAATAGTAAATATATACACCCTCCGTCCCATAATAAAATATTTGTTTTTCCATTTTAATCCATCTCATAACAAAGTATTCATTTTTTTAGTAACTGTACTGTCTACTTAGCATTACAAATATCCTTATAATTTACAATATATTACACAAATGTCATTACTTTATATCACACATACTAATAAGGTTATTTTAGTTACTTGTACTTTATTCCTATTACATTATAATATAATACTAATATTTCTAAAATTACGTGTAAAAAGCAAATAAATATCTATTACCGGCCATAGATATATGTTTGAATGTCCTATACTACACTAGCCTATTCACCATTAATTTTACTTAAATTGTTTTATGCTTCTAAGTATATTAATAACAATAATAACCAACACGAGAAAAGCATAAAGCAAAAGTAGGCACATTGTATCTGAATTTTGTTGAAATTATTAATGAATATTTGTTATAAAATGTGGACGAAAATGAAATTCATAAGACATTAAAGTTAGTAAGAAAAAAATTTATATAAAAAATAAGTATTTAATATAATATTTTATAAAAAAATATATATATAACTAAATTAAAAAAACAAAAGCACTTCCACCCAATTCTCTATCTATATTTTAGTTTGTATTTATGCTTGTGTTTAAATTATAGTTGCATGTGATGCTTTTAAATAAAAAATTGAAAAAAAAAAAAATAATAATTAAATTTGTAAATCTCATAACTAATACTAGTGTGCACCCATAAAGGGGACAACCATTTGACCTCTTTTTATTATTTACATTATTCCTCAATGGATATGTTTTTAAAAAATAAAATAGTTATTTTAATTCTGAAAATTTTGTTAATAATAATAATCTGTTTCAAGTAAATATATATATATATATATATTATTTTTTTTAAAACCCATTATCTCATAAGAACAAGTCCATATTATTTTGACTTGATCAAACTGATAGAACTTGAAAATCAGCATACAGATATCGGGACACAACTTCATTATAATTAATCACATTAATCACTTCTAACAACACATAATTGACAATACTGTTGTATTTCCAACTCATAATTTTCTCCAAATAAATTGGATCATCTTTGTTGTTCATAAGGCATAATATTCATTATAAACCTTTTATTAAATATTAATTTATATTACGATTAAAATACATATTAAATTTTGTAAGCGAATTAATCATGAAAATGATGCGCGGCTGTGGCTGTAGAATATTCCTTTTATAAGAATATTCATTCTAGGAATACAAATCTAAAATAAATATGAAAAAAGGAAATACGGTGGCGGGCCGAGTGCACGTGAAATAGGATGGCATTCTGTGCTATAAAAGCTCGTCTTTCGAGGTAACTAAATATGGGCCCCTATATTTTCCAACATATTTTGAATAAATATATTATGTTAAATATAAGTGGGCCAGGGCCAGGGCCAAGGCATCCCTCAAAATACAATTCCAGGGTAGCTTCGTTTATAACATAAGATCAAATTTTAAACATAATAAATTTCTACAGCTTAATAATAATAATTTGTGAGGACAGTGCTAGTAGGGTAGGTTTATTTTATTATTATTTTTATTATTTTTTTATGACATGAAAATCCGCAAATAAACTCCAATCAAATTTAATACCCTCTAAACCAGGCGTGACAGTGGGGTCGGGTCGCTTTATTAACCGAGTGGAAGAAAGCTGAAAGCTATTTACTTATATATATATATATATATTTATTTATTTTATTGGGTGGCGATTGATTGGCGGTTGCGATGTGTAGTGGCCGCTTCAATTATTGACTCCAAAACTTTTGTGGTTATTATGTCCACTAAATTTGGTCTAAATTTTATTTATAGCATATTTATTAGCATTAATCAAAACACCTTTGAATTAAATTGTACATAAAGGCTTCCAATTATGTAACTAATTTTTTTTAAAGGGTCAACTCATGAATTTGATAGTTTCATCCAAATTGCTTTTTGTTTTTTGGGATATATGTCGGATTTGATTTAATGAGAATCCGAAGCTACTGACAAATTTTGGTGTAAGTTGAATTTTGTGATGTGGAAAGTGACACTTTTTTATTTTTTGTGCATTAATTCTTATTGTCTTTTATGGTCCATTTTTATTTAGTTGACATTTGAATTGGTTCCTTTGGTAAATACAAAACCTTAATTTAAAGGCTCTCATTTCCCCAATTTTTCTAAATTTGTTTCGGTTCAGAAAATACAAGGAAATTATTTTGTGTACGATTTTGTCCAAATTTGATGTGATATTTGATAGTTTGGAGTGCACAAATGGAGAATGATGTTGATATGTTCTGTAATGTACTAATTTGTGGGTATCTTTGGGCTCAAGTTTTCGAGCAGCCTACTGGGTTAGTGGCCCAATTATTAAATTGGGCTAGTTTTAATAAACAACCGTCTACGGTACCTTCATAATATATATACATATATATATTTTACCTAGAAATAAATACTCTCAGTATGAAATAATTTTATTTTTTATTTTTATTTACTATATTACATATAAAATTTATTTTTGTTTTCATTTTCAAAATATCTCTATATTAAACAAATTTTACTTCAAAGTTTTTATCATTTACTATAAAACATACTAAAATACAACCAACCCATTCCAATAAGCAAACATAAAATCTACAAAAACAACATTATTCAATATAGTATTATATTTGATATTTACTTTTCATTTCAATTTTTTATTTTTAAATAATCAAATATTTTCAAAACACAACTAAACAAATCTTATGTACATGAAGATATCTTCACAATAAATAAACAGTAGTTTTCATGTTAAAAACAAATATAAATTTATTTTTTTTCCTTTTAATATCATGTTAAAAAAAAAAAAAAAACATTTATAATTGGGGGTCCATCTCCACGCCGGCTCCGGCGCCGGCGCCTATAGTCATTAATGATAATATTTAAGGGTAAACTCAAAATCAACTTTGCTTCTTCAGTTCTTCTTCTTCCCCGTTGATTAAATCAGCCATAATAATAAAGTACATAAATATATCATTCAATTCTCAACATTCAGACGCAGTTGGTTCTAACGACCTTTCTCTCGATTATCATTATTCCAATTTCTCAGAAATGGCCATGGCCATGGGAGACGACGACCACAAGAAGAAGAAGCTCCACGCCATAATGATCTCAGTGCCATATCAGGGCCACATCAACCCCTTCGTCAACCTCGCCCTCCTCCTCGCCTCCAAGGGCATTCTCGTCACTTTCGTCCATTTCGAGGCTGTCCACCACCGCCTCTCCAGTTTCCACAACCTCCCCCCCGCCGGCTTCAATCTCTTCGCCGGCTCCGGCCTCGACATTCGCTACACCACCATCTCCGACGGCCTCCACCCCCTCGACTACGACAGAGACATCCACTTCGAAGACTACTGGAAAATCATCATGCTCCAATTCCAGCCCCGCGTCGACGACTTCGTCGGAACCCTAATCCGATCCAACCCCGATTTCGCCCATTTCCTCGTCGCCGACACCGTTTTCTCCTGGCCGGCGGCCACCGCCGCCAAGTACGGCCTCGTCAACGTCTCCTTCTGGACACAGCCCGCCTTGATTTTCACCGTCGCTTATCACTTGGACCTCATGAAACAACACCATCATTATCCTTACACAGGTATGTATATATATACCTCGTAGACACGAACTTTAATTTGAGTTGTTTTAATTCAATCGATTCGAATCACTCAACTGACAGACGACGGCGATGAGGAAATAAACTACATTCCAGGAGTGAAGTCGATCAACAGCAAAGATCTGATGTCATTCGTGAAGGAACCAATGGAGACAAGAATCATTAACAGGTCTACTTACGAGGTATTCAGGGAGGTGAAGAAAGCAGACTTCGTCCTGCACAACACAGTGCAAGAATTAGAATCCCACACGCTATCCGCACTGTCCGAATACCATCCCACCTACGCAATCGGCCCAGTTAATTTCGCCAAGAATCTCCCCCCCATCGCCATGGCCAGAAGCTTATGGTCGGAGACAGACTGCACATCCTGGCTCGACTCGAAACCCCCTGGATCAGTACTCTACGTTTCCTTCGGGAGCTTCGTCCACACCAACAAGGAGCTGCTCAAAGAATTGGCCAACGGGCTTCTTCTCAGCGGAGTGAATTTCCTTTGGGTTATTCGAGAGGGCATTCTTGGCTCCGGCGGCGGCGCCGCCGTGCCGGAGGGGTACGAGGAAGCTGTCGGGAGCAGGGCTATGATAATTCCGTGGTGTAATCAGGTGAAGGTTCTTTCGAATCCGAGCATTGGAGGGTTCTTGTCGCACTGTGGGTGGAATTCGACCGTTGAGAGCATTTGGTGTGGGGTGCCTATGATCTGCTACCCTATGCTGTACGATCAGCCCACCAATCGGAAGCTGATCGTGGATGATTGGACGGTCGGGATTAATCTATGCGACGGTGATCGTGTGGACAGGATCGAAGTTGCTGACAAGATCAAGAAATTTATGAGTGGTGACACTGCACTGAGGCTGCGGAATCAGGCCCAAACAATGAAGAAGATACTGAAGAATGCTGTCGAAATTGATGGCTCTTCCACCACAAATCTTGATCGATTTATCCATGATCTCAAGGCAAAAATGTATGGCCACCCAGTCAATACAAGTTAATAAATATTTTAAATTTACCTTTCCACATCCTTCCTACAATGATGCAATATATTTGTACTCATATGATACAAAAAGGTCAGAAAAACTACGATCTTTCTTGATGGACCCATCTGCGACATTATTGGTTTCTACATTGACCGACGGTAGCACGTGCCCTGTCGTGTGTGAAAATATATATTGTAACCATTTGTGATTTATTGAAAAACAGGGAAGAAGAAAATTGCAACTTGAGTTTGAAGGATGAGAGCAATGCAGTCTACATTAGATAAAGACACTTACCTTAACTACAAAAATCCAAGGCAAAACAATCCTTATCCATCAAGACTGCAGTGAAAATTGAGACTACTGTACAAAGGAGTTAAGCATCAAACGGGCTAATTTTTAGCAAAACTTCTGGCTTGGACATCATCGACAAAATTTTCAAAATTAACCCGTGATGTCCCATTACTTCCTACTGCATTCTCCAATGTTTTCCTAACCTGCTCGATGTTCTTCTTCAATACATGCGACGTCTCCCTGTTCATTACCAGCTTAATCCTTTCGGCTACTTGATCGCCTGAAACAAATTTCCCTTCACAAAGGTTGATTCCTATTTTCCAATCGTCAACCACAAGCTTCCGATTGATGGTTTGATCGCCTAACAAGGGGAAACATATTAGCGGCACTCCCACCCATATGCTTTCCAATATTGAATTCCATCCACAATGTGTCAAATATCCTCCGACTGCAGAATGTGATAAAACCATCTTCTGTTTACACCATGGAACCACCAAACCTATGTTTCCCACAATTTCATGAAACCCATCCGGAAAATAGTCGACAGCCTCACAATTCACAACGCCAGGCCTCAGCACCCAAATAAAACTCACCCCGCTTACCATTATCCCATCTGCAATGGCCCTGATATCTTCTTTATTGCTATGGGCATAGCTTCCAAACGAAGCATACAGGACCGAGCCCGGAGGCTTGCTGTCAAGCCAGCGGCTGCAATCCGAGTCAGGCCATAGATCCATCTCCACAGATTGGTCGGTGAACTGAGATGGAAATAAGGGGCCAATCGTATACACAGTCTGCTTCTCTTTCAGCACAGAAATAGCTTCAGGCTCGAGTTCTTCCATAGTGTTGCAGATAATGATATCAGCATTTTTTACATCTGCAAAGGCTTTTTGGATAAGTCGATGCATAGCTGTCGAAGTATCAGTTTCCTGGAAAAATGAGATTAGGTCTGTTGGCTCCAAGAACCTCACACCTGGTATGTAATCGATGGTATCCTTGCGGGTATCTGAATCCAACAGAAACATTACACAACAATTACTGGTTCAAATTGTGGATCATATATTTACATTTATTCAATATAAGCAGTAAGTTTTAATCGACCCAGCAAACCAAAAATAAACCTAAAAAGCGCAGGTTAATCCATTGATAAATCTTCACGCATTCCAAGACCTGAAATTTCTTAGCAATCTTCACACACGCACAATTGCAACATGTATAAACCCTAATTTCTCTACAACTTTGACCTGAAATAGAAACAAGAAGGGTGAAAGGATTTTGCGTTAATGAGTAGTGAATCACCTGTACAACCGTAATGCCCATTTTTCTTCAACAACTCGTGGTGGTAGTATACCGTCAACGCTAGAGCAGGCTGAACCCAGAACGAGACGTAGACAAGTCCATATTTCCAGGCAATGTTGGATCCCCAAGTCGAAAATGTGTCGACAACCAAGCAGGTGGGTGGGTGATCCGACCCCGACAGTTGCCCAACCAGTTCATCGACGTGCGCCGGATATACATGAAGCCGGCCTTCTAAGAACTGCTCCCGGTTCAAAGATCGGTCAAAGGTTAGCGGGAACCCGTCGCTGATAGTCCTGTAACGAATGTCCAGGCCCGATTCTCGAGCACCGGCGAACACATCATCGTCGCAAGTCTTGGTGATTTTGTCGTGGGTGGAGTGGGTGTTGACGAAGGTGATGGTGAAGCCCTTCGATGCAAGCTTTAGGGTTAGTTGAATTGAAGGGTTAATGTGGCCCTGGAAAGGAGGTGGGATTATGATGAAATGGAGATTCTTCCCCATTGTTCTCTGTGGGCTCTGCATCATCAGTAGTCCGCGCCAATGGAGATATCTGCATCAGTGTAAAATAAATCATGGTTAGTTAGTAACTGTTGTAAAAATCATGAAAACAGTTAAAGCAAAGTCCCTTCTGCACATGGGGGCAGAAGGACACGTCCCCCTCAGCAGCGACACATTCTCAGCAGCATCCTCTAGAATGGTCAGCATTGACAAAATGCTCATATACTATACGTTCCCGCCACGGAAGTTGAATGGCGAAGTTTGTGGCTGTTAGAACTATGTGGCCGTCAAGCTGGAGTTGATTAGCACGGTACACAAGAATAGTTCCCACAAGTATGTTAGCAAGTCTATAAATTTAGAGCTTCATGCCCTCTTAACGGCTAAAAACCAAATAACAAATCATGGTCTCCAAAGGGAAGCTCCACGCCATCCTCTTCCCAATCCCTCATCCAGGCCACATTAACCCATCCATCAATTTTGCTCTCAAGCTTGCCTTGAGGGGTTTTGTTGTCACTTACGTCAATCTTGAGTTTGTTCATCACCAATTGAAGTCGAAATCCCAAGCTACAGAAGATATTGATATATTCTCTGAAGCGCGCAAATCCGGCCTTGACATACGTCACACAACAGTTAGCGATGGTCTTCCTCTGGAATTCAATAGAGTTTTCCACTTGGAAGACTACTGGGAGCACATGTTGGTAAATTTTCCAGCTCATGCTGATGAAGTTGTTGGGAGAATAATCCATGCTGATCCATATTTGCTCCATTTCTTGGTTGCTGACACTTTCTATGGATGGTCTGCAACGGTAGCCAACAAGTACAACATTGCTAATGTCTCATTCTGGACAGAGCCAGCTCTCGTGTATTCTTTAATCCGCCATTCTGAGCTTCTTAGAGAAAATGGTCATTTTCCATGTAAAGGTATGAACATATAACCCCGACTAACTAATTAGCATGTAAAAAGAAAAGACATGCCTAACATATGCCTGTTTTGGCCTTGATACAGATAACGTTGCGGAGGAAATCACTTATATTCCTGGAATAAAAACAGTACACACAAAAGACTTCATGCCTTACCTGAAAGAAAGCGATGTTGAAACTACGTCATACAAACTTGTTTTCACAGCATTTAAAGAAGAGAGCAAGGCAGATTTCGTCCTGCACAACACAGTGTATGAATTAGAATCAGAGACACTATCAGGTCTAAGCAAATACAAGCCCCACTATGCAATTGGCCCTATTAATTTCTCCAAAGGGCTTCCCACTAATACTGTCAGCAAGAGTTTAAATCCTGAAACAGACTGTAGCCAGTGGCTGGCCTCGAAGACCCCCAGCTCTGTTCTCTATGTATCTTTTGGGAGTCTAGTCCAGACAAGTAAGCGGAACATAGAGGAAATAGCTTATGGGCTCCTCCTCAGTGAAGTGAAGTTTATTTGGGTTGTTCGAGCAGGGATGGCAGAAGATGAAGAAGCTACTGTCCTGCCGGATGGTTATGAGGATGAAATTCAAGATAAAGGGCTGATAGTTCCATGGTGCAATCAGTTGAGGGTACTTGAAGATCCAGCTGTTGGGGGATTCTTGACACACTGTGGGTGGAACTCAGTGCTAGAGAGCATGTGGTTTGGTGTTCCAATGATATGTTATCCAGTAGACTATGATCAGCCAACTAACAGGAAACTCGTAATCGATGATTGGCAGATTGGAATCAATCTGTGTGATGGAACATCTTTGGAGAGGAAGGAAATTGCTGACAAGATAAGGTTTCTCATGGATAGATCTGTTTCAAAGGACATCAATGAGAATGCAACAAGCGTAAAGGAGAAGATGAGGAGTGCAGTGGAAATTGATGGATCATCTGAGAGAAATTTCAATCAATTCATCAGGGATTTGAGGGCAAAAATTGATTCCACAGGTACAACCAAATGAGTATGTATTCATATATTCCATATTTTGGTTATGGCGTATACAGTATTTCAGCACAATATATATTTATATATATCATTGTAATATTTCATATTTTGATTATGGTGTATACAATCTCTGTATTTCTTCGTTATGTATAATTGAATTTGGTTATGAGTTAATGAAGTGCCACCATGAAGTTTGAATGATATTGTCAACACCTATATTCAAATCAAATTTGTATGCCTAATTCAACAAATATTAGGTACCTCAGATATAAGTATTCTCTTACATAAGAATGAAAAACAAATTTAATTATATAAATATTATTCAATCAGTGTTCTGTCTAAATCTTAGTTTTTATTTATTCAATGAGAATGATATATGACCTAATTAATAAATGAACATTATGATTTTACAATTTTCACTTGGTGATATTATGTTTCTACAACTTTTAACTGGCTTCTCTTTCGTTCTTTTATTATATTTTTGCATGTTAAGTGATTTAATTTCATAAATGTAACTAACATTACAATTTATTTTCAACAACAGTATAATTTGAAGGAATTACCCAGAACTTTTATGAATTGCAACAAATTATCCACATTCTCTAATATATTTAGCTAAAACCTAGAGCAAATAACAATAGGCTTCATCATGCTTGTGGCATATATGATAACTATGGATGGCAACAGTAGCTTAAAATTGAATTTACCATAAACAAGAGAACAGCATCTGACTCTGCGTAATTCGTTGAGCAGTAACCTTGTTTGTCGTGCCACCGTCTCTTATGATGTCTCACATGTAGTATCACCATCAAAGTTGCAATGATCAAGGTAATGTTTAATCATCCTGCAGGAGATTGAGGCAAACTTCTGTATAAGTCGTGGGTTGATAAATTTATACATTTATGCTCGAATGCCTCTGCTTAGTGCATTTAAATATTTAATCAAACTTCTTACATTAGTTTGAGAATAAACTGAATGAAAAAAAGGTTGAATAAGGCTGCCCATGAGATTGCTCATCCAAAACTCATATCCAATGGGATGTCCAGGTATAGGTTATGGCTTGTCATTTACCTCTGTTTCCACTTTAAGAAGCAAAATTCTGTACATTGGATGGCCGCGCTCCAGTACATGTTGTTCCCAATCAGAAGGCACTCCAAAGGGATTATCCTCCAGCCAGCCTGATTTTTCATTACATACCCTCTCCTCTGGGGAATCCATAAGTACAAGCCTTCCCTTGCCATATCTTAGGAAATCAATTTTCATTTTAAGGGCAACAGCTTGTACATCCGATTGAAGAAATACCTGCACATCAATAAGCATAAATATTCGTTCACAATCAAACCAGGCATCCTGCAAAGGAACAGATTGAGTGATGACGGACATGCTAAGTTTTGCTCTGTTCTATTGTAACCAATATTTTTTTGATTGGATATATAACCATTCCAGATATTATATCCTCTAACACAGTTCACAATTGGAAAACTAATTAATAATACGGGTATTTTTAAAAGATACTGGTAAAAGTCGAAGATTACGGAAACCCAAGTTCAAGAAACAAGGGATCAGATTATAAAATAAAAGGCAAAATAACGCATTTTTTCACTTCAAGCTATGCATCCTCAACCTCATTCATTACTGGTTACATCCACAAGAATCAGATGTAACAATTATTCTATTTCAAGTAGTATACAGGATACTTCTCAAGTACTGATTGATTTCTACAATAAGCAAATATAACAATTATTTTATTTCAAGTACTGTACAGGGCAATCCTCAAGTACCTTTCCACCAACCATGAGCACATCACCTATTGCTTCAATCAAGGACTTCTGCAGCATTCTCCACCTGTATTCGGGTTTATTGAAATCTGGGTTTGGACACTGACATCAAAAAGAAATACGAAGAATTAGACAGACTTTCAAAGTATGGATATGTTTCCAACCACATTGATTGTAAAGGAGAATAAGTCCCACATCAATCATTTTCAAAAAATATAAATTGAAAAGCAAGTAGTTTTTCTCAACTCTTGGAAACTATTTGCTCATAGAAGCACTAATATTTATCTCCAAGATAACACAACCTATTACCTGTATTGACACAAGATGCAACTCCCCGGGGTAAGTAGAAACTATAGACCTGAAGGTTGATGTCGCATTTGTTGCAACAAAGTGCCTGGATAAATGATAAAACTAGGTGAGAGATTGCATGAAAACTAGAATTTACAGAAAAATCTACGAATCCACTCTCCTCTCCGTGCAACCAATATCAGCGCGCTATTTGATTAAAAACTGGATGAATCTACTTACACATTATCGCTGGCGAGTCGCTGAACATTATTTACGCATTGATCAACCAGCTGTGAAGATTCACTCAGGGTTCAGAAAATAGTAAGCTTAAAAATTCAGGCTCAATGAACATGATGATTTAAAGTAAAATAAATACCTTGGTATTTATCTCTAGTCCAAGAAAATTCACATCTTTTATCCTTGTTGACATTCCAAATAAAAACAATCCATTTCCTATTATTATACAACCAAATAGTAATTATATTCAGCAAAAACAAAAGAACCTCACAAATAAATACAAATTAAGATCAATCAACGCAGATCAAGGCTCAATAAAAAACATTCAAGCTAGTGTGGGTCGAATTTTGGGGTCAAGATCATTTCATATGTTTGCAAAATATATGATCGTGTGATAACTACCACTTTCAAGATCAACAACCAGAGGTCAAACATCTGTGCCAGTGTGTGTCAAGTTCTAATAGAATTTCTGCAAAAAGCATGTGGTCTTCTGAAAATTACCACTTCCAATGTCTACAACCAGAGGTCTTGTTGGATCATTATAGGCAACGCTCCAGTCTATCTGTAAGGGGTATGCCTGCATAGGCCAAACAATTATATAAAATCAAGTAAAGAACTGTTGGTAGAATGTTAATCAAACTAGATATGGTGAAAGTGGATGAGTGTTTGGAAAAATATTGCAATCATCTACAACAGAAACTGTCCTAGAAAAGGAACCAAAACCTCTCTCAACATATATCACAACCAAACTGTGAAGAAAGTGAGAATTCAACAAGACATGCCTGCTATTGACTGTCCATATATCACAATCAAGCTATAGATTACATAGGAAAAAAAAAACCAAACTAATGGAACCATGGATTTTGATAGTGCATGAACAAATTACCATCCACTTCACAAATGGATAGTGCAAGCAGCAGTTTTTCAGAACTTGGGTACTTAACTGAAATCCAGTTCTTTCTGCCTCTGTAAAACCTGATATAATTTTCCAGCTGAATTTTATTTGGATGACCAATATATTGTCCATGGTGGCCTTAATATGAAGAATAACATCCTAAAAGTTAATATGATATGCATGAAAAACACATGTTTGATGGTAAAAGATTTTCAACATTTTGGGATAACTTGAACTGTATTCAGTTAATAAACTCAAGGTTCTCTGAGGTGAGTGATGATATTAAATTCAAACAAAAGGACTAATTGCTATTTCAGTATATATGCCTCACTTATGTTTTGAGTGCAATAGTAAACTAGGGAGTTCTAAGCATACCCTATCTAATGCCATGAGCCCAGGAAGCCTACTTCCCTTAAGAACTTCCCACAGCACCACAGCATTTTTTAAGAATTTATTGCTTGAACGAAACTTTGTTTTCTGCAAGAATTCACTGAATCCTGTTTTCCCAGCAAAAGTTACATTGCAACTGCTAAGACCATCAAGTGCTTCTGCAAGTTTAAGGGTTCCACCTTTTTCCTGTTTTGAAGAGCTCGAAATCAATGGGCCAATCCACAATATTTTCTGAAAAAAAAAAAGGAATTTTTTTTGTTAATTCAAGCAGAAAAAGGATGTATGGCAGAAAACACAACTCATAAAGAAATTCATGGAGTTGAGTGAAAAGATTGACTCAGCTTTAATAAATCATTAGCTGCAGTAAAAGGCCATGATAATAAATCAGTGTCGAAGACTAACACTTGCCTTCACTCTAGAAGTATTCCCCTTCAGCAAAATGACTAGTTTAAGTTATCTACTTATTACACCAGAAACTTGCCAAGATTGGTGCTCAATTTGCAAACAATCATTAGCTAACAAAAGTTTTACATTCACATAAAGGAAAAGCATTCCTGATCAGTTAAATACATCTGGAAGTTTGCAAGCACCTTGCATTGTGACAGTAAATTTAGCATTTCGTGCACTGATCTTGATCCAATATCAACTGGCTGCCAACCTGGAAGAGATAGTTGACAAATTACAAGCATTACATGAAAACTCAGCTTCATTTTTAATATACAAAAATGTGATGCAACATATGACATCAGAATAACCAGGATGCAAATGCTTGTATATATCATTCGTAAGTCACAAACTTACCTTCAGGTATAGAACAAACTGAAAATAGTTCGGTCTGGATTCGAGTATGTTCCTTGATGCACCAAACATCAGTTGGAAGTACAACTGGAATATTTCTTGACTTTGCCACCTCCACTATACCTCTAGCTTCGTTTACCGAGCCAATTTCAATCAAGTGCAATGGAACAGGCCATCCCATGGCATGCATTATTTGAAATGACATCTTTCCAACAAAGAATAAGCCATCACATGTAGATGCTAAGAACCTCATGGCAGCAGCTTTATCTGCAAGTTTGGCCCCGCCTATCTACACTTTATATTAAAGTCCAAATGAGAAATATAAAAAATTATTTGTAGAGATAACTTTTTCAAAAAATATCCAATGTGGGTAGAGTCTACACATACGACGACCATATAAGGCTTTTCAGTGGTGTTCATGATATTCTTCAGTTTATATATACACTCCTCAAAGTAGAATCCTGCAATGCAAGCAGAGCAAAAAGTAGCAATGCCAACAGTTGAAGCGAGAACTTTATGTGATTCAGAGAAGGCATCATTAACAAGTATATCAACACCAGATGCAAGCTCTTTGGCAAAGTTTGAACAGTTGGATCTTTCCCCCTTGAAGTGAAAAATGTTTTCAAGAAGAAGAATTACATCTCTTGCAATATCTTCTTCATCTGAATGCAAATAACCTGAAGCATAATTCACTGGAACGACCTTGAGTTGTAGCATTGACGACAGAAAATCTGAACAAGGAAAGAACAATAACAAAGCATGACGATATAATAATGGAAAATGGAATTGTGATTTGTGAAAAGCTAGCGTTATCCTCAAACTAGGAGAAATACTATATTATACCTGAAATATATTCAGCTGATGAATTTGAATTTGAAAGAGACCTGGAAGTAGCAGTTTCACTCCAGCAGCTCACCAGAATTACTTTTGCACCTGCTTCATATAAATACTTAATTGTGTATAAAGCATTTTCTGGAAAGGGCGTTCGAACTTCCTTTTTCCCTTGAACCAATATCATTGGATCGAATCTGACCATGACAACTTTCTTGGATAGGTCCTCCTTGGGAAAGTTTCTAAGAGTTTGTACATGTGGAAAAGCATTATATTTTTCACGCTCACCAAAGGCATCCTACAAAAAAATATGTCAAAGGCCAGTGTTTTTATCTTTATATCATCAAACTAGAAATAAGTCTGGTGTCAACTGAATCATTTTGCAAATCACAAAAAGAAATTCAGATCCTTCAAACATGAATCAATTATATAGATACATGTAGAGAGAATTTAACCAACTCAATGAAAAAAGAAGAAGAAGAAGAAGAAGAAGAAGAAGAACACAATAATACCTAAGTGACACTGTGACGATTCATGTAGCACATCCAACGGTGGGAGAGTTAGTCCGGATTTGGAATAAACAAGGAAAACGTAGAAAAGCCAAAGAATCCCATTTACAGAAAGAGGACACTAGACAGACGGAGACGGAGGCGGAGACGGAAGAAGATTAACGTACCTTTCGTACAACTGAACAGTCCCCTTGATTGACCGTCTTAATACAAACTGAAAAAGTTGAATTCAAGAAAAACAATGTTGTCGGCTTTAAGAAAACTGCATCGATGAATGCAGTACGCAAATGAAGAACATTTCTGGAAAAATACCTGGAGAGAAAAACGTGCTTTTCAAAGCAATAAAACTTCTTGGATGGAAACTTGATTTCCTCAACACCGTCTTGAACGGATTATGAGCGTCTAATTGATGAAGGGAGCGAACTTCTTTTGGAAATTCAAGAACTTGGATCATCTTGCAAACCCTCTATAGTATCTCGGAGAATTTTCTTATCCAACCTCAAGTTACCGTTAAAGGGGTTGTAAGTTCTTCTTTATTGCACATATGCCTAGAATGTTTGCTATTTGTAAATATGACCCTAGACAAACCCTAAACCCAAAAAATCCATCATAAGTGTTTTTTTTTTTTTTTTGCTTGAATTTAAAAGTTTGAATTCATTTTAGCCTTTTCGATTTTTTTTAGTAATTAAAAAATAATAATTTTATTAATCAGTTAAAAAATTCATATAATTTTAATATTTTTTCATATATAATTTATATAAAAATTAAAAAATATTTGATAATAATATGTCATTACTTATTAAAAAAAATAAGTTCAAGAATTTCAACCAAATCAATAACAATAATAAATAATTATATATTAAAAAAATATTTTAATTATAATTTAAACTATTACTTCTTTTGTTTTACATAATTATTTTTTTTATTTTATAATTATTTTTAATATATTTTTTAATTATTTATTCTGAACAGTAACACACCTAATTATATGGACGAAGGGAGTATAAATTAATAAATTTAAAATATAGTTAACAAGAAATTTATTTTAAAAGAATAATAAGATATAAAACCGTGGAACATACAATGTAGACAAAAAAAAATATAGAACTACTATGGGTGTGTTTGTTTGTTTATTCTCTATATAGTTTAGATTTTGAAGTAAACCAATGGTATGAGATAATATATATATATGTATTGATTAAATATTTTAAAAATAAAATTATTTTTTTAATAATATAAAAAATAAAAAATAAATATTTTATTTGATATTTGATATTACCTTTTAAACAAAAATCAACTGTGAAAAGAAAAAATTTGGCCCAATCCTTGAAAGAAGACATCGTATATCATTTTCAAAATTAATAATTTTATCCCATCAGTTTTCGGAATTTGGTATAAAGCCCCACCCGGGGACGCGGACGGGTACGTAATAAAAACCCGCTCCGTCGTCACTCCCTAATTAGGTAAATCGTTAGGGAGCGACGAAGTAAACAATCTGACTCAGCCGGAGATTTACCCTTCTGTGTCGATTCAGCGAAAAATATGGGGGCGGGTTTCATCGTCGGAGTCGTCGGAGTCTTGATTTTATCACACGCAGCTTACTCCACTATACAGTGTACGTTCGTTGCTTTGATTTGAGATGCCTATTCAAATATCGCCTAGGTTTTTTCCCCTTGTTTCACTCAGATCCTGAGACACTCCGTTATTGTTGATTTTATTTTCAGATAGGTCTCTACTGAAGATCACGGAGGAAGTTTTTTCTGGACCTCCAATCAATGTAATTTTCTTTTAACCCTATTCAAAGTTTGTTGTGTTTGATTTGATGCGTCGATGTGAGATTTCCCCTACTTCTGATAATCTTCCAGGTGGTGATTGAGTTGATAGCAGGGCTAGTGTTATGTATGTGGGCGGCTTTGACCGTCCCTGGAAAGTTTTTGTCCATACTTCCTCATTCAGACGAGAACAGGTTCATTATACTTTTCACAATCTTGTTCAATAATGTATACTTTTATTCTAACTTGAATGACTGTGTTGATAGAGTTGATGCAAATGCTTTCAACGATCTTAAGTATGTTGAACATGAAAATGGCGTCATATATTTTCAGCAAGTGCAGGAGAAGGATTTTTACTTCCCTGGTTGATTGCATACCTGACCTAAAACACTATTCATTTGCCTTTGTCAATTGCTTTGATTATGTACAAGTATGATGAACTGAATGAATTTAGCAACACTTGGTTATACTCCTATTCTAGATGTTACTTTGTTGTGGCTGTAGTATAAGTTAACAGACACATTCTTAAACTTTCTTTGTTGTTATAGTCCACTTATTGAAAACAATACAATCACCCATCAGTTCTCATTTATATTTATTAAGGGACCATATTTCTTGATTCCCATCTAGATTAGGTCATCATAATTCACACTTCTCCCATATCTTGTTTTGCCTGGCGTTCAGAGAACCTCATTTGTATGTCAAGAGACTTCAGTCATGGCTTATGTTGTTGCTCTCTGAATTAAGATATTTTTTACTTTTGGTATCAAGGTGGTACTGGTTACCCTCTCCGGAAGTGCAAGAGAATATATGATGAGTTTGATCTTGATGCTGTTTGGAACATTATTTTGTTTTATTGGATGACTATAGTCTAGTAAATGCTAAGTTGAGCCTGCTACATATATATTTTTCTTCAAGCAATAAAGTCCCTCTCCTTAAAGTCTATCTCCAGATAAATTTTAGTGAAGAAACTATGGAGCTTTTGGTCTTTATAGGAAGATTAATACATATGGAGAATATGAGTCCATAAAGTAGAATATAAAATAACTTTTCAAGAGCAAAATTGCTGTGAGATTTACCAGGAACCAGTTTCATTAGGTCATTCTACATCTATACATATCAATCATCTTTCTGTTCTGAATCTGTTTATGTGTGTCGCCTCTTTACATTTTGTCATGACTTTCAAAACTTAGGAAGCCAATTTACATAAAACCATCTTGCTTCTGTATCGAATGTTGTTCAAAGAATCGATTTTATTCTTATCTCCCTTGATCTGTGCAAAGCAGGGTGGTGAGTTTACCTGCCAATCTGGATTTCATGATCTTCAACCACCGAGGAAAGGCATTTCCCCTGGATATGGATGTGAAGCTCAAGTGATGTGATGCATGCATGAATGAATGCCATGCCATATTTTGCTTAATTTGTGAGATGTATTGTCTCATATCTGCTGTTCTGTTGAATACGAAGCCATTATTTGTTTAGTTTGTCTGCTTTGTGGCAAAACTAAATTACCACTACCGATTCTGTGTTTTGAACTATTTTAATATAAAAACGAAAAAAAAAAAAAAATGGGGGGAGGGGAGGGGAGGGGATGGGATCATACTAGTACAAATGCAGATAATTTATTTTTTTTCCAAAAATACAGGGAGAAATTTCCAAATACAAGATAAACACATCCCAATGTGTTTAGCAGGGTTTGATTTTATATCTTGAATTTTGATTTGAACATTATTTTGAATATGATATTTTATTAAAACAATTATATATATGTTGGAGGGGTGTGAAGGTTGCACAGCAAAGAAAAAAAAAAAATAAACTGCTAGACTTTGAATATTTTTGTAATTTTGATCATTATTTATCAATGGGGTAAAAAAAATTTATCTACACAATAAAATATAAAAATGCTTTAATCTATACATTAAAATCATATTTTCTTCGTTTTATTTAGTTTATTACTGTTATATTAATAAATAATAATTATGTAACTATCTTTTATTTATTCTATAAATTTTATCAATTAGTTAATAAATTTCTTATAATTTACATTTTTATTATATTAAAAAATATAAATGAAACGAAGGGAGTAATATTTTAAATAAAAACTATGTTATATTTCCTCCCGTAGAAAAATTCTAGGGCTTTGAAACAAATTGGGCTATATAAACATGAGGCAAGAAATTGGGCTGGCTGATCATCGGATAAGCTAACTTTTTATAAGTGAGAAGGGAGGAGGAAAAGGCCATCGTCGAGAGAAATGGAGAAGTACTTCGGAAATGCATATAGGGGCGACCCCGGCGTTCCTCACTCCGGCCATGAGCCCTTCGTTAACATATGGATTGGGTCGGCCGCCTTCTCTGCCCTCACCTGGATCAACCCTTACATGTGGCAACTCACCAACCAATACAAGTACGCCTAATTCCCTACTCCACCCCCACCCGCGTCTCTGTCTCCTTGTGTATTCGCTTTGTGCTTTCAGTTACTCGACTGTGTTGTGGGTTGTAAATATTTTGAGTGAGTGGTTTTCGTGCACCGCGTATGCAATTTGTGTTATCCGACGCTTTGGATATCGAAGGGTTGCGTAATTTGCTTTTGCAAGAGATTTCTGTTGATTTGGTTTTTGTAGTTTGATGTCAAGGAATTGAAGGCACGACTACTGATGTTTAGGAGACTGTAAATAGTTTTAATACCAACACGTGTTTAGGGCTTTGGTTAGTTGAGTAGCTTCTGGTCATATGTGTCATCCTGATAGTCACTCGAAAGTGTTTGCTGTGTATTTCTGAGTTGGGGCTGGCTAATGTGGAATTGGAGAACATTTCATTTTGTCAAAAATGCCTAACATTTCATTATGTATTTTGTCCAAAAAATGCCTGGGTGTTTTGTATAAATGTGCTGTGTGATGGATGGCTGCTGATCTTGTCCGATGATGAGATATGTGAATAAATTTTCTCGTTTTTGTGTTCCTGGTTTCATTTCTTACAAGATTATGTCCTACAATTGTTGTTTGGATTCTGGAAATATTACCCTCAATCCCAGGCTGACTTAATGTAGGGATTCAATAGGAAGAAACCATCCTAACACATTGATGATTGTGAAAGGCGACAATACTCTGTCTTTTGTAACAATTTTCTACGTATTGCCCTAAGTTGCACATTTTCTGAGAGTATCATTCATCTCCTGGATAGCCTACTTATGTTCACTGTCACTGCCCCCATCTTTTCATTTTAAAAAAATGGAAATGAGTGTCTTAATAGTGTTGCATTTTCATAATTCATATCAATGTTGCTTGTTTTAAGTGCTTCAAGTTGGAATATACTTTTTCTACTTTCTCTTGGACTTCAATGGGACTGTCCTATTTTGTTGGATTACCATTATTTTATTCGAGTTGATTGTCTGTGTTACATTTTATTTAATTTCTATGCATACATGTAATTGATTTGCTTCTCCCCTGTTGCAAAGTTAATCTATTTCATTTGCAGCTGGCATGACAAAGCAATGCTGTTTGAGCAATATCACTGGAAGAAGGCCTGTGCAAAAAATGAGCCCTACAAATTTATGGTACTCATTAGTTTTACATTTTATAATCTTGAAAAAAGGATATTCAGCCATGCATCTCAACATTTTGAATTGCGGCCTAAGAACATGACCTATGAGATTGTTTCTTACATATGTTTTTTCATTTTGTGACAGTGGAATCAGATGCCCCGAGAGGTTCGAGACAGCTACTACATCAACTGGCCTGTCTACTTCCCTTAATATCCTTCTGTAGCAGCAGCATGTCTTGCTCTGTTCAGTACCTAAACCTCTTCCCGTTTGTTTGCAGTCAAATGCCGTAACATTTCTCAATTTGTCCTCGTCATGTTGAAATGTTTTCCCATAAGTTGTGTATGAACCTATTTGATGAAGGTCGATAAACCTAGAGATTATGCACCTATTTTATTGTCTCTTTTCCACCAAATTAAGTTTCTTTCTGTGTTTAGGATAAATTCTTCATAATGTCTAAGAAAAAACAGGATCGACGCCTTGTTGATTGATAGTAATGTTGTTTGTGCACTGCACAAATGCAGCAATCAGTTCTATCTCTAAACCATGATTCCTGTATAGGAACTCAGCTCATTAATATCACGTTCTTGATACATACACTGCTTCTTACAACAGAGCCATTTATGGTAATACAATTTCGACTATTTCCAGTGTACATCTACTACAAGATAATATCTTTGCAGTCGAGATGAACCGATCATCGCATACCTGTAGATTGAGTTAGTTCAGTTGGGACTGAGCAGCTCGAAGATGAGGTGAACCAGGTCGGAGCAGAGGAGAAAGAGGAGGAGAAGGCCGAAGAACACGATGGCGAAGCGAAAGATGAAGAGGAAGAAGATGAAGAGGATGAAGCCATAGAAAAGGATAAAAGGTGAATCATCCACCACGAATATCAACGCCATTGATTTGGATATAAACTGACTACCTCTTCTTGGCTGCCATGGATTGGAATAGAAGAAGCTTGGAAAATTAGAACCACCATTAATCATTTTGCCATTACTTTCAATCGTTTTCAGTAGGAAAACTTTTTCTTCCACCGTTGATTAAATGCAGCTGTATAGATCACGCAAAGCTTCGAGAAGATTGGAGAATTAAATCACAAAATTTCCAGCCCAGTCTAAGTAATTGGGCCAACGGCCCATAAAGCCCAATAATTGCTGCAATTAAGCCCAGATTTGATTCAATCTTTCTAGATGGGTTTGACTTTTACAATTGGAGGTATATAAAGCCCACAGAAAGATTAAATTAAAAACCAATGTGAACCCAAACATTAAAATTGAATTTAGAAATTTAGATTAGAGTGCAGGCAGGCAACTTGGGTTTGAGTTTTGACTGTACGTATTTAATAAAAATTCAAAGGTAGAAATTCAAAGATGGAGAAATTTGACAAAGTCAAAAAAAAAAAAAAAAAAAAAAGAAACAGTGGGAAGAAGAGTGGAGAAAAGGGACAGTGGTGTTTCTGGGTTTGATTGAACAGCAGCCTTTTTTGAGACAGGGAACGAAAGAGATCATCATCGTGATTTGCCCTACACGTGATTTTTATTTTTTTAATTTAATCTTGTACTCAACGATTGGGTTGAATTTGAAGTTGAATTGTCGAGTCAGGCTTTGTATTGTATTTTTGGTATTCAATTCAATAATGTGGAAGAAAGTTTATCTGGATCAACAATCTGAATGCGTACATGTAAAGGTATGTATGTATAATAATGGCATAATTAATTACTATATATATATATATATTAAATTGAATTCTGATCCATCTGTAGGTTGTTGAGAGGAATCCATCTCAGACGGTACAAAAAATGACGTGGATCCGACACGAGTTTTTGACCTAAATTTATATCGTGTTTTTCCCAAAAATAAAAAAAAAAAAAAAATTGTGCACATACATTAGAAACACATATATCGAGTTAATTTGTCCATTTTATTTTGATAGGTAACGTTGTAATAACTTAATAGTTTCATTATAAAAAAAAAATTAAAAATTAAAAATTTTAAAATATAATTCCCATAACAATCTATTCATATTTTTTCAAACTATTCATTTTTTTATTTTTTATTTTTTTTTAAGTAATTGTAATATCTACCTAACATTACAAATACTCTTTCAATTTATAATATATTATACAAATATCATTACATTTATATCATACAATACTAATATGATTATTTTAGTCTTTTTACTTTTATTTCTATTTTATCTCAATATAATACTAATATATTTGTTGAGTAAGAAAAATCTGGATTTATAGATTAGATTATGAGTTTGGGTATAGGCCCAATGGTCAAGGTGTGGTTAAAAAATGGACTTTCTTGGGAGAACCTGTGACTAGGTGTTCGGTGGATACAGAGGTCGGACGAATGAAAGGGAGACAGTAGATATTTAGGTTGATTTACTTGGAGGTCGGATGAAGGAAAGGGAGATAGTAGATATTTAGGTCGATTTACTTGGAGGTCGGACAAAGAAAAGGCGGCCGATGCGGAGGTCGAGCAAATGGAAGACGGGCAAAGGGAGATGAAGTCGGGCGAAAAACAGTTCTGAGGCGGTTGAAATAAGTTACAACTAACAATCGAATATGAAGGCACGATATTAGAGAAGTTACTTTTACAGTATGTAGTATTTCTTTTAAATTTTTCTTTTGTATCGCTACGGTGTCTAGGAATTCTTAATCCCATACATTTATTTAATCAAATTTGAAGATGATTTCTCTTTTCGAATTTCACTTTTTTATTCTTAAAAAATTTGCATCAACAATACTCTTTTTCTATATAAAAAAAATGTAATTAAAATTTTTCGACAGGAATTTTATCTTTTATAATATAATAAAAAATAAAAATATTTAAAAAAAAATAATAGTAATAAATTAGAACAATTTTAAAAAATAGAGGAAGTATATCTTATCTATTCAAATAAATTATTAATTCAATACATATAATAGTATTATTATTTCGTATTTACGAAGAAAAATCTTTCAATCTCAAAATATAAAAGATAACACTCTTATTTATTTATTTCCAAGCAGATTCTCAAACCCAAAACCCATTCATACTCCCCGTGAGGTGGTTGTTGTGATTTTGATGTTTTTATTTATTTTAATTAATAATAAAAATGACGATTTAAAATTTATTGTTTAAAAAATATTTAAATGAATAATCCACGTAAGAATTTGGATGGATGCGTGAATAAGTATGATGTCGTCACAGTCATGGCTGAGTCAGAATCGCTCCAAAGGTCAAATCCTAATATTATGACCTTTCTCTACTTTTACTATTCACCTTTTTGAAATTTTTAAAATTGATTTGTACATAATTAATTACACTTGGCCCAATATATAAATACATAGTATTAATTTTTATTTTTATTTTATACGGGAATCTGCAGCCGCTACGTGAAAATGCTGAATAAATATCTGATCAAATCTAATACTCTTCAAAATAAATGTGTTGTTATTGATGGATGGGTGGGTGGGTGGGTGGGTGGTGTGACGGTTGTAGTGATGCTTGGTGTTAAAATTAGGTAATTCCTATGCACATACATACATCAGAAAATTATGGATCTTATTATTTTGATATAATATTAAAAATTGTTATTAATAAATATTGTCAAAAGTTTAAAAATATGTAATAATAAAGACAAGATGTATATGTATACCACGGCAGGCAACAACCTTCTAATTTAATTCTTGCGGATGATACATGCGTGTTATCTATAATTATTAATTCTTATAATGCATGTCTAAAAAAAATTGCTAATTCATCAATTCAAAATCAATTAATTAAGTGGTGATTGTTTTATAATCAAGCAACAAATCAATTTTAATTGGTGATCAGATAACATTTTGTTTTATTAAATCATGCGGAATGACGATGTTGCTGATGGTATCATTTTGTTTGCACCCCAATATGTTCTACACACACACACATATATATATATATATATATTTTTTTTTTAGATCCTATTTTTTGGTATACTATAGGATTATTATGGAGTTTAAAATTAAATAAAAAAAAAATAATGAATAGTGTCACAATACATGCTGGAATTTGTTATATTTATTTAGCATGTATGATTGAATGGTAACGGTTGGAATATAATGTTGACTAGTAAATAAAATACTTATGAACATTAATTATTACAGCATATTTCAATATATATTGATTCATTCATAATTAATATTGCTCGTGCATTCTTCTATATTAAATTTCAGCAACTACATTTTTTTATTTATTTTATTATTTGTGACTCTGAAATTTATTTGTACTAACAATAGGTGTCTGAAAATAAGTACTAATATTGTACAGTACTATATATATACACACATATGAGGAGTCGTGTTTGTCCCAATTACATACACATTGCTTATTTTGGGGTCCAATTTTTTGTCTACTTTATTAGTCATCTTTGACTATGCAATAAACACTACCAAATTAAGTAATATTCAAACTCAACTCCTCAAAATATATATTAAAAATAATATAAAATAAAATAATATCCATCGAATTATATTTATCCACGGCGAAGATAAATTGTCGATTTAATTTGGGAGGAAATATTGCAAAATGAAAAGTTATATATTCTAAGCAATTACAACTGCATGTGTCACGCATGTAAATTCGATTAATCTAATAGTGAAATAATGGGACCAAAAAAAAATAAAAATAAAAAAAGTATTGATCAAATTAAAATAAAAATGCCTCGCTCGAATGTCACAATCAAACACTTTAGTGGACAATATTTTAATTAATTGAATAATCGAATTAACAAGGTCGCTATTGAACGTGGAAAGTGACGTAAGCATGTGCGTGATAATTAATTAATTAATTAATTAATATTTAAATCATTATCTATCATCTTCTTCAGTTCCAAAAAACATACGTAATTCCCTACACAGCCATTATTTGCAGTTCCTGTTTGTGTTGCTTTCCTGTAATGACAAATTTTATTTGTTAATGATGAAGCAATTAGGGTTTTATCCATTCACATTTTATTCTCTCTGTACTGAAATATTATTGTCGAATTCATTTAATTTAATTTTATATGTATGAAAGCATTAGGACACTCTGGATAAGATATGTATTGCAACAAAATTCTTTCTTGCAAGGAACAACTAATCAAGTCCACTGCTGATGCATGCCTTTTTTCTAATTACTGTAAGTGTATATACAAAAAATTAAATTAATTATCAATCAAGTCCCATTATAATATTGAATATAATGAATTTATTTTAGAATATTTAGTGGAAAATATATAATAGTTAGATGTCATTTTGTAAAAATGGAGTTTAAATATATATATATATAATGTGAAGTTTGTATTTAAATAAAAAAAAAATTATAAATTATTGAGATTTGAGAATGACGGCACTGAATTAACTTAAATTCTACTCCATAACATGACAAGTACATTTTCAACATTTAAATTCCCACTATGTAATATTCTTGACCAATATTGGAGAAATCGATTGCCCATCTGAAATCAATAAACAACAAGTAAAATAAAATAAAATAAAATAAAATAAAACTTTAATTTTTTATTAAATAAAAATGGGCAGTTAATTATACCCTTTGTAGAAATGAAAAGTCAGAATTATTGAACCCTAGCCTAGTTATATCAGATTAAAGGCTCTTCATCTAAACAGTAGCTGTTGGATGTTGGTAAGAGCCGTACGTGCTTTTTTGTCTGTCACAAAAAATTTCTTCTTTCATTATTAGTTATTACAGACTTGTTGAACAATTATTGTACACACAAAATTTCCACGTATAATTATGGCAAAATAATTCCATGCAAACTATTCATTCATAAACAAACAAACATAAAATTGAATAAGTCCATAGAAATATTGAATCAATTAAACAGCCCTCGAAAAATGTAATTACAAACCTCAATAAATGTTGCCAACTGTATACAGAGATATAATAAGCTGATCGATATGTTCAATTCATGTATATAATAAATATCTGGAAAATACTATTTATTTATAACATATAATTGAATTATATATGTTACGTAGGAAAGTGAAATGCCCAGAAATAATGACAAGTGAAGGAAATTGAAGAAAAATATCTATAGATTGATAATGTCCATATAAATATCCAGTACCCTTTTTTTTTTTCTTTATATATATATATATATATAAATATCCAGGTTTTAATTTTGGTAACGAACTTCAATACCTTTTTTTGTGAGTTGGCTACAATTTACTTCATTTATGTATGTAAAGTCCGTATGGGCATGGCGTTTGTTTGTGTTGAATTTTTCCATTTTTTTTTTTTTTTTTGAGAAGTGATCCCAATAATTGTCTCGAAATGATAAATTTTGTTTGGGATTTTATAATAATATAAACTCCCTCCGTTCACAAACTAATGTCCTATTTTTTTATTTGGGATTTTCAATAACTATTATCTTATTTTCTTTTTTAAACACAAATTTTATATTTTTCCATTTCATTTATTTATTACTTTTAATCTCTACCATACAATTACGAGCAAATTTGTCAATTCATAATAAAAAGACAATCACCTAAAAAACTGTACAAATATACTTTAGAACAGTAGAAATTCGAGGGGGAGTAGTTTATTCATAATTTTGTGATTTATCTTTGCATCATAATTGTCAAGTCCAGTGTGTCAGGAGGATACTTAGATGCTGATTAGTTTTAATAATTACATAAAAAAATTTAATACATAATTTCAATTAAATATATTTCTTCCATCTCATAATTATATATATGTTTGCTTTTTAGACATAATTTTAGAAATATTAGTATTATATTAGGATATAGTAGAAATAAAGTAAAAATTACTAAAATAATTTTATTAGTATTGTGTTATATAAAGGTAATAACGTTTGTGTAATATATTGTAAGTTGTAAAAGTATTTGTAATGTTAGGTAGATAATACAATTACTAAAAAAGAAAATAGATACTTTGTTATGGGACACTTTTTCCGTCCGGCTAGAAAATATACATATTTCTATTTTGGGACATCAAATTACAAAGTAAATATTTCATTAAATACTTCATTTTTTCTACAAATACCCCTAGTATACATCATATCATTGTTTTTACACCAAAAAGTAAGGGCAAAAATGTCATTATCCTACTTTTAACTATTCACTGTGATCAAAATACTACTCCCTCCGTTCCGATACAATAGTCTTGTTTACCATTTTTGTCCGTTTCAAAACAATAGTCTTATTTCCATAAATAATCATATTACTATAAAATTATCATTATTTTTTCATTATTATTACACAATTGTCACTACTTTTTACACCAATACACTCATCAGGGCAAATAAAAATTTTATCTGTATTTTTTATCTACTATCAATATAATATCAATATTTCTTAAATCTCGTGTCATACACAACCAGACTATAGTTTTGAGACGAAGAAAATATTATTTCTTAAACACTGCCCTAAAAGTAATTGCATATTTTATGTGTGGACGAAAGGAGTATGTTTTATGAATATATATTCCGCGCTAGAATTAATTGTATAGTGTTTAGTTAGTTTATATAAATATTGTACTGTAATTATATCTAAATTATTGATGAATTAAGACTAATATTGAAATTACAAAACCTAATATTTGAAATTGGGGATTTTGAATTTCATACAACATTGGATTCTCCGAGAGGGGGGACCCTCCCCTCCCATCACATTTTTTGTCATTCTTTTCAAATTAGCCTGCGGTCGTCATCCAGCATCCGGCCCCGGCACAACCGCATCTTTAATAATGCCTGAATAAGACATACTTTTTTGTTTATGAAGCAAATTAAAATAGTATATCAAATGCCACGTGGATTCTCGTATTAACCACGGCCACGTCTTCTAAACTCAACTCTTTAATTTATTAATCGTCTAATTAATCATAAAAACAGATAAGAAATACAATAAAAAATCTCGTATTTTTATACTACATAAACTACAAAAGAAGCTGACAACGTACAAAGTCGGACAATAAAAACAACCTAACAAATACCGGCCCCCGAATTTTTATATATTTCTACCACGTAGACTCGCTCAGTGATTTTTTATATATAAGTAAAAATTTTTCCGAAAAGGAAAATTTGTTCTCTTGTTTAATAACATAATTATATTAATATTTAATTTTTTATATACATTTAAAAATATAATGAACTCTCTCCCTTAACGGACGGACGGCATATCCATTCACATAACGGAGCATCCATTCGGGTTTTCGTCGCTAAACATTTGGTCATTTATGTTCATGTACGTCGGCGGCGGCGGCGGCGGCCCTTGCCGGTAGTGTCCGCCGTAGTCCGCAGCAGGATTGTACGGATACGGCGGCGGATAACTGTAATTTTGAATACCGTAGTCCTGATTTGTGTAGCTCTGGTTGTAGAACATAGCCATTGGCGCTGCGTAATGCGTCTGCGGATTGAAGCTGTGGTATTCCAATTTGCTAACCTCCACCTTCGGTGCCTCACCCGCACCTTTCTCGCCGCCTTCCTTCTTCTTCTCGTCACCGCTCTTCTCTTTGCCGTCCGCCGCCTTCTTTTCTCCTCCGCCGCCTTCTTTGGACTCCTTTTTGTCGCCGGCGGCGGCGGCTTCCTTTTCCTTCTTGTCTCCACCGCCGTCGTCTTTCTTCGCCGGAGGGATGATTTCTACGGTTCTCTTGAGTTTCTCCTTTAAGTATGCTGTTAGCTCTTTCACGTTCATCGTCCCCGTTACCGTTACCAAATCCTTTTGGAGATCTGTTTTTACCGTGTTGACACCTGCAGAGGATGAAACATTTAGAATTAATTAATTAATTAATTATAAAATAATCGTGGTTAAATTGTTAATTTGGGCTTCTAGAAAATTGTTTGGAATAATATCGATTAATTAATTATAACAAGTTGAGATTTTGTTGAGGTATAAATATAGGGGTGCCGACTTTTAAATAGGATTAATTAAGTGCAATAAACTCAGCCAACTCACCGTCGATATTCTTTAATATCACTCGCTTTATTTTATGGGCACACCCGTCACAGTGCAGCCTGATTTTCATCACCACCGTACTAACTGCAGCCTGAACCAGAGACGATAACCACAGAATTTAATTAATAATTAATCAGATCAAATAACAACCACATCAATAATAATAGTAATTTATTTCATCCAATTACAGATATAGAAAATTATTGATGTACCTCTTTGGGCTTTTCCTTCTTATCGGGTTCGGGCTTCTTTTCGTCGGCTTTCTTGTCGGCTTTGTCGTCGGGCTTCTTCTCGCCGGCGGCTTCCTTTTTGGGCTGAGGAGAGACGAGTTCAACCTTCTTCTTCGTTTTGTACTCGACTCGTTCCCGGAGCCATGCGGGGTCCACATTGCCGGTCACGGTCAACGTGTTGGCCGAGCAGTCTGCCTTCACCTTCTCGACACCTTCACAGATAATTTTTTTTTGTTTAGGTTTTAGTAACCCACGGCTATGATGTGTATTGGGTAAATATCATTAAAATATTTTGAAACAACAGTATAGCCATGGCTATAGAATCATAAGATGAATTTGAAATGACATATGACGGATTCAAGGGTTTTATCTGTTTTTTTTTTTTTTTGACCGTTACTTCTGGATGCATCCAAAGGCTGTTCCCTTGGGAGCTCCGAAAAGTCTATGGTGTAGCGGCAATATCAAGAAACCATTGACATAGCAGTCTACTTTAACAACAAAATTTACAAATGATCTGCTTTTGTGTTTATCCGAAAACAGAGTTAAAAAATGGATAAAAAACAATTATACTATTAATTCCATGAATCTATTGTGATATGCTTCAATTTCACATCTTCTTGTCCTCTCAAATCCTTACTGTTTGCTCAGAATGATTTATCTTATCATTTTTCTACTCAACAGAATTCAGAAATTGCAGATGCGAGATACCTATCAGTGCAACAAATTAGGAAAAGTACCTTCGAAATGGTTAACCGCACGTTTGACTTTCTTCGCGCACCCTTCGCAATGCAAGTCCAGCTTCAACACCACGGTCGCCGGCGCAACTTCTTTCTTTCCACCGCCGTCGGCGGCTTTCTTCTCTCCTTCCTGTTTCTAATTTAAAAATTAGAAAACGAAACAGGAAACCGACCAAATTAAGCCTCGCCTCCACAACATACAAAATCATTCGGAAACATAAAACACAAAATTGAACCAATTGCCTGAGATCTGAAGAAGATCATTACCTCACCCATTCGATTTCACTATCCACGCAGATAGAATTCACAGTGTGTGAACCAGAAAATTCAGTAATTGTTTGAAGGGAGGAAAATGGAGGCAACTGGGGAAATATATATAGATAGAAGATTAGAAATGTAGAAAATCGGCTTAGGCGGCTACGATGGCGTGGGCCCCCAACCCTTATAGAATACTGACCCATTTCCTGTAAGTATATGTATTTATATATGCTGTATAATACTCAACTATGTCATGTATGACAATGCCCGCCGGATTAGACTGAACCCGGATCTCACGGACCGGATCCTCCGCATTTCAAACCCAGACCCTGCCCCGGTCTATACGTACACATTTATTATGTATAGCCTTCGTAACAAAACCGCCAACTCTGACTCCAGCCATATTCCCCACCACCTCAAATTACGCTTTTGCCCATCCAATTAACAACCTGAAATTACGCTTTTGCCCATCAATTTTACCACGGCATTTTGAAATTTTATTTTTTAGCACACAAAGTTACAATTTACATACTAACAAAAAACTAACTGTATCATGGAATTTGTTGTACAATAATGATTGGGAATCACAACATCACATTTGCAGTTAACTAATTAGATTTAATTAGAGCCATTTGTATATGTGACTGTGGGTGAGTTAAATTATTGTGAATAAACTTTGCTTGGCTGTGGATTTAACAACATTACAATTCACTCACGACAAATAATTATCTTCAAATGTCACTTGGCATTAATTGTCACAAGGAATAATTAAGCATCGCTAACCTCCAATTTTACACGTCGGAACCCAACAACTCCCATTTTATATTTCTATGGCAAAAGCAAATTATGATAATATAAAATTTAAAAAATGGCCACTTAAGCATGAATTGGTGAAATTGTGTACTGCTGCTTCGATTTTAATTCAATTTGTGGTACAATGCTGTGTCAGATTCTTACACGTACCCTTCCCCACATTGTACCAATTGTTATTATTAATCAACATCAACTGTACTTATACTTAGCTCACTGCATAAAATCAGTTCGTATTGTTTTTAATGTCCTAGCATTAGGTCGTTGATTACTGTGACGTAGCTAGTTAGGTGACAGGCAGTGAGACTAACAGCAGCATGCATTTTGTGGGCGATGATGGATGATTTTGCTTAAACATTAATCCAATTAAAAAATAATTAAAAAAAAAAAATTAGTGAGGAAAAATATTGGGCACGATGGATGAGGACTGGATGTTTGAATACAGAAGCGACTTGATGTTTCTAGAGAAATTAATAAAAGTCGTGGAAAGTAATTTATTGAAATATTGGACCACGGGATATGGTCATTTACATCTACGTAGGGCTATTATTTAATTTAATTACCAAAGATGCAGAATTTAAAAATATCTACACTAGACTTGCCCAACTACGAGCTCACTTAGCCCTAACTATTAATTACAATAATATAATACTAAATTATTATATAGTATTATTAATATTATTGACTTATTGTTCTAAACTAAACTTTTTATTTAGGGTGTGTTTGTTCGAGGGTTTGGATTTTGAATTGAGATTTGAATAGTAAAAATTTTGAATTTGAATAGTTGTATGACCGTGATATAAATAAGTGTTGATGTGATATTTTGAATGTAAAATTGATTTTTAGTATAATATAAAAAATAAAAAATAGGTGTTTGATTTGATTTTTTTGGGGAAAAAAAATTGGATGAATAATATAAATTCAATCCAATCCCCCAAACAAACACACCCTTAGTAAACATGCATAGTATATCTTAAGATAGTCTTTGAAGATGAACATATATATATTTTATTTCAAAGATTTTTGTTAAGAATAATTCAATCGTTAATATTATTATTTTTATTATTTTAATCTATAGATGATCATATTAAAATTCTATATAATATAATAATGCTTGTATAATTTATCTTAAGAAAATTATATTATAAAATTTACATAAGGTGTTTATAGAAAGATTTTGATATTGATTTTATTATTTTATTTAATTTTTAAAAAAAGGATCAAATCAAATATTTATATTGTATTTATTATATTGAATTAAAATTTAATTTTACATTAAAATTTCATATCAATAAATATTTATATTATATAAAATAATTATTCTAATTCAAAAATTTATTAGTCAAAACTAATATCCAAAACCAAAACACCACAATTAAACACTCATAAAAATATTCTCAATATTTTTGTGATTTTTAGTTATTATTTTGACACCACAAAAAATATAATAAATAAAATACAAAGAATGTTTAGTTGTATTTTTTTATTTTACTATAATACTATTTATTAAAAAATTATTTTATAGAAAATACTAGTAAAAATTGGACACACCCAAATCCTATATATTTTTAATAATAAATTATGTAATTTTATTATTATTATTATTATTATTAGGTTCTCATCGTTGGATCGTCACCTAATTTGCGCATTTTCATTGGCCAATCCTAACGCTGTTTCGACGCCACTATTCAATTGAGTTTGTATTTGCGCCTGCTCAAGTGTAGAACTATGGATGTTAATTCTACGGAGCACTGCATATTGCACGCGTCTTTGCCCGGGAAAGGAGAAATGTAGAGGCAGTATGCTCGAATTTGAGTAGGTGTGTTTTTCTGTTAGTTTCGCGAGTAGTTCGGCCTTTCTCAGTTGCGGTTTAATGCGTATCCTCGTTGGCAAGTTGTTGTCTTCAATTAATTTGCTTCCGATTCTGGTACGTTTTGTACGTGCTCAAATTAGGTCAAAAAAGTGTGGATTGTTTTTCGTGTTTACTATCTGTTGGTTTTATTTAATGTTTGCACCTACTTTTTTGTATGCAAGTGAAAGTGGTGATTAGGACTTAATTTAGGTTATGCGCACTTATGTGGTTGTGCGATCAATATTTTCAGTGTTGTGGTTAGAAATAGTTAGATGTTTATCTGTCCGTTCAGATGAATTATTCAGCTGTTAATAATGGCGAAAATTGGAAGTTTGAGAATGAGAGGGTAACATTGAGATGAAATATATGGAATTGCGTGTATTTATGCGAATAACTAAAAATAGCATGTGATTTTGTGACCATCTTCACTAATTGAGGAGCTTTTCTATAATTAATGGTGACTATATGATATAAAGATAAACAGTGCAGAGACAAGGTCTCATATGGCCTTACTGAACATACACACACGCACATACACATCAATGTGGATGTTCTGCATTTTGAAAGATTGACAATTAGGAAAACTAGCATTGCTTAATACTATATATCAGGTAGTGATCAGATTCCGTAACATGCAATCTCCTCCGACCTCCTCCTTCCCATTATCATCTTCAATTGGCTACAAATGTTCCAACGTATCCTATTCCAACAATAAAGAACGCACCTGCCTGTAGCAGCAAATAAATGAAAAAATGGTTGTTCCCGAATATGATGTTGTATATCGCACACTGTAGAAGGTATACCCCCACAATCAGCTCCAATACCTGAACCCTGTTTACAGTGTCAATCATCATAGGTTAGCATAGAGGAATAACATAGGATCTCACAGAGGATTCATTACTTTCATTCATGTTTAAGGTGACCCTGAATCCATATTCTATTTACTTCCCAAGACAAATTGTGTGTAGACTCACTCCCCCCCCCCCCCCCCCCCCCCCCCCCCCCCCCCCCCCCCCCCCCTCAATTCAGGGGAATATCAGGGGCCAATCAGGGGTATAGTATAATATTGCTTTATAAACCAAGTTACCTTTCTCTGATGCGTGATCTTGGCCTCTTGGGTGCCCTGGTATTGTACTTCTGCTTCATTGTATTCCCTAGCTTTTCAGTCACAACCCATTCATTAACTCGGTTGGCTTCGAAGAGTCCTATTATGGTTGCTTTTGATCTATGGAGAGACATGACATTCTCAAACAGTATCCAGAACACAAGAAGGTGGATGGACCTGTGACAAAGTAAGTGGAAACTCCCAACAATTAATCTGAAGGTATATCGTAATAAGGTGACAACTAATTTTTGCTTTTGCTTATTTGTAACTTCATGCCTTAGAGTGGAAGCTGCATTGAGAAGGGTAATGGCTGCTGGGAGATAAATAGCTAGCAGCTTTGGGAGATGAACTTCTGGAACTAATATGGTTGCTGGGATGACAATGCAGTAAAAGAAAAAGGTAACCCAATGGGCTATTATCTTCCTTACGAAGAAAAATGCATAGATCACATGCCATTTCTTCCAGATTGATACTCGCTGCATTAAGTAGGAACAACACCAAATTAGTTTCATAGGAACCATATAATCAAATCCACAATTGAAGTAATAGTCAACGACTAAATGGAAAGAAATCATAGATTGTCACCTCGCAAGTAACAATTTCCTTGAACATTTTCCTAAAGAGATTAGCTGGGCCACATGACCAACGATGTTGTTGATATCTGTAAGCCTTAAATGTACTTGGCAATTCATTTTTGACCTGATACAATATATATATATATATATATATATATTACTCATGTTGTTTTATGTCACAAGAGTAACTGAGTAAATACTTTAGCAACATTTCCATCATTTCAACTCACCGATAGGTCACCCACAAAGAGGAACTTCCAACCTTTGAGGCTAGCTCTAACAGCAAGGTCCATGTCTTCAACTGTGGTCCTGTCTTTCCATCCCCCTGCATCATTGAGTGCACTCATCCTCCAAACACCAGCAGTTCCTGAAATTAATGTTAAATATCTTAGATTTATTGCATATCATTATTTAATAGAAAATGAAGTTTCTTGAACTGATATATATATATATATATATAAAGTAAGTTGTAGATAACCATTGAATCCAAAGAATGAACATGTTGAAGATCCCACTTCTTGCTCAACACTGAAATGATAGTCTAATGACATCTCTTGGAGGCGAGTCATCAAACATTCATCTGCATTCACTGCATAATTAGATTATTGTTAGTTCCTTGACCATAGTACTAAGTAAATCTGCTAAGTAGCATCATTTTTTTCATTTAATTTCACTGGGGCCTGGCATTTAAAGCAGTTGTTAACCTTGTCAGCTACTTAGAATGCTTTGATTATGCTCCAATGTGACATCTTTCCAAAATTTCAGTGGTTAGTTTGCCTTTTGAAATTTTAGTGACGAACTGTTGCATGTAAACCCCTTCCAATCTAAACAAGACAAAAATCATAATTTACTAGGACTTACCAAATTTCCACCTAGCCTGAACCAAGCCCAACTCTGGGTTTTCAAGTAGGTAGGGAATAGTTCTCCAGAGGAAGTCTTCTTCTGGCTGAAAATCAGCATCAAATATTATGACAAATTCACAATCCTCAGCGTATTCCTTCTTTAGACCTTCTCGAAGGGCACCAGCCTTGTAGCCATTCCTGTTATTCCTTGTCTCATACTTAATATTAACACCTTTCTCCATCCATTTTCGGCACTCTAATTCAACCATTTCCTGCATATGTATGTCCAAATCATTACATGTGCATTGAACTGTTAAAGTGCACTCTTGGGCGAAAAAAAAAGAAAAGTACCCTTAAGACTTCATTGGTTGAGTCATCCAGAACCTGCACAACGAGGCAATCTGATGGCCATGACATCCCAGACACTGCTCCAATAGACAGCTTATACACCTGCATAAAAGTTAACATTCTGGATTAGATTTTTGTGTGCATTCAAATTAAAGATGCTTGTATTTTCTGATGTGTTCTTCAGTTGCAATATTTTAAGCCTGAATCCAGCACAAGGAATTCCATAATTTTCAGCATCTTTATGGTTAGGACTCCTTTGATTTTAGCATTACTAATGAGTCTTTGATGAGAATGTTTACGCAACCATTGAATCCTTTATAATGCTATGTATTTTCAGCAAATATATATAACGTAGATAGACATATATTGGGAATACATTATGGCATATTGACATTTGACAATTTAGTTTCTAATTTTCTATTAGATGGTGTTTATAAGTATAAGTTATATCGAATATTCACAATTGTAATGATTGCTGAAGAAAATCTTTTGTACCAAAGTAAAACCTATGCTAGTTCATGGAAATTAAAAGTACTTAATTTTGAAACATTTGCTGTGCAAATTCAGACTAAATTTGGCCACAATAACTTTTAAGCTTTTATATTCTTTCTGTTATTCATACCGTTTTCCCTTCTTTAGGTGATGGGAATAAATTACCAGTACTAGCTATGGCTTTCCATATTGATGTTAGGTTGATTAGTTCACTTATCAGATGGAAATTGAAGGGTGGTAATTTTTTTTCTAGAAGTTTGATTACATTTGACAAAGTTATCAAATTTACATCCTATGTGCAATATGTACTATTCAACAAAACAAAGTCAGTATATTTACCTCCTTTTCATTAAACATAGGGATTTGAACCAGCACTTTTGGGTAGTTTCTCTTCTTCTCTAGCTCTTCTTTTATGGCGTCTAGCTGGTACTTAGTGTATCTTTTCTTACCCAGGCATTTAACACATACAATCACAATAGCCATGTAAACACGTTCAAGAAACAGCATGATAGACATGCCTATGCATATGTAAATTGCAATTTTTAGAATTGGGGCTATAGTTGATTCTCGGATGCGAACCCAAGCATCGATTAGACTTATTGTTGGATCATACACCTCATTCACCTCTAGCTTGCGAGAAACTATGTTTCTCATGGTGTATGAGGAGTGATATTGGGAAAGGAAGTAATTGAATATGGAGGCCGAGAGGTGAAGGAGTAAGAGACAGATAAAGGGAGCAAGGGAAATTGAGGAAAGGCCTATACGCAGATGGAGAAAATTAAAGAATTAAAAAAGGTCACATACTTTATGATGAATTGCCTATTCATTTTTCTTCTATAAATAGGCTTGTGAAGAATGCAGAGGTATGACTAGGTTGCACCGTTTCGCTGGAAGAATACAGGATGGAGAGTAAAGATATTTTTTATAAGAGAAACGGTGTGCATGCATGTGAAGTTTGCGCACGTAGCACTCGCTAGTTGTAATGCTGACGTTTCCCACCGATAATAGTTTTTGGGGATTAAATGCTCATCATTTTGCCGAAATATCTATAGCCGTATTAATTAATGAGTGATGTAGTCATTGCTATATTGGATTTTTCTCGTGTCTAGAAGTTGCTTGTTTGAATTAAGTTGCTATTTAAATTGTTCTTAGTTCAAAGCATAAGCTGTCTATTTTGGGATAGCACAATGCATTACAACAAGATTGCTAAAGTATGAGATATTTGATGTGTTTGTAAGTGGCTAAAAAAAAAAAATTCATTGATAGGGCTTTTTATCGGTTAGTTAACCTTACAGTTTTGGGATTTTATTTAAACCATGAGTGATTTTTTTTTTTTTTTTTTTTCCCTATGTCCTATGTTGACTTGAATTGCATCGTGATCTTGTGATTTTATTGACACTGTAAAAATTCTCATGAAATTAAATGTACAAACTGAAGAAGAAGAAATTTAAACCCTACAGTTTTCTCATACTGTTGTTGCAACAATTACAGGAAAATGGATGAAATGTGGCTAATTAGTAACTGCAGATAAATTTATTATAGCTTGAAGTCTAGAGACATGCTTACTATTTGGAATTTTTAATCACAGAAACAAATGTTTGTTGCTATCTTAAACCCCAAATTGCTCCATGAACCAGCGCAAATATTCTCTGAAATATTTTCACATTCTGCGGTAGAAACTTTTACTTGCATTCATGCAGCTCCCCAGCAGTGTTGACTAATGTATTTTCCTTTTGTCTTAGATCCTCTTAGAATTTTGAAGTATTGCAGCGTGACAATTCTGAAGTACCCATAAATGTGTATGCATGTTACATTGTTCTGCATTTAATTACACTTCACATTTCTTTCCATTATTCGATGCTCATTGAGCATTAGGGAGTTTGATAACGATGGTGGCTTATAGTTATGTGGTTTATTTTAATTTTTCCCACCATTTCCTCAATTTAATAGTCAACTAGGAGTCCAGTATTTTCCGGAGTATTTCTCCCAAATTTAACTGCAGCTCCGTAAAATGCTCGTGTGAATAATGATGGATGCAGTTTCGCAATGTTTAGGAAACTAATTCTATTTGTCTATTTCTAATCAGTAGCTGATCTTGATATATTGTAGTTGTCGTCCATCTCTATTGTTTATACAGTTATAGTGGTTTAAATAATTGAAATATATACAACAAAAAGCGAGAATCAACCCTCCCAAGTATGATGATGGATCAAGTAGATTGGTCGTAGTTGGCTATGCATTCATTCATTACATTAGGCTGTGTTTGATGTCCCCATTTTTAACTGGGGCAAACAAAATAAGACATGATATTCCAACTCTCTCGATTACTTCTTTCCGTGATACTCATACTCTCTTCAGATGTCTTGCATTCGCTGACTTGGCATGCCCCTATTCGATCAGTGTGTATTTCTTCACGTGCTCTATCCTTTTCATCACGTGGGCATACAAGAATATGTGGAAAGTTTTAATTGATGTCTATCTATAAAAAGGCCTGTAGTTGGGCATTAACTTCTGTAGACAGATGAGGAGGAGAGATGGCTCTATGTTTTCTGCATTTGCACCTGCACCTGATCCATCATCTGCTTCCCGAAGATGAAAAGAAATGAGGTGCTCGTGCTGGTGCAGACAACCTATAGCATCTTTGATTGTATTCTTAGATTCTTTTCTGAATGTTAAACTACAGATCTTGCCTCTACTAATACCAGTATCAGTATCTCACTCCAAATATGACAGAAATCCTGTTGAAATTGTGCCAGCAGTACTAATCAGCTGACTTCGTCATGAAATTGAGATCTATGGCTAGGGGATGGGGCATCTACCTGCAATGCAAGACTCCTGGTGCCTAACGGGCTGATCCTGGCCCGCAGCACTACGCCTCAGACCAATTTTCGGATCCGGGTCGGGCCGGACAGCCTGACAGAGCAACATAGGTCAATATAAAGGACTGTCTCCATCGAAGGCCCAGTAAGTTTTTTTTTGGTTTGTATAAAATCATGAATATGTATTTTTTATTATTCTTTCATACGATTCTATGGCGGTCTTGGCCCGGGCCAGGGCGGCTCAGCCGCCTGTTATATATGCTTCGGTGCACAGTAGCATGGGTGAAAATGTCCACCGGCCCTTGGACTTTCCCTAGCCTAGATTAAGGCCCAAAAAGATGCAACGGTGAAGCCCAATTAGTGGCGGTGTATCGGGAGTTCCCATAAGTATCCCCTTCTGCGCTCTAGGGTTTCAGAGCTCCGATTTCCTGATTCCTTCAAGAGGTCGTGGCAGATGGGTGGAAAGTGCCCGCATAGGAGCGTGAAAAAGCGCCGATACGCTCACAAAACTTTTAGGCGCACCAAATTTCTCGTCAAGGATATCCTTTTGGCGTTTGTGGTTTCGTCTTGTTCTTTAATTATGTTCTATGCTAATTCTTGTTAGTTGGTAATTGTTTTTCCTTGACTACTCGTCGTTTACGTGACGATGCCGTTTACGATGAGCTTCACAAACCGGGGATAGATGCGAAAGCTCTGCCCGTAGATGAAGATCTTCCCGGAATGGGCCAGTATTACTGTTTGCATTGCGAGTAATTTTCAAATTCTTGAAATCTCTTCAATTTGTGTACTTCGGTTGCAGCATGTTCAATGTGATCTTATTTTTTGTTTCTTTAGTCGCTATTTTGCTAACGCGGCGGTGCGGGACGAGCATTTTAAGACCAAACGGCATAAGAAGCGGTATGTGATGGATTTAAGATTTTATTGGAAAGTTGTGTGTGTGTGTGTGTTTTGTTTAGTTATTTATTTATTTCAAGCTGAAGAATATTGTAGAGCAATTAAAAAGATGATTAATTTAAAAAAGGAAAGCATTAATATATTAACAAATAATGCAACAGCCTTTTCCTTTCAGTGTTTGCATTCATGTTATTTCACCACGCAGAAAAACATTAAGTTTACAAAAAATCTTATTGTATTTCTGTATATTTTAACTGTCTGAAGAACTGGGTTTAGGGTTTAGGAAACTTAGTGGATGAGGACAAAGCAAAGGGGTGCTAAGTAGGCTAAGAAGGCCTTCAGATGAAAGTGTCTGATATGTTTTTCCCCTTCCTTTCTTTTAATTAGCATCTTATTTAATAATGAATTTTATGTTTTAAGTATAAGAAGTGGACTTTAATATGAAGGTAGTTTGTGTTTTATATGTCATGACTCTCCTGTAGCTCTAGTAGTTAGATTGTGCGCTTGGGTAAGTTATAACTCTGGAATTTATTTTGGTGTCGATATAGTGATCTTTCTTTTACAATAGTTCAGTCTATAGGATCTGGTGTGACTAAAGCAAATAAAAGATGAATATGTGGAGCTGAGGTGGTTATAGGCGGTAGTACATGGGAATTTGATGCCTCTGGTGGTGGATATGCAACATATGATAATTGCAAATAAAATTTGTGTAATTTTGGTTGAATGTATATGCCCGGTTAGTTATCTTCAGCTGGATAATTTGAGAGTTGGTTATAGTATTAATTAATTTGTTGTATGGTTTTAACTCAGTGTCCTTCATTTCTTATGCAGTATGAAGTTAATGACGGGGCCTGCTCCTCACACCCAGTTGGACGCCGAACTTGCTGCTGGGATGGGGATGCCGGACAATGGGCCAAAGCTAATGTCTATGTAAAATTTTGCCTTGTGTACGTTGTTGCATGGAGCTACAGGAAAATCACTTCTATATATTACCCATCAAGAAAAATCGTTAAGACTCCCTATTTATTATTACCCTGTTAAATTTCATACATCTCGAGTCGGTAGTTGACATGACAAATTCTTTATTGTTGATGTGTAGATTTTAAGTTGAGTTTGCTCCACAGATGCCACTTTGATTTCGATAATAGACACTGTTAGATCATTGGGTGTGTTCACTTGGGGATTGTTATTACACAGTATACAGTCCGCTGTTAATAAAAATAAATTCTAATAATAGTTACTTTAAAGGTATTTTGGCTTTATATATGTTTTTAATTTAATATTGATGTTATTTTCTTTTAAAATTCAAAATTTTTAAAATTTAAAATATTTTCAAAACATGTTTTCTTTGGGTTTGTTTGTTTTTTTTTTTTTTATCTAATTTTGATTTAAATAATATTTTAAGAGAGCAAATATATTTTTAAATAAAACAAAGTTAAATATTATATTATTTTATTCTATTATGTGATTATTTAATTATATCAGATATTTTTAATGATTAAAGCCCTACTCTTAAAAATAAATAAGCTCATAGAACATTTTTTTGGCCAGTCCATTTATCTTTTCCATGGGCTAATATTTGGGCTTTATGGGCCCAGTACAGTTGGTTAAGTTAGGCCCACCTTCTTAAAAACGTGGAATATAACTTCCTACTGGTCCACGTGTCATCCGTAAAGAAATCATGTGGTCGTCAACCGTCTTTCATTTGCCTTTTTCCTCAATTTTTTCGGTGTGTGCGTCATCAATTGTCATCCCCCACAGATTCCTGCTTCTCCTTCCATCCCCACAGATTCTTGATTCTTTCCCCAATTTCTACATCGCCTGAAAAATCAATGGCGGAAGCCCCCCCTGCTCTCTGCTTCTCCACCGTGTCTGCCTCGATTAACTTCTCCAAGGAGCCCATTTCGTCTCCCTCAACGTCGTTTCCTCCCCGGAGATTCTCTTCCCAATTCCAGCGTCCGTCGTCACGTTCCCTCAGGTTCTCCATCGTCAGATCTTCCGGCTCGGATCATTTGTTCCGCGGCGGTGACGATGGTTTTGGGTCATACCCCTGGGAATATCAGGATGGCTTTGGATCCTGTATGTTTGTCCGCTCTTCCCGCCTGCATTTATTTTTAGGGATTGAGACGTAACTTCACGATGCTTTTGTTGCAGCGATAGAGTGGGTTCCGGAGGATAAGGTGACCTTTTTGACTTCTGACGGCCTGATTCAATTTGGCGGGAAGCTTGTCCCGCGCCGTGTCTCGCCTGCTGATGTACGCGTTCCTTGGTTTGCATTCTCAAACCTGTTTTAAATAATTTGATACTTGATTGTGGAGTTTCTATTGGGCGATTCTGTGAAATGAACTTTGAAACTTTCAAACGCTTTGTTTCAATTTGAAACTTCTTAAGTTTCTCTTGTATTTCTTCTGTTAATGTTATACCTCGCTTCAAAGTCTATTGCTCCCACGCACACGCTATAAGGCAAATTCTTACCTGCATTATTAATTTGATACATATATATAATTTATATATTTATCTATAGCCAAACATTTTCTTGAACTCCTTAAATCGGATAGCCCTTCTTCCCCAACAGCCACCCTGCATTTGTTCATCAATTTTAGGAGAGAGAAGAAAATCTTTAGAATAAGGAAATGAAATTGAAAGAAATTCAATTGATAAGTTTGTTTGTTGATCTTTAGGACATTGAGGGAGATTCCATATATGTTTGGTTGTTATGTATTGTCAAAAAAATTCAAGATAACTTAGGACAGAATATTTCCTTTTTCTTCTCCTTCACCAAAAACGAGAGCGAGTGCAATGTTCATCATTGGTTAGAAACTTCTTGCAGTTGCTATCTGTTAAATATGTTACACACTATAAATTATGCGCTCCTAATTTTTCTTCTTCTAGAAATCAATGAAATGAAATAGTGGGTACAATTCAATTCAGTTTGACCCTGTTGAATGGTTTCATACACCTTACTATAAAAAGATAGTCCTATGCATCATTAAATTTTGTGATGCAATCAGTACATTGTATTTGGGAGGTTATTCAAGAACAATATTGCTCACATTAGACCATTCTTTTTCAGTTTACAAATTTATTTAATTTATGTTGTCTTCGATACCTCCATACATTCGGTCTTTCTAAATTAGAGTGCTATTAGTTAAAATGCTTTCAATGTGCAGAAGAAAAAAGGAAAGGTGAAAAGGTCACAGAAAGCTCAAAGGTTTCAGGAGAGTAACTATGTAAATCCAAACCAAATACTATGCGTGGCTGCACTTTTTGACATTGCAGCAACAAATGTAAAATCTTAACCTTTTAGACATTTCTTGTCACTTTAATAAGATTGTGATTTCATATGAATTTTCTTCGCTCTAGGGACTCGACATGGGAAGACGCCTTTGTATCTTTGGCTTTTGTCGCTCCATTGAGAGGCTTTGTGATGTAGTCGAAGACTCTGTCCTGGAACATGGTGGAGAGGTATTTATTTTCACCTCTCTTATGTGTATATATATATATATGTTGGATCGGTATGCATTTCCTATTTAATTAGGTCTATGCGATGAGATACAAATTCATTATGGGTTGAGCCTGTACTTTGATCCAATGCACACAGAAATTTTGTTGGATATGTTGTTCAGTATATATTTTTTATATTGATAATGTTATTCAAATGCAGATATCATCCTCAGTGTTTGGTTAAGTATCATATTCATATGATATAATAAGTATATATTTGTTCTATGGAAGCTAGTTTAACATATTGACTTCATTTAAGCCTATAGGGTTTGTCTTAGTGAGAACCTAAATGGGTAACATTCTGGTGTTTCGATGGACATGTTCCCTTCTTGATTGTTAACAGAGCATACTGAACATAGCTATTTAACTTTCTTACTATACTACCATATCTTGGAAAATTTCTCTCCTCAACTCTCTCTTCAAATTTAATTTTTAGAATCCTGCAGTTTGCCTTAAGTAAAGATAAATGAACACTTGGTTTATTCACTAAAATTTTATTATATATACTTGGATTAGCTGAAGAAGATGTTGTGTATCTTATATATATATATATAATATACTTGTGAGAGTTGAGGATAAGTTTTCATGAATACAAGAGTAGATCAAATATATCCTTCAATGTGAGTTTTGCTGTGGAGTTTCCATGCTGTTGGCGATATAGTTTGTTCTGTATTTGACATACACACCTGCACCTACGCAGTTGATTAGGCATTTCCTTCCTTAAAGGCAAATTCTTTTCGAAAGCACTAATAAGGTTTGGAGCTTGAATATTTGCATCAACACACTTGTTAGTGACCTGAAACTGTTTTGCATTTCCTTCTATTTGCGACTTGTAGCTTCTATTTCTAGCAATACTAAATATTTCTGGATTGCATTTGGACAACCACCTGATAGAGTGTCTAACCAAATTCAGGTAATGGTTGCGGAAAAAGACTGCCAAGGTGGTCTGCGTGAAAAGCTAACTATGACTGTTGCCGTCCCATTTCTATGGGGAGTCCCTCCGGCCTCTGAGACCCTTCACCTTGCTGTCAAGAGTGGAGGTGGGATTGTGGAAAAAGTCTCTTGGAAATGGAACTTCATGTAAGTAATCAACACAGTTCTAACCATTCCTAGTACATATCATGTATAAATCTGCTTTAGTGTATAAAATGTTGGAAATTTGATCATTTGTATGTATCTGATTGTTAATATTGATGAATCCAACATGTAATAACTTCCTGCGCTGATCTTGAAACCTGAAAAACTGATTCTTCTCACACAGTTCATCGATCATTTTCTTTTCCAAGATACGGTTGACTTTAGACATGCCTTGGTTTCATCCAAAAGTACTTCTGATTACATTGCCTTTGTCTTGCCCTCTTTGCCCTATTTTCTACACCATGTGGTGATACCTTGTACATTACAACTTCCAATTGATTTGAATCCATTTTCCAAGAAGCCCTTTCAAATACAAGCACCACAAGTCACCTTGTTGGCTGAAAAGTCTTCCCATATTCAAATATTTACCTATCATTGACAAGTTCATCATCTTTACAAGTTAGTGGATATACAAATACAATGGGTGTTGAATTCTAAAAGGGCAACACCCTAGACTTTCCAGCCATCTTAAATTGTAAAGGGGAAGCTAATATCTGAAAATTGTGCCATATTATCCTGACTTTTGTGCATCTGTGTCGGCATATTGGAGAAATTATTAGCATGCTTTGGCTGACAGCTGAGTTTATCCTATAGATTTATATTTAACAAATCACAAGGTGGGCTGCTCTTTCTAAAGTAGCTGTACTTTTTTCTTTCTTAATAGAAAGCTTATAATTTGATTTCATGTACTTTATACAAGTTTCAGCTCTTAATTGCGTTTGAATACCTCTTGGGAATAGTTTAATTTTTTTGAGTAACAACCATCTGTTTGCAGACAATGAAACCATGATGATTTGTCTAATTACTCTTTTATTTTATGTTTCTGGGATTGACGTTTGTGGCTGAGGTTTCAGAATATGGTCTTGTAAGAAAACAGGCTCGAGCTAATTAGCTGGCATTAAGGTTATTTTATTACATTATTCTTGCAGAAGCAGACAAGCCCTTGAAGGGGTCAATGCATCAATGGTTTCTTATTGCATTAGTTAAATAATACTACTACTATGTATTGTTTTGGGAAGAAACCTAAAAGTATTCATTAATTTGGTTGAACAAACAAGAAGAGGGCCTACCTTGCTAGCTCACCAATAATCACCCAATGATGTCACTTGTTCTTGCTTTTAGACTGCTTCCCATAACCATAACCATAAATTTTCATTTTCTTTTTTTTTTATTGGGATTTTAATTTTATTTATTCTTTCTTTGAGCACAACATGGGTGATGAAATATATGAGCACACAGATTAAATGATGTTGCATGGCCAAGACATTACTTTCTTGTGAAGCACACAAGAAAAAAAAAAAAAGAAAAAGAAAAAGGATTGGGTCTTTCAATAATTTTATTGTGAAATGAAAAGAAAATCTCCATCGATATTATTTGACAGGGACAACATATCAATTCTGGATTCATGGCATCTCAATCATTACACGTTGTAAGATGATAAAACATAGGAAAGCTTGTCAGAACGACTTGAGCCTTTAAAACATACCAAATTAATCAAAACATCATATCCCTTCCTGATCAACCTTAAAAAAAAAAGGAAAATCAAAAGGAAGGTAGTCTTACATGATGCAGCTTTCAGTATTGATGGACTCTCATGTTTTGGAATTCCCATAAAAAATTAATTACAGGAGCAGGATATACGTACATCACTCCCTAGAAATAAGTGCACCAAGAACATTAAAGACATAATTCTTTCACAGTCCTAAGGTTCAACAAAAAGAAAAAAAAAGGAAGAATTTTCTCATAGGAATCCAAAAGATCCATTCTCCACAAAGTGATTAGTGTCTCTAAGCAATCCTAATTGCTGAATCTTTCATCTACTGATCAACCCTTCAAATCTTCAAATTCGGACCACCGTCAAGAATCACCTTCATATAGATAGAGATATGAGCTTGATCAGTAGTACACTAATGGCTGCTCTTCTGTCTTGACTTCATCCACAAAGAAGTTCAAATTATTGTTACTGCACATCAGCTGCTTGATATCATCAATACTGTAATCCATTGGGTTGTCAATACCAAAACATGATCCATTTGTAGCCTTCTGATCACCATCATCAAAGCCCCTGAAAAACCCTAGTTTTTCAAGATCCCCTCCTGCACTACTGTCCTTCCCGTGGCTGATCTGGTTGGTGATGCAGCTCCCATCTGATGAATTGCAGCTGGCTTCTCCTCCATACATCATGACTGCTGCAGCCTCTCCATTACCATTACCATTCTGTACTTGAATTGCTGGAGGGTAACCAGTGAAGTTTGATGAAGAAAATAGAGGAGTGTTGAAGCTTGGGGAAATGGGATCAGCCATAGCCCTAAATTGGGAATAATAATAATAATGGGAGCTGTTCCCATAGCCATTTTCTGATGGGATTTGTGAATAGAGCAGTGAGTTGTTGGATGGTAACAATGGAGGAGTCGTCCCCAACAGCTTCTTCTTCAGCTTAGTGTTCCAGTGGTTCTTGATGTCATTATCTGTTCTCCCTGGTAATTGTGTTGCTATTATAGACCACCTGCACTTGGATGATTAATCAACAAATTAAAAAGAAACCCATATTTGATTATCACTATATTATATGCACCTAAGATTAATTAATTCTTGACTCACCTGCTTCCAATGCGAGCAAAGAGACTGCAGATGATCCTATCTTCATCATCTGTAAAATCCCCATGCTTAATGTTTGGCCTCAAGTAGTTCAGCCATCTCAGCCTGCAGCTTTTCCCACATCTCCTCAGACCTGATGATCAATCACCAACACACACACAAACCCTAATCCATGATCACAAAAACAACCCAAGATGATAGAATTTAATAAGTTCCTAAAAGGGGTGCAGATGGATCTTAATTACCAGCTTTCTGTGGCAGTGCAATCCAGTTTCCACCAGTGCCATGCCTCTCTATGTACTCCTTCAGCTGAGCATCTTCTTCAGGCGACCATGGCCCTTTCTTCACCTTTGCCTTGTCACAGCATGGTGCTCTTCCCATCTCTCTCTAGATATTTTCTTTTGATCAAGCTTCTGATTCCTATCACAAGTACTGGTTTTCAAAATTTGTCTGCTCACAAGACTGATAATTGTTCTTTGGACTAAATAAATACTAGTACATATTTTAAAACACACAAGTCAAAGTAGATACACATACATACACACACACACACAGCCCATTAATTACATTTGTCAAAAATGAGTCATTACATTAGCTTTACTCATATCATATGCAAACAGAAACTCCTAAACTACTGTTCCATCATATACCTCTCCTGTCTTTTCTTTTCAACAGAATCCAAACACTGCCCCAAATATTATACAGGCTAAAAAGGGAATTAGTCAAAGCTTCACTACTTCTTTAGCAATTTCTTAGCAGCACAGACACACACTCCATTATTGGCAGCATATGGGAGGGTTACTGGTCCAACATCTTTTTTTTTTGGGATGACAATTACATTGCCAGTTTTATATTCCCAATCAAGGACAAAGTGTTCCCTTCATAATTATTGATCTTTGGTCGTCCAGATGGAGATGGATTTAATATTTAACAAGTTTGACTTGTGGCGATGAGATACTGGTGGAGTTAAGTTATGTCTTACCTGTTGCATTTTTATTTTATTGATTGATTCACTTTTAAAATTTTCAACTTGATAATCTATATTAATATTTATTAATATTTCTTTGTTCAATCTGTTTCTTGATTAATTGTTTATTTATTGATTAATGATGTTAAGAGGTTAATGATGAGAGGATATGGGCCGCCTAAAATCTCTCCAGGCCCAAAATAAATGGGTCTATAGATTTTTTAAAAGCCCGAAATATTATTGGGCTCCCTTACTATAATTTTTGAAAGCCCAGTTAAAATGGGTATAAATAGGAGGCGTAGAAGGATGTGGATTGATGACGGGAGCGCGTGGTGGCCACGCTTTCGTGTTTGGATAGTCGATTCTCGAGGGAAGAAGTTGGAATCGTGTCTGTTTCTTCGCCTTTCGCCAATCTTCAATCGCTCTATCTGTGGATTTCTGTATGTGATTGTGCAGTATTGGATACAAGGAGGAAAAGGCAGTAGGTCGAAGAGTATCTGCTATTGTCGGATTAGCTTCCGAAAATGGCTGTGGTGAATGCGGCTCCTGTGGCTTTCGGACCTCTGCTGCCTTCCACCTTGCAGAATTCTCAATGTCGATGGTTTTATTCCTCCAAATATCCTGGTAAAGCAGTTTCTGTGACCACGAGGAGGGAGGCATTCTTTGGTTTGCCATTTGCTCTCAAAAGCAGCAACAATTGTGAGAGTTTGGATACGTTAAAACAGAGAAATGATATGGTATCGGAAGAATCATCTGAGACGCTACTGTATTCGATCTCTCCTTTCCCTGTTCTTCTTTTGGCTGCTCTTCCTGGAGGTAATGATCCTGATAGTTGTTCTTGTTTTTTTATTCATAACTTTCATTCACATGCTATTTGGCAATCGCTCAGACCTTGAGTCAATGAGCAGATGGTCTTCTTTGATGTATCCGACCTTTTCTCGTTAATGCCGTCGTGGATTCGTGGTCTGCAAGAAACTAGGTTCACTTCTGCTAATGCTGTGAATGTGATTCTAAGTCCATTGTCTTAATGAAAGCAAGGCCTTATTTCTCTACCTTTTTGAAATGTGGTATCTTAAGTTTGTGAAGTTGGAAGCTTGAGTTTCAGATTGCACTTTACTTTGGATCAGACTCTGAGCAGTGGGAAAAACTTAGTAGATATTGGTATATATGAACAATTGTGTATGACTGAACTCCAACTATGCTTCTTCCTTTTGATTTTGGGAGCGGCTGTTGTTGGCATCACTGGAGTAGTTCGTGAATGAGCGTGTGAGAACTCATGTGCTAATAGTAACAATCTAGCTGATCTTTTGATACTAGAGGAGATCTATCTACTTCAATGTATGGAATATATGACAATGGCGGAGTATTTCTATTGAATAGGTCATATAAACCTGAGCTGGATATCCAAAGTAATTCTTCTTTAGGATGATCTCTCTCTGGCTGGAATCCATGTCTCCGCTTAGAATTTGAAGCCCAAACTTGAATCAGCCTAAATTCCACTCTGATTACACATTGTGTAGCAGTGAAATCTTCCTCTGTTTGAGCTTGATCTTAGTGATTTATTGTTTATGTCTAGTGTTTTTTGAAGCTCATAATCTATTGCCGAGTACATATATTTTCATCTTCAAAGCTCCACTTGATGCTGTTGTATTATGTGCTGTGAAACTTTATTGATTGTCGGTATGTATGCTATTCAATTATCATCTATTCATATCTAGTGGATTGATGGGCTGAATTTTCTGTGATAGAATAGAATCTTCTGTTTTGTGGTATTTCAGAATCGTCCCCTGTTTCTTCTGTCTTTAATATTTCATTCAGCAATTTTGATTCAGCTAAAACTGCCGCATCTCTCTTTGGCCCTTTCGTGGAGCTTGTGAAATCTTTGAATCTCCCCGGATGGCTTGTTCATTGGGGTCATCCTGGAAACATGGTACTCGTTTGCATCCTTTACCCAATGTTCACCACGATACTCATGGAAACTAATCAAACAAGCATATCCATGTACTTTCTTGAATAGCTCTTCCCAGCAATCCTTCTAAACTTTTGCAGGCTGTGGTGTTGTTTGCAATGGGTGGTTATGGAACTTATTTGGGCTTCCGCATTCGATTTTCTGACAACCTGGTAAGAACAAGAATTTACCTTGTGATAGTATATAGTTTTGAAATCTTTAATCACAAAATCCTGTCAGGCTATTCATACTATACTTTCACAGGAAGAAAAGGCAAAAGCCAAAGATTTACACCCAAAGCTTCTTGGAGGAATGTTTTTCTTCTTCGCGCTTGGTGCAACTGGTGGGATCATATCTCTTCTCACTTCAGACAAGCCCATCCTCGAGAGGTAACTGCAAACAATTCCTATTCCTAGCACCCAAGTTCCTCCACTCTCATTGTCTCTTTTTCTGCAGTCCACATGCTGTAACCGGCTTCATCGGCCTTGCTCTTCTAACAATCCAGACTGTATTGCCATCTCTTTTTGAGGTAACTTCAACTTTCTAACTTATATTCCCCCTAAGATCCCTTTTTAACCAGGATCTGCTATATCATCAGCCATATACTCTTCTGCAATGTGTTCGTGCAGGACAATCCCGGGCTGCGAAATGTTCATGGAATATTGGGGAGTGGCATTATGACTCTGTTCTTGGTTCATGCTGCTCTTGGACTTCAGCTAGGATTAAGCTACTAATTGCAAGCTTTGATCAAAGGTATCATCATCTTCAAATCATTATTGTTATTATTATTCAGGTCCACATTGACACTGAAACAAACCATGTTGACAACTTCAATGGAAGTAAAAAAAGCAGGTATCCGTTCCCTTGCAATATCAGGAATCCAAAGTTGAATAAAATTTGAAAAAGGGTTTCAGGAATTTCAGGCAAAACATGTTGTTTAGTTACTTTCACCACTCAGATCATCATCAGAGGCACAGGCTTCTTCTCTTTTATCAGCCCCACATTTTACCTTTAGGCCTCGGCCGACACACACATATGAAATAAAATAAATATGAATCTGTCAAATCAAATTTAACGTTGCTGCAAGCGAAATAAAGGTGAGTGTCTAATTTTCAAAATCTGCAAGAATTCCAAATATGAATAAGCAGAATTATGCATGTTTATTTGGCATTTCACTCATTGAAGTTGGTGCAGTATTTACTGCTCGAAGTTTCACCAATTAGAGAGCTACTGTTTTTCTGGAGAGAGTTCCTAGGCTTGGCCAAATATGGATTCCCATTTCTGTGAATCCATAGATCAATTAATGAAACACTGTGCATGGCCATGGGCAAGGATCTCTGAGACCATTCGTATCTTTGAACTCACTCACTGTCCCCATTTCATTCCATTATGTATTATATATAACTATTATTACTACTAATAAAAATAATATCTGATCATGGTTCGCAGGGGGGTGCATGTGTGAAAGCATCAACACTGAGAGAGTTCTTGATTTTTGAAGACCCCACAATGCTACTGCCCATGACACGACACCACAGTGGCTATAATACGACACACACAACACCACAAGAAAGGGCAAAAAAATACTCATATTAGAGGGGGAAAGCAAAGGAGTTGGTTGCACACAAGTCATGCTGAAAAATTTCATTTCGTAGCTTTAAAGGATGAGAGACATATACATACAGGAACCAATGTTGCTTTCAGCAAGGGCAGACATAATCAAAAAGTGAATCTTTCTTGCAAACATTATGCCTTTTCAACTGCCACTTAATTTTATCACTTTATCATAATACTGTCATCAAACCCTCTTGTAATTAACTAATTCTAAGCCTTTAGATAATGCCATGGAATTAAAAACCCACAACCCTTTCTTTGCCTTGGACACCAAATCCAATCCAAGAGTAAATACACAGTGGGGTATCACCACAAAATCTAGCATTACTTGGGACCCTACCAATCCCATTATTTATAGCAATGTTCCCTACTGAATGATCGATCATCCACCATCACTCATTACATATATACTCCCCTTCTCTCTCCCTCACCCCAAATACAATACTTATGATACTATAACACAGCACAATACAAGATATCATCAATGGCACTTCAATTTCATCTCATCATCAATACAGTGCTTCTTCTCCTCCTTCTCCTTCTGATTATTCTTCTGCCATTAGCCCATGGTGGGCAACGGCCACCCTCCCCTGGGTACTACCCCAGCTCCCGGTTCCGGTCCATGAGCTTCCGCCAGGGCTATAGAAATCTCTGGGGTCCAAACCACCTCAGTTTTGACAACAATGGCATCAACATTTGGCTTGACAGGAACTCAGGTTTTCTTGAATTTTCTTTCATTGCTGCATTACATTGCATTATATTATACTCTGGATTCTGAATTATATGTATATATATAATGTAGGAAGTGGGTTCAAGTCGGTGAAGCCTTTTCGATCGGGGTACTTCGGAGCATCCATTAAGCTCCAGCCAGGTTATACTGCAGGAGTTATTACAGCTTTCTACGTAAGATCATCCAATTGATAATTAAGGAGCTGGGGTGGCGTTCTTTTTTAATGAATTATTAATCAATGTCCTGATTAATTGCAATATTACAGCTTTCGAATAATGAAGCCCATCCGGGGAACCACGATGAGGTGGACATTGAGTTTCTAGGGACCACGTTTGGGAAGCCTTACACACTCCAAACGAATGTGTACGTCCGAGGAAGCGGTGATGGAAGAATTATTGGAAGGGAGATGAAGTTTCATTTATGGTTCGATCCCACTCAGAGTTTTCATCATTATGCCATTCTCTGGAGCCCCAGAGAGATCATGTAAGAATAATATTATTCATTCATTCTTGCTTGCTTGCTTTGCTTTGCTTCAATCCATTTTCCTCCCTCCATTAATTCTATAATTTTCAGAACCAAGTTGGCCTGATGAGTCAAACTGCTGTCTCAGTCAGCTGACCCAATCAGCTGTTATTACATTAAAGTAGGGAAGTGTCAGGTGAGGAGTAATTCTTGTGCGCTCCATGGAGCCCAGCACCGGATGAGATGGCGGAACTGCCTTCTTTATCATCTGGTGTTGGGGTCCCTTTGGTATCACCACCTAAAACATCCTTTCAACAATAAATGCTGTTATAAACTAAAGAACAAGATCCCATTGTGAAAGAGACACTGCACCAAGAGTCTTGTACCCATCACAAAATCAAAATGACACCTCTACTCTACAATCTTAATAACCCCCCTTTATTAAAAAAAGATTCTATACACATTATTGCAAGAATTCCATTTGGTGGGTTGTATTATAGGGTGATGTGATCAAATTTGTTCCTTTAGTACAACATTGTACCTTGTGTCTGTCTGATCATATATATACATATGCTTGTTCTGTGTGCTGCGCAGATTCTTGGTGGATGATGTGCCAATAAGAAGGTATCCAAGAAAGAGTGATGCCACATTCCCACTTAGGCCAATGTGGGTTTATGGGTCGATTTGGGATGCTTCCTCGTGGGCCACTGAGGATGGCAAATACAAAGCTGATTATAGATACCAACCCTTCATCGGAAAATTCTCCAACTTCAAGGCCACCGGCTGCTCCGCCTATGCCCCGGCCAGGTGCCGCTCGGTCTCCGCCTCGCCCGCCCGGTCCGGCCGTCTGACGTGGCAGCAGAACAGGGCTATGCAGTGGGTGCAAAGGCATTATATGGTATATAACTATTGCTTTGACCACAAGAGGAACCATGCCCTAACACCCGAATGCTGGACTTAATCTTCGATTAAATTAAATTAAATTAAATGAAGGATTGATTGTTCATCATCATATATATATATATTACCCATGTCCTGACCACATACATGCACACATTACAGATATATATATATATATAATGTATAGAGAGAGAGAGAGAGGAAGAGGGTCTTTACTTTTCTCTTTTAAAGCAAAAGATGGTTTCTTGATGATCCAAGAAATATATCTAAAATTGGAAATGAATGGTGTTTGCTCTTTCATCCTTAAATTGGATATGTTGATGCGTTTTTTATTACTAGGAGATTTAAGGGTTGAATTAAGTATTTTTCACTGACATTGACTCTCATAGATTCTTTCGTTCAATTCAGTAAATTGACTCATGACTGTGGGATCTGTGAATTTGTTCTTCTCGACAAATTCAAATTATTGGAGGATGTGAGTGAGTATGACTTGTATTCAGACAAACCTGTGGCTGGGGGCCAATGTAATTTATACCCTAAGGTGGGGTGGGCTGGGGGTATTTTTATTTCATGCGTTCAGTTATGTAATACTCCATAATAGTAGTATAATATTAATGTTATTTTGTATGTATGCTTTGGGGTTAGTATTATTATTGCCAATTAATTAATTAAGAGATGGACATGGGTAGTGTGCCACCATAACAACCAGCATCAATATTTTGGTATGATTTGTATGAAAGGAAATACCGTACGTACTTAGGGTTGTTTTGTGCTGTATTTGATTTTATGTTTTCTTTTTTATTGTTTTGTTTAATTAATAGTTTCATAAGTTAGTGATATATGCATATATATATATATATACTTTATGTAAAAAGTATTTGAAATTTTGTGTCTTATTTAAATAAAAAGATATATATATTTTGGGTTTAGACAACAACAATAACAACATATGAAGTGAGTATATATATATATATATTTATAAAAAAAAAAAAAAAACTAAAAAAAAATCTATCCTCCGATCCACACTCGATGTTCTTTAATCTCACAAGACAATTTCTAGACGAGATAAGACAAGTAGATATAATGATTGATTTGTAATTATTTATGATCAACCAATTGTTAGTACGTATCGATCAATCTCATTGCTTTGCTTGGGTCTCTGCATGTATACACAATCATGGCCTTTTTTTTGTAGTTCTAGTAGGTCCCCCTGTCTTTATTACTGGATGGACAATCTTTTCTAATTTATTTCTTTTTTTTTTTCCTTTTCATTTTGTGGTAGATGCAAATTTAACTAATTAAATAATATATAATACTATTATACTCACACCCACATTTTTTATTTTTTATTTTTTTGAGAAAAGATGGCAAAATCAGATTGCCAAAATAAAAAAAAAAATAAAAATAGTGACGACAATATCATTAATAACTGATTTCTCTCCCACAGATAGATATATATATATATATACTTATGCATACATGCATGCAACCAGTTTAATGTGGATTTAGGACCTCCAATAATTGCAAACCTAATTATTAATTAAATTAATTTTCTATTAAATTTTTTTAACACATTAATTCCGGTCTCCCCATATTGTTATTAACTTCTCTTTCGTATATATACGTAATAACTATCACATAGAAAACTATTAGGGTTGGTTCTTGGTTGTTGTGTGACATACATCTATATATATATGTGTGTGTCTGTGTAAGTCATTTTCTGTCAGAAAAATAAAATAATCGAAAGGGACTGGAACAATCGAATCTAAAGATAATATCCCAATTTATGAAGGCATCCATTAATTGAGATCGATGAAAGAACCATAACCATATGTCCATACACACATACAGACAGATCTTTCTTATATATGAAAATTTTAAATGTAGACCCACCCCCATACGTGATGATGATAGATTTTATTTATTTATATATATCAATCATTATATCACACACAGGATGCATCCAACATGAATAATAATGCTTCTGAATTTGTCATAAAAAAAAAAAAAAAAGGATCAGTTAAAATCATTTTGCCAATTTTTTATTAGTAACTGTCATGAAATTGAAGGCGCGAAAAATCAAGACGGCAGAAAATCCAAATCACAGAATTCCTTGAAGCGAATGAGAGAGAAAGAATGCCAAAAGAAATTTGTTTGAAGGAAGAGAATTGCTGGGCTCGGCCCATGAGCCTTACAACCCAAGACTTATCTTTAACATTAAATATGGGCCTAAATAAGTGGTGATGGGCCTAACGTTACAAACACATGGAGTCCATATTTTATTCAGTAAGTTGGTAAATGAACGTGCCCAAATTAGTAAATGATTAATTGGACACAGCACGTGACTCGCACACCTTCAATTTTCAAATGTAGTTTGGTTTCTTTCCCGGGGATAGGTAAGTGAATAATAGCGCCGAGGCGACCATCACCTTCCCTTAAATTACTTGTTAATACATATTATTTGGCAATCAATTACCTTTTTTATAATCATTATTAAACTTTTCCTTTTTAATACCACATATAAAAAGAGGACAGCCAGATTATGTTCACACAATCTTATCACCAATTCTCAAGAAATCCAGAGGCAAGGCAAGCTTCTTTTTCTTCCCACAACCACCTTCTTCACCAACACATATATTATATATATATGTGTGTGTGTGTGTGCAAAAATAGTAGGCCGACCACCAAGATTTAATTTTTCTGATTTCTTCTGTGGCACCTGCCATTGTTGCTTGAATTAATCCAGTTCGGGATCATGACGAAGAGAGAATTCAAGCCTCTGGGTTTTTCTCTTCTTGTCTTATTTTCGATTCTTCATGTCCTGATCAATGCACAAGAAGTAGGTACGTCGTAACTTAGTTTCATATATGTATGTAATAAAATGGCAGTTTATCTTCAATTCCTCTTCCTCTGAATTTTCAGAGAACGAAAGGGAGTTTGAGTACGCGGAAAAAAGTGAGAAGGGGCCGAGTAAGTGGGGGAAGATGAAGAAGGAATGGAGCGCATGCAATCAGGGCAAAATGCAGTCCCCAATAGATTTGACCAATCGGAGAATCCCAGGATTATGGCTGTCCGATTCCCACAACAAAGATCTGAGAAATTACACTTACAGACCTTCCAATGCAACTCTCACTAATCGAGGTCACGACATACAAGTAAGTGTCTCTATTTGATCTGTGACTGAGTGGCGACTGGGATTGAATTCAAAATTCAAATGACTGAATATGGCGGCGGCGGCGGCGGTGGCGTTGCAGATCCGGTGGTCCGGCGACGGCGGTTCATTGGCCATCAACACAACAGAGTACCGTCTCCGGTACGCGCACTGGCACGCGCCGTCGGAGCACACCATCAATGGCAGAAGGTACGATTTGGAGCTGCATTTGGTGCACTTGACCCCTGCCGGCAATAAGATTGCAGTTGTCGGAGTTTTGTACAAGATCGGCAAACCCGACCTCTTTCTCTCCAAGGTTGTAATATTTAAATCTCAACAGCCAACAACAACAGTGTTATTATAATTAATTAATTAATTAAAATTGTTTGTGTGCAGTTAATGTCGAACATATCTTCGATGATCGATAAGAAGGGTGGAGAGAGGAACGTGGGAGTGATTGATCCAAATGTGATCGACATAAGAAGCGATAGGTATTACAGATACATGGGATCACTCACCATCCCTCCTTGCACCGAAGGAGTCGTCTGGACCATCAACAAGAAGGTAATAATAATAATAATAATCACACATCCAAACACAACTTTCTTGTAATAATAGCAATGAATATCTTGGTGAGCTACTTTCAGGTCAAGACTGTTTCAAAGGACCAAGTGAAGTTGCTCAGAGATGCTGTCCACGACGTAAGTTGGGATTTTATATATATATATATATATATATATTATTTCGATCAAATCCATGCCATTCATTCTGATTCTGTTTTGGATAATTTGGCAGTATGCAGAGGCAAATGCAAGGCCATTGCAGCCACACAACAGTCGGGGAGTGTACCTCTACGGACCAGATATTACCAACTGATTTGATCTGTTTATGTACTCTACAGTCTTTGATCACAGTTCGGACAATACAATACAATACAGTTTTTATTATAAAGGAATCATCTTATTCAACAACATTCAAAAGTTATTATTACACAGTGAACCCAAATAATACAACATCACAAGGTAAAAAGTTCGAACACCTGCTGCAGGTAGGAAACTAATCAGCATAGTTTACAACCTAATTGATCAGAGTATGAAAGTAATCAATAGGAACTAATCAGTTGAAGAATAAAGGAACGACGACATTGGTTTCTTCAGGAACTACTGCTATCAGTTAAGGTGAGTGTGTCATCTAACCATCTCTGGTATCCCCGATGTGCACGTTGTATGTCCTCTGGTTTGCCGCGTATTGTAAGATTTGCAGTTTGTGCATTTGTTTGCAAGAATATGGAAGTTCACCTCTGATGTCTCGCCGCAGTCATTGCACAGAATCCAGACCTAATACAAGAAGAATTAAGGATGTTATGTTCAAAGATTTCAATCAGATCATCTTATGCCAATTTGTCTTACCATTTTATTTTGGTAGATTTGGGGCATTGGTGTTGCAGCAATCTGAAATTTAGACAAACAGAAGAGAATTAACATTAATCGACGCAAATAAAAGAAAATACCATTAGCTAGCTAGCTAGCTATGTGTACCTCTTGATCGAGGCGTTCCCAGACAGGGGTCATGTCGCAATACGACTTTAAGCAAACCGGGCACGAATACCTGCGCCGCATGAATTTAACTATCAGCTCACAAGCCAAATTACACAGAACTAAATAGAGAAACCAATAGAGTTCTTACTGGAAATGGCGTTCCATGTCCTTAACACAGTCGAGATGTATAGTGTGTCCACATGGAAGCACCGTGGTGTCTCTAGGTGTGTCGAAAAGATACTGTGTATGGAGTTGTAAGAGTTCAAAATTAGGTCTCCGGTTCAAAACAAACATATGAAAATGATGTCTTATCGCCAGACATCTATACCTCAAAACAAATAGGGCAGTTGTGATGCATTGCTCTCTCCACACAGACATGGGAATCCTTCAACAAATTCGAATAGCAGCATCCTGAAAACACAAGAAACATCGTTTCAATTTATTGGTTTCTAACATCAAGAATGTTGTTACAGCCTTCATTCATGATTATAGTGTCGCCTACCGCATTTATCACAGTGGAAGAAGTTTTGTTTTCCACCAGTTCTGTCACCAGAGAAGAGCACACAAGATTAGATATTAAAGGCACCAGAAAAATGCCAAAAGGGAATCAATGGCTGGAAAAGAAGAGACTCGATATAAGATAATGTGGTCCATTTGTGGTTTAGAATACAACATCTTTCTATACAGACAAAACGCTGATGGCGATTACATTTTTAGGACTAACTGTAATGGAAACATTAAAGCAAGGTAAAAATGGTTACCTGCAGATTCCACACTTATCGCAGTGATAATGATTCTTTGACACCTTTAAGATAACAATCAATGGTGTTTTAAGCATAGGTGGTGTATTATAGACAGCAGATGATGGAATTCTTCGATAACCAATGAAGAAAGCTTACATCATCATCAAAGAATTTGCACTTTGAGCAGTAGTAATTTCCAAAACAAGATCCACAATTGATGCATGTTTGTTGAACCTACAAGTTGAATTATCAAACTTAGACATTTCAAGAGTTATGTTTGGATAATCCCAACTCTGTCCTAAAATCATATGGACTCACATCTTGCTCTGTCTCGCACAGCGAGCAGATGATTCTTTTCAATTCGTGCCGCGGAATATCATGGCGATCGAGTGCATCAACCTCCAAAGAATTCTGCTTAATTATGAATGACATATGAGTCAGCACCAGTACGATGAATCTAACAAGAAAAACACCAAAGTGCTCAATATGGCTGTAATAAAAAGACTGCACCTTTGCATCGTTGTGGCAGTGCCTGCAATCGAATATCTCATTGCAACAGGGTGCTACAATCTTGCACCTCCTTTGATAGTGTGAGCACCTGAAATTTTGTGAACAATTAACCATTACAAATCCTTCAATCACATGGATTTCACTTGAATTGAAACAGACAAACAGAAGCATTAATAGATTTACCCATATTTCGCAGAGTCCATCTTCATCGTAAACTCATCATTTGTAGGGGTGCAAGAAATAGTCTGCTGCTTCAAACCACCACCCATTTTGTTTTAGGTTAACTTAGAGATTTCAAGATTCACCTGCAGCAAATCATCCATCCATGAATAAAAAAACCACCAAACCAAACTGCAAGAAACGCCTTCTACAATGGGACACAGCCGACAATTGATTTCTCATAAAAAGAAAGCATTTTTTTAATCGACAAAGGGGGTTTCTCAGTCATTATAGTTTTCCCATTATTCATTCTTCAGGCTTTACAAACAGTCGCCCATAAAAATGAAAGGGGTGGGGTGTGATTAGCACAAAATACGGCGGGGATATATACATACAGAAAAAATTAAAGCAACGTCGTGTCGCGCGTTGTGGGAGCTTCTTGGTGAAGAATGGAGAAGTGTGTGCTTGGGAGTGGGGAAGGGGAAGCATTAATATAGTTGCAGAAGGGGAAGGGTAGTTCCTGGAAGTGAAAACAAGTCGACCGTCCAGAGTGTCCAGACACCCTTTCGAGTGGTCCTATGATGTTGCCAACATAAGATACATTGCAACGCTGTATCCGATCCTCAGCTTTATCATCATCTCTTCGGATTGTAAAGTGCGAAAAGCTTTTTACACTTTTATCTTCGATTCTTCTCCGCGTAAAATTCACAATAACTAATAAACCATAAACCAGAGGGTGTTATTATAATTTATAAAAATGGAAGTTTTCTGGTTAAAACACTCTTGACTGACTGTGAATAGGAGGGAAAAAATAAAAAAATAAAAGAAACAAAGAAGAAAGAAGAAGATAAAGACAAGGGAGGATTTGGAAAGCATAAAGGACAAAAGAAATGGATAAAAACTGAAGATTTGCTGACGAGGATCGGGACCCATCATGACATGACAACTGTAGGGGTTACGTACCGTAGATGGAAGCAATCTGCTGGTGATGGTGGATTTACAAGGCTGTGGCTATTCTCCTTCTCTTCTCTTCGTCGTTGAAAAATCATCAGTCCGAGTCAAAAAACTTACAAGAATCTCTAACCATCGACAAAAACATAAAAACCATAAAGATCTGTCAAACGTACAAGACATAAGGGATAAGAAGGCACTAGAACCATCGCTCTCCAAGAGATGGAGTGTAAGATTTGTGTTTGGATTTCGGGGTGACTGAGGCTTCGATTTTGGCTTCTTATTACCCCATCACTCATCATTATCCGTCTATCCATCTAACTAATTTAAAGTGGGTTTTATTACAAAAACAATAGCAGTCAGAGACCGTTGATCAGTTGCCTTTAATTTGTCTGTATCTCTGTCGTCCGGTCCTTGTAAGAAACGGCGTCGTATCTACATGAAGTTAGAAGCTTCAAATTCAAAATTCAATGGAGGAATCCACAGACTGCAGCTGGTAAGGTTAGCGTAATCTGTAAAAATCTAGATGGAATATCTAGTCAGATATTTTTCTTTACGAATCATCAGTGCCCTTTTCGCCCAAAAGGATGTGATGATCATCGGCAGGCAGTCGTTCATCATCTGATCCAATTTTTTCTTCAATTCAAAGGATTGATTCTCTATCCATCCACACTATCCAGGGAGATTATTCTACAGCTTGATCCCAACAGCATGGACAATCACAAACAACAGCAGACGACATCCAGTCCACATCACTGGTTTATTTTTAACCAGCAGGATGAAAAGCTTTGATTAAAGAGGGGGATATGACATATGATGTGATTTTCTAACAAAACAAAAATATTCTCTCATCATTCCATGTACTGTAAGTGACCGTTGGATTAGTTGATCTTGCGAACAAGATATAGTTCACACTTGACAGCCCATTAAAGACTGGGCTACGTTACGATTTTCCGTTTTGGGCCCCAACAAACTTTGTCACGAAGCCCATTATACAAATAATGACTCTTTCAACAGCTCATTGGGAGTCAACTGAGCGTGGATGAATAAGACAAGGAGCGTGGAGGACGTGGGGCAATAATTGAATCTAATGTTGCTTCTCTCTCTATAATAGTATAAATTAAAAAATAAAATAGTTGGTCACCAGAAAATAAAATACCATGATCATTTTATTTACCTATTGATCTACAAAGGTAGGTATTAATTTAGAGTTACTTTGTACCTAGGATCCCACTGTATGTTTAATATTTATATGTGTAAGAGGAGTTAATAATCAAGTTTAAAAAGAAAAGAATTGCAAGAAACGAATGTCGAAAAACAACACTGACGACGAAGTCCACCCATTAAGCAAAGTGTTGCGTGCCACCTTGTTCATTTAATTATATATATATATATATATATATAATGTTGTGTACAACCTACTGTATCTTTTCTTCTCGAAATCGATGAATTCATTCTCAAACATACTACTACTATATAATATGTAAATTCTCTACGTACTACGCATAACTATACAATTTTTAATTTTAAAAAATGAAATACATTGGTATATATGTGTGTCGATGGTGGTGGCAACAGTACATATACATTTTGTTACAAATATTTAATAATTAAAATTATTTGGCAATTACGTGCTCTCGTATATGATATGCGTACAGTCCACCCATACGCCAAGAATCTTCCTTCTACAGAGCTACCTAGCCGTTTCTTTCATTAATATATACACACACACACACAAAATTATTGATGACAGCTTTCTCTGGAAAGATCCTGTACTGGAATCTATCATACAGACTAATTCTGGATGAGTGGAGTAATGTAATGTAATGTAATGGCGTTGGTATTCAATTCGAATATATTTGCATATATGGGGATGAGAGAATGAATTAATTAGAGTGAACGTGCTATGATTCCCATGCACTTAATTACTACTACTACTACTATTTTCTTTACCAACTCTCTCCAATCATTGGGATGAACGAACATTAACACAACTAACAGCTAAGCTAAGATCATAAATTTTTGGGGGACGAGTCGACTACTACTACTAGTACTGCTACTACTACTTGTTGTAATCTGAAAAAATCTAATCCACTTCATTCATTCAGTAGATAAGTAATTAATTGATTATAAAATGAATAGAAGGAGAGTGAATCTGCATGCTACGAATTAATAAATGAAGAATGGAAGTAGTGGGGGGAGGTGAAGAAGCAGGCAAGCAAGATCAGATCACAATATAATTCCCTCCCTCTGTGGCGCCAGCCTTGCATTGCACCACTTCTTCAATCCAATCCAATATATAAGAAATTGGAAATTGGGATTGGTGATGTCGTTTCCCTAAAGTCATTGAGTTTGCTTCCAAGCTAACCGATTCTTCTCCTCACACTCACTGCATATATACATATACATATATATACATACATATATATATATATAGTCAAGTCCTTCGCCATACCCACCGCCCGCCGCCTGCTCTACCTCTTACTTCCATTATTATATATATATATATATATCTCTGTGGAGTATATGTGCAATAGTGTTGGTTGTTTGGGTTGGGAATCCCACTTGCTCAAGTTTCCATTCCTACTTTTAAGTAGCCACTAACTACACCACAAATTCGTTCTTGGGTGGGTTCCTGTTACAATTACATTTACGTTTACAAAGCTTAGTTAGCTGCAAGTCTGCAACCAATATTTTTTCTAGGAATTGAAAGAGAATGGAAGCTCGGGAGGAAGCCGTCGTCGTTGTCAACAAAGGAAAGCGGAGCAAGAGGCCACGATCTCTGTCTCCGTTGCTGCTTCCTGTAAACATGGCCGGCGGTGGTGGTGGATTCAGTGACGTTTCTGGAAGTTCTGATCCCGTGTTGACTCCGTCGTCTTGTAATTTGGGGGAGATTACAGATGAGGATCTGGAGGAAGACATGGCCAATTGCTTGATCCTTTTAGCGAGGGGACATGGGCATTGTCCAACGACGTCGTCCCCACCGCCACTGCAGCCTGTTGAGGTTTACAGGTGCAAAACGTGCAGCAAAAGCTTCCCTTCCTTTCAAGCCCTCGGCGGTCACCGGGCCAGCCACAGGAAGCCGATTAAGCCGCCGGCAGCCGTACTCGAGGTTGAGGAAAAGAAGCCATTGATTGTCGATCAGAGTTATAAGAAATCATCAGACAATTTCCGATCAATCCTTGACGAAAGCACCACCACTCTTTCACTCCAAATCTCGACCCGATCATCAGGCGGCGGCGGTCAATCGAACAAGCCAAGGGTTCATGAATGCTCCATCTGCGGCGCTGAATTCGCGTCCGGCCAGGCCTTGGGCGGCCACATGCGGCGTCACAGGCCAATCCCGGCGGCGAGCGACGATCAATCGCGAGAATCGAAGAGGCCGAAGAGTGCATTATCGTTGGATCTCAATCAACCCGCTCCGGAAGAGGATCGCCTGGAATCCAAACTTCCATATACACCAAAAGAACAAGTGATCGTCTTCTCCGCCTCGTCTCTGGTTGACTGCCACAATTAGCGGCTACACCTTCAACATTAATATTAATATTATATTCTTGTATGAATTTATTGTTTTTACCCAGTTCACCAAGACAATTGTGAACAATTCATTTACATTATTCATTTTTCTCATCATACAATTCATAATTCTATTCATACTGTAATACAAGATTTGAATGTTGTTAATTTTGTATGTCCATAGTCCATTCTTATTAAATTACTTATTGCATCATTAACTCTGTGTTCTTTTACTGTATCATCATCCTCATCGTCGTCACTAGTCACTACCACAACCAGAAATGTTAAATTAAGGGTTGATTGTGTGTCCCCATTCACAAGACACAGACAGACATTAATGGATGGATAGTGCAACCTGGCAGGGCAGCCAGGCAGGCAGGCAAACATTAGTATTAATTTATATTGACCTGACTAAAAGTGTAAAACCCAACCCTCCTTTTCTAGACAAGATTTAACTCTCAATTAATATTATATATATATATGTATGTATGTGCATTGTTTTGATGAAGAGCAGCTTGCAGGTAGCAGCATGTGGTCACTTAATTATTCCATTGAATGTGTTGCTTAATTACATGCATCATGTATCGATCCTATGCTATGAATCATGAATTACAGTGATAATGGAGAGAAGTCTCATTAGAATGAATGATTGCAGAGGAGGAGGAACACAATCCATGTTTTGTGGCTACACTACACTAGGGATGATGGAATCACACTCACTCTCCCTCTCACTCTCACACAGTTCAGCAGAGGGAGAGGGAAAGGGAGAAATATATATATTATAATAATGTGGCTGTGGCTGTGAGTGAGTTGTTTGCAAAACAAAAGTGTAGATTGTTTATGGCTTGGACACTGCGGTGGTCACTTGTAAAAGGGGAAGATGCACATGCTTCCTGTTCTCTCTCTCTCCCTTTCTTTTCTTTCTGTTTCTCTGTGTCCATTTCACTCTCTCTCTCTCTCTCATATACATACATATATATATATATATATAAATATACACCTGTGCATGTGTATCGTCATCGTCTTTAATGATTGCTGCATTTTAAAGTGGCAGTATTAATTGACACTGTTTGTTTGTTACATGAAAATCGGATCGGAACACCATACACACACACTCACACACACACATACATATATATATATATATTTTGTGCAAGTTGAATCTCATATGCATGGAATTCAGATGGAAATTTGTTTGTCTCAGTAAGTGATTGAGCCATCATCACAAGTAAATTTTTATTATGTTTCCTTTCATTATTTATTTATTATTTCAATTTTCTGGGTTTGACTTGTAAGCTTGAGTACTTCAACTAACTGTCCACTTGCAACTCTGTTTTCATTGAATTAGGTTTTACCGGGTAAAAATATAGCGGTTATGTCAATTATTCTACGGAAATTGGTTATAATTAACATTTCAATGTCAACTGTATTTAATAAATGCAACTTTTTACTTTTCATTCTAGCAATTGGATCTAATATAAGTTTTCTATTTATAGTCGAGTACATTGGTAAGACCTCAATTCAATTTTTAATTAGCCACGCGTATCGTATATGTAGTTGTAATTTTATATTCTTAACTCTTTTCTTCTTCATATTATTTTAAATATACATATTTATGAAGGATCAACAGTTGTATTTAATAGCAAATTCAGGAAACGAGATGATACACTGCATGACACTGTAAATATAAAGGCAATAGTAAATTGGATAATTACCGTAGTTCGTTCAGGTGGATTCTCAACAGAATTGTAGAGATCACAACACCAAACTGGGGGCTGGTAAATTTAATTACAGGGCCTTCCGTGTCGGATCTGATCGGATAATTCCATCACCACTGGGGAAAGGATACAAACTATCATTTACATAAATGCCAACACCAATTAAATATGTCGATCGATGGATTGAAGTTCAATCTACGAGCAACAGCCGCCACCGGAGGGTGTTTGCTGCTCTTGCTTCTGTTTCAAGATGTTTCTCTTGACGACTGTTGAACCTTCTTCCAGCAGTCTTGGAACCTCCATTATCTGGGGAGAAATGGATGTTCATGTTTAATCCGAAACACAAAAATTGTTGGAGACAATCGATGAGATGGATAGTAGCACAGCCAAGTACCTTTAAGGAGAGCTCTTTAAAACATAGCTCCACATTTTCACAAGTTTTAGCACTACATTCGAAGAATAGAAATCCAAGCTCTTTCGCCAGGGTCATCCCTTCTTCTCGGCTCACAACTCGTTCGGATTCCTGAAATGGCAGCCTCAGTCGAAATATATTAGACAGTTTGAAAATTTCTAAGCCCAATGGTTATTGCATTTCTCCTAATTGTATGTGACCGTCATTGTGCGGCATGTGATACATACAAGCATTAAACAAGACAAGCAAAAGGTGATAAGGAGCTAACTCTATCGACTTTGTTTCCAACGAGCATCTTGATGCAATCCTGATTTGTGGAGTATAGCTCCAACTCTTTCTCCCACACATCAGATAAGTTGGTAAACGTATCTCTCCTTGTTACATCATAGACTACAATACATATAGAAGGTTAATGTCATGTTATACATACCACAAGATGCTAAATTCGTAAAAATACCAATCCAGACACATAATAATGTCCATATTCCAGGAAAAAAACAGATAATTTTATTTTTTTCATGTCATTGCCTATTTTCTTCGGTTGTTTTTCTGAAAGTTTGTTATAGCATATGTATTGTAGAATAATTATCATTATCAGTTTTCAATCAAATTTCTGCATGCTTCTCTTGAGTAGGTTGCCTAAAATATTGAAATCAAGATCCTGATGTCTATACATTGACTCGTGTACCCGTCGACAGCGTGTAGCAGATAAGTGGCTAGAAATTGTGAGAAGATTTGGCAAAAGATGAAGTCAGTACTCTTGATACTTACAGGTCTGAGAAACAAAATAATAAGTCACAGCGAGATTGCTTTTGCTTTTGTCCATTAGTAAAACAATATCAAGAGGTTGTGTGATGATCATGGAAGGTTGAAATCAACACACACAAAAATAAGATGAGAAGGGAGCATTTGATGGAATCGACGAGAAACAGTGGTTCATTCATGGCTTACCAAGAATGATCCCTTGTGCACCTCTGTAATATGAACTCGTTAATGTCCTGAACCGTTCTTGTCCAGCTGCAAATGGCATAGGACACTCATGTTAGAAATGGAAATCACCAAAGCATAGCACCACTTGTTTTGATCAGGAATGGGAACAGAATCACTTGATTTCTAGTTCAAGAGCGACAAAGAAATGACACCAATAGCAAGGAATTTCTTACCTGTGTCCCATATTGTTAGCTTCAACCTTTTACCTCCAACTGTGAGAAACTTGATCTTAAAATCAACACCTAATTTAATGGAAGGAATGCAAAGAACAATCATTCCTTTTCAGGTAAATCTTTTAGAAATTTGGATGTTTTGTACATCCAATATTTACTACAAGTACGAATACAATAAGAACTAAAGTTGTATCTTCAAACTTCAGTGAAAATAGCACTGACTAACTCAATAACATCCACAGTTACCTAATCAACATTTCATTACTTTAGCCATAGGCAGGCCTTGTTTCATTTTCTGAGACAAATTACAGTTATAATGCCCTGCCTTGATAACACCATGTGTTTTGGATTTGTTTAGGTTCAATACACACTCAGCCACTCAGATATTCATTTGGATTTGTTTATCATTGAGATAGATATTTCTAATCGAGGATTGCAGCTAATGAATCAAAACAACAAAGCTAAAAGTTCAAATTTTAATAAAGCAAAGATAATGACTAGAATATACTAGCATAGCTAAAGAATAAGAAAAAGGCTAAAATGCTGCATGTGAGACTTGCTGTAAGCCACATGATCACAACATTTTACTTATTTGAATCCACCAGAGAGCAGGAACCACCAGGAGCATACAAACAAAATAGCTTCAAAACCTAACTATCTAATTACAATGAGTTAAGGAACAAGTACTTGAATAACAAGAATTCCTGTTTGCCCTCAAATCACAGAGTAAAAAATCAGTCCAATGAAAGTTATTGAGCACCAAAACCCACACAAACAACTAAAAACAAAGAACAAATCCAATCCAGGCTCAAAACCTGTACCCAATTGAATAGCAATCGATTCCAGCCAACATATAAATGTACCAGAAGATCAAGACCTCAATCAGATATCACTATTGGCACAAGCTGAAGAAGGAACCACAAATTCCGCAACATTGAACATCACAAACAGACAAAATCGGAGATATACCATACCAATAGTGGGTGAAAGATCGTCAACTGCGCTGGAAATGAAGCTGATGAGCAAGCTACTCTTGCCGACAGCGGAATCTCCGATGAGCAAGATCTTGAACGACAGATCGTAGTTGCTCTGCCCCTGACCTGAAGTCCCCATCCAAATATGTTAAAAACTTTCTCTTTCTAGAAAAAAAAATCAACACAACTCCTCTTAAATCCCTCACTATGCCTTTCCTATATCCTGCCCCAACAACTACAACAGTGACGATGTGCAATCAGTAAGAGAGAGAAACAGCTCTAAAACACAAGCAGATAAAACCTTTTACGCCATCACTCACTCAGTCCCTCTCTCTCTCTCCCCCTCTTTCCAACCGGCACTGCGTTATTCGTTATGTATAGAGAGAGAAAGCCGAAGGTGAACGGTTAGCAGAGGACAACGTTATTCCTTTCCTTTTCTTACATGCTCAGACTCAGATGCGATTCCGTTTTTGCGCGAAAGGGAAATTCCCTTCCCTTTGACGGTGACCGTTACTAGAGCACGTGGCATGCTTGTAAATAAAGGCAAATACAGGGTTGATGTATTTGGCACCGCATGGATGATGATGGGTTGGTGGGCCTTCTACCAATTGTGCTGTTGGCTTTGATGGGCCCGTTCTGTCTAACGGGGCCCAAATATGGCCCAGGAACTTGTTCTGATGTACTTAGCTAACTAATTAATTAATTTTATAATAATAAAAACCTAATTAAATTTGATTATTAACAAATTAACTAGTCTATCAAGTGGATTTTGTCACAATTGTCCATATTACTCGATGACATCGTCTTATTAGTATATAGTAATATGCAATGTGGGTTCCTCATCGTATAACATATTTGTGTCGCCAGTTTGTGCAAGGAACTTTAGCTATAATAATAATAATAATGATAATAGTAATAAACAATATTGGTAGGGCATCCAATCAAGTACCCAAATTTTTAACAGAAGAATCTGGGGCAAGAATAAAGGTAATGAACAAATTGACAATTTTTTTAGTACTCAACAACGGAGGAGAAAGAAAGGCAAGGCAAGATATAATTGAATAGACATTATTTAAGGAAGACTAATAATAAATTATGAAGTGGATATGAAATCCATTACTAAGAAATAGAACAGGGGAAAAGCCTCCACAAGATTATATGGGGTTAAGAGTGAATACAAGAAAGTAGTAATAATAATGGTGCTTGGATCTCTTTAAATGGAATGCAAGTCTGTATCACCATCAGCAACTCCATTTTACTGTGACAAGCCACCTGAAATGCATTGCTTAGCTTGTATAAGAATTTGAATTGAGTGGGGCTTGTCTAGAGCTTTCCATGTTTCTGTTGAGACAATTTACAATGTGAGTGATGAAACATTGAGTTACATAGAGATGTCAACCATTCCAATACCAATAAACACCAAACATATAGGACACATCAAAAAAGATTTAAAAAGTCTAAGCACAATGGCAAAAGCAAGATGACTTTAATATGAATGTGATTGTATATGTTGCTAGAATCTTGCTCGTACATAGGAAAGATAAGCTTGTTCTACTTGACTACTTCGCATACATACATTCACTAGAATGATACATCTTTATTTGCATGGGAATAAACCAAAATCCATCTAATTTTTTTATGAGAGGGTATGTGGATAGTGATAACTTCCTTATTAATAAATTAGGTATCAAAAAAGGGTCACTGTTGCCTTTTCACAAAGCACACTCCTCATGATGCAATCTCATTCTCACCGATGCAAGATTCACAAATAATAAAAACTAGTAAGAGGAGCAGACTAACCATGAAATGGACTTGTATCAAGCTGTAGAAAGATTTGACGGCGACTAAGAACTTGAATTCTTCTCATCATCAACTTTAGTGTCCTCTTTTGCTTCAACCTTGTCTTCTTTTACCTCTGTCATAACATGTCCTGTCATTGGATCAACAGGTCGCATATCCCGTGGACCCCCTTTCCGTCCCATTGCCATCATAGGCGGTGGAGGTAACAACCCTGCTCGGAAGAGAAGGCGCTGAACTGGTTCTGAGGGTTGTGCGCCAACAGAGAGCCAATACCTGTATAGGCATTTGAGAATTCAGAAGATAGAGGATTTGTATTGCATTATAGATGAATCAAGTTCTAGATGGGCAAGGGCAATATGAATAAAGATTGGGCGTGGGTTATCTAGTGGCACTTGAGACAACTCAGTGGAACACAAGATTCAAAGGATTATCAATCAACAACAACAACCATCTTACAAATATTCATTCATTAGCACAGTTTATGAAGGGAACATAGATATGGGGGACATGAATTTGAAAAATCAATCTCTTTCAGACATGTCTTTCAACACAGAGGATTCAAAATTGCGAAAATTAAGAGAACTATAGGAATTATTCATGCACTACCACAATCTAAAGTACAAGTTTAACATGGTTCCATGATTGTTACACACATTAGCACAACATAATTTCCATATAGGGGAAATTCCCCTCCTTGATTCTCAAAGGACACTATGTAATATACTCCATTAAGTTCACAAAATCAAGTTAACATCTGTGCAGTTCGATATTGCTTCTGGATAGCAAATGATATCAAATCCAACATAAAATTGAAGTGTAGAAAGATTCGATTTCCAAGAGAAACGTGAAACTTGAAATGAAAAAAAACAAAAATTCGGGCGAGAATTTTATGTAACTTACTTCACTCTTTCAAAATTAACACCCATTCTTTTACCACCGTCCTGACCTGCGTAATTTATTAAATACATTGACATTAATCAGCAGTCGGTCGCGAAAAGTAAATTTGCAGCTCATAGTTGTAATCCGAGAGAAATTTAATCCGAAATGCGGATGGATTCGAAATACAAGCTCCGATTCGTTGCTGCCACTAGACCTTGGCCGTTACAAATCATTCTTAAATACAAGCTCCGATTCGTTGCTGCCACTAGACCTTGGCCGTTACAAATCATTCTTAAGTAGTAAAAAACTAAACAATAGTGAATTTGATGAGAATTATACCAGGAAGAGGATTGTAGTAGCCCAGAACTTCCAAATGCTTGCCATCTCTTGGGGATCGGCTATCCGCCGCCATAACTCTGTAGAACGGCTTGTTCCGACATCCAAACCTCGAAAGCCGCAAACGTACCACCATTCTTCCGTCCCTCTGCACAAAAAACGAGTATGAAAATGGAGCCCGGCGTTTGCAGAATCAGCGACAAACGAAGACGATGGGTGACCAAGGGTTTTTGGCTGGGTTCTGAAATTAAAAGAAAACGACGCCGTATCGATTAAATTAATAAACTATTGGGCTGAATCGGCCCATAAGAAAAATGCAAAAGTTCTTAACAACGCTTTGGACTCGAAAAGAGCCCAAAACCCATTCCTATATAAACCCCTGAAACTATTCCAGTTAGTTTATTTTCGGCGTTGTTGCTCTGTGCGAAGATAACCGGTGCAGCTGCAATGGACCGAGAGTGGGGTTCGAAGCCTGGAAGTGGAGGCGCTGCCTCAGCTCAGAATGAAGCCATCGACCGCCGCGAACGGCTGAGGCGGCTTGCACTGGAAACAATCGATTTAGCTAAGGATCCCTATTTCATGCGCAACCATTTGGGAAGGTAAAACCCTAGAATTGCATCGCTGGTTTCCTTGCTGGTTATCCTTTGATTCATTTTACTATTTATTTATATTTTACATATTTGGAAGGGTATTGGGGTCTGTGAAGCTTAATTCGAATAATGACTGATTTGCAGCTACGAGTGTAAGCTCTGTTTGACATTGCACAATAATGAGGGGAATTACTTGGCGCACACACAGGGAAAACGCCATCAGACTAACTTGGCTAAGCGAGCGGCTCGTGAAGCTAAAGAAGCTCCTGCACAGCCACAGCCTCATAAGCGCAAAGTTAATCTTAAGAAAATTGGTAACTACTCGATCCAATTTAGTTTGATGATGAAATAAATCCTCAAGTATTATCATTGATTCATTGTAGGTTTGCATTGCTTTTTTTTTTTTTTTTGGTAATACATTATGACCGAAATTCTCTGGTACAAAAGAAATGATGTCTTGTAGTTTGTATTGTTCTGATGAATTCAATGTGCTAGACTATTTTTAAACCATGTTTAAGTGAGTGAGAAAAAATTAATAAAATGGTTTTGTTGATTGTGCTGGTTCCCATGTAAAGTTGCTTCAGGGATTTGTCTTTAGAATGCATCAATTTACTTCCCATTTGGAAAATAGAACTCAGGATTCATTATAAGGAAGCTTAATTCCTTACAGTGTGCAATTCATAACCTTTCAATTTTCTCTGTATAATGCTTCTTGCTTTTAAATTAAAGAAATTCCTATATTCAAGCCTAAGTTTTGTGTGTGTGCAGTTAAAATTGGCAGACCTGGATACCGTGTGACTAAGCAATTTGATGCAGAGACCAAACAAAGGTCACTACTTTTCCAGGTATACACTCAACTCCGTTAATGCATCTAAACATTCTAAATGTTATGAAGTCTTATTGGTGTTCCTCCACTTTGGAAATTTTGTAGGCTTCACTGATCACAAGCTCTTGAGAACTAGTTCAATATAACGAGCTTGTTTTAGATAGGCTTCAGCCTGGCATCATAACATGATGCAAAATAAAAATTGTACTATCAGATATGATAATAAATGGTGAGCATAGTTGTTCAGCATGGCGCTGTGATTTTGATATGTGCAGTTTCATTCATATCAAGTGCTGGTGCACATATACAAGTTTGCCCATTAGAATGATCTATCTGAGGCTTTGACAGAAAATTAAGGTGTCCTTTTAAAGTGGTTTTTGATGTATTGCATGGAAGACTCCAAGCATTATATTTCATGAATTAATCAGCAAATCATATACATACCCTTTGAACTTCCTAGCTAAAACTGTTCTGTATTTCCTTTTGTTGATTTAGAGCTAAATATAGTTTGGCATTTACTTGTGTTATTTGGTGCTTTAACAGATTGAATATCCGGAGATTGAAGACAATACAAAGCCAAGGCATCGCTTTATGTCATCATTTGAGCAGGTTCTTTACTAAACTTTGGAAGGCATCATGAGTGATTTATGTTGGATTTATTTATTTTATGTTTTCCCTGGCTTGTGATGGGGTTCAAGAATGCACTTTTAACTTACCAATGCCTTTTAAATGCAATATGCAGAGAGTTCAGCCATTTGACAAAAGATACCAATATCTTTTGTTTGCTGCTGAACCGTACGAAATAATATCATTTAAGGTATTTCTTCTGCTCTGCTACTTGTAAGCCTACCTTTTGCCATAATCTTGAATCACCCTCTAATGCAATGTATGACTCTCAGGTTCCGAGTACTGAGATTGATAAATCAACTCCGAAGTTCTTCTCCCACTGGGATCCAGACTCAAAGATGTTCACTGTAAATGCTAGCACACCATTGCCTGCTTTCTTTAAACTTGAAGCTTTCACCCTCTGCACTCGTTTTTTCAGTTTCTTGTGATCTTTGGCATTCAGAATCCTTACTGAAATGACAAAGAATATTTTGTGTGTTTATGAAAATATGCAGTTGCAGTTATATTTCAAGGCAAAGCCACCCGAGGGAAGTAAGCCTCAACCTCCTCCGGCAGCTAATGGGACAACTGCTCCTGGTGCCCCGCCCAGATCTTTGCCTCCTCCTCCTCCACCTCCACAAGGACCACCCCCTCCTGGACCACCACCTACTGGAAATCCACCTAGGCCTCCATCATCAATGCCCGGATCTATACCTCCCCCACCCCCTATGGGTAACGGACCAAGGCCTATGCCTCCAGGTGGAAATTTGCCTGCACCACCACCTCCAGCTGGCAGTGGTGCGATGGCTAATTTTACCCCGGGTGCGCAAATGGGTAGGCCTCCTCCTCAGGGGTTTCCTGGGAGCCAGCAGGGGTTCTACCCACCCCCTCCCCCACCGAATATGGGTTGACTCTTCACTTCCAGAAATAGATGTCTTGAGTATCATGCTACCTTGTTTAAACTATAGAATCTACAAAATGGATGAGTTGGGGTTTGTAGGGGCAAGTGTATGTTTTGGTTGAAATCAACAAGATTTCTTGCTTTTTATCGCTATTTCTGTGTTGGAAGTTGCAGTGACAATTATTATTCTCAAATGAAATGTATTTTTCCTTGATGAACTGGTCATCATATTTGTATTATAGGGTTTGTTAGGTTGTGTCGAAGTTCTAAAAACTATTTTGAATGTAGTATTTTCGATCATTTTAAGAAATAACAAATTATGAGTAATTATATGCGAATCTACATTGCAATGTAGTAACGCGAGGAGAATACTGTTCATGGTAACTACATGGCTGTTAAAGATTTTCATTTTAAAAGGATTTAGTGGTCTGACAACTGTATGAACGGAACGGCTGTGTGCTGCTGCAGCACAAAATTTGAATAAACTATCTATCAAATTTAAACCAAAAGAAACATATAATTGTTACATGCAAACGAGGAAAGTCCATTTATTACTTACCAGAAAACAATTATGTCATGGAACGGTTTGTGGTTATCGATTTGGTTTAATACAACACCAACGTAATTACTTGTATACAGACAGTGAGACAATATATATCCATCCAACCCTGCGCACAGCATAGATCCGAGTCCGACTTAACCTTCCCCAAATAGTTCATACGTACTCACAATCTTACATTACAATGTCTTTTTTCATGGTGATCAAACTTTTGTTGTCTCATCTTTTCATCGCACTCAACATCTATGGTTAATCCCTCCTCCCTCTCTCTCTCTCTCTCTCTCAATGTATCTTTTATTGTGATTTTATTAATTCATTTATTTTTTGATACTGGTGTGTGACGCATATATATATATATACATAAATACAGAGGCACATTCAACTGAATTCACAGTGAAGAATAATTGCGGATACAAAATCTGGGCAGCAACACAAACCGGCACCGGCCCACAGATTCCGACAGGGTTCGAACTGCCGCCAAAGGCTTCGAACACTCTGACCGTTACTCCACCGTGGTCGGGCCGGCTCTGGGCCCGAACCCAATGCTCGGGTCCCTCGGGAGCCCTCGTCTGTAACACCGGAGACTGCACCACCGGAAAAATCGAATGTAACAGCCCTGGCGGTAAGCCGCCGGCGTCCCTCGTGGAGTACACCCTCGCCGGCGCCGATCAGAAGGATTTCTACGACATCAGCCTCGTCGACGGTTTCAACGTGCCGGTGTCCGTTCAGCCCACCGGCCCCAACTGCCCGACGACGAGCTGCTCCAGCAACGTCAACAGCGCCTGCCCCAACGAACTGGCGCTGAGAGGCGACGATGGCGCCGTCATCGGATGCCGAAGCGCCTGCACGGTTTTTCAGCAGCCGCAGTACTGCTGCACCGGCAGCTATGGCAGTCCGACGACGTGCCGGCCGACGAATTACTCGATGATTTTCAAGAAACAGTGCCCGCAGGCTTACAGCTACGCTTACGACGATTCCAGCGGCATCTTCACTTGCCCCACCGGCGGGAATTATGTCATCACTTTTTGCCCTTAATTAATCATTGTCAGCCCTAATTACTTGGAATAATTAAGTGATTACAGTACTTGCTCTTCTGATTGTAGTTTTCTTAAAAAAATTAAAAATCAGGAAAAATCCTGCGGGGACGACGTTGACATTTTCATTGACAATGACACCTCCATGATGTCTTTAATGAGAACAGATACGTTGATATAAGCAGATCCGTGGCTTTCCATTTTACTCACGGCCATCGTCTTCAGCTCCTCCGCCCTGGTTCGCCGGACGCTTCCATCTCCGCCGTCCATCGCCATCAGCGCATCGACGGCGCTTACAACTTGGTCTTTCCTCACAAGAACCCCGACCCTCTCTTCTTCTCCCCACCTGACGGGGAGCTCCACCCCGACTCGTATCCCAATCCCCAGAATCTCCACGATCAGCTTCTCGTTGAGGAACTGTTCTGCAAACATTGGCCAGGTTATCATCGGCACGCCGGAGCAGACCCCTTCGATCGTCGAATTCCAGCCGCAGTGCGTCAGGAAGCCTCCGATCGCCGGATGGGACAGAATCAGGACCTGCGGGGCCCATCCCTTGATCACCAGGCCTCTTCCCGCCACTCTCTCCTCGAACCTTTCTTCCAGCAGCCATTGTTGCAGCTCATCGAACCTGTCTCCTGTCTTTATAACCCAAATGAAGGGATGTTTGGAGTTTTCCAGGCCGAGCCCGAGTTCGATCAGCTGCGCCGGAATCAGGCGGCACTGGCTTCCGAGGCAGGCGTACACCACAGATTTGGGTTTCATGGCGTCGAGCCAATCCAGGCAGTTTCGCTGGTCGATCGAAGCCCTGTTCCCTCTCTCGAATTTATCCAATGCTTCTTTGTTGCAGAGTGAGACAGGGCCGATGCACCAGACCTTCTTCTTGATGGCCTTGCCATACTCCTCGGCGCATCCGCCTTCGAGTTCCGTGAAAGTGTTGACAACGACGCCGTATGCGTTGGATTCAGCCTCTTGCATTTGGTCGCGGATGTCGTCGAGGTCCGGCAAGGCTACAAAGGAGCCCGGGAGCTGGGATCTCTTGATCTTGACGTGGACAGGCAGTCCAGGGATGAGGAAGGGCTCGGAATCGGATTCAACGGTGAGATGAGGCCTGTGGAGCTTGACATTGTGGGAGGTGAGGAGCGAGAAGCAGCACATCCCGTGGAAGACGAGCCTGGGAACTCGAAACTTGGCGGCCATGGCGGAGGTCCAGGAGAGGCACTTGTCGGAAATGATGCAGGTGGGTGGGGGGGAGGTGTGGGTGAGATGTTGCTCGAGGGGGCTCTGGAGCATATCGAGTGCAGTGTAGAATTTTCTGATGAGGTCCCTGGAAGGGACGCTGTCGAGATTCTCGCAGCCTGGTGGGAGGCCGACTTCCTGGGAGGGGAAAGGGATTTCGATGAGGCGGATGTGGAGGCCGGCGGCGACGGCGCGGCGGATGTAAGTGTGGAAGCGGGAGACGTTGTGCGGGGTGGTGACTAAGCTGGCAATAACGCCGTGGTGAGCGAGGAGTTTGGCCATGTCGATCATGGGGATCATGTGGCCCTGAGCCAGGAGTGGAATCAGTACAAAATGGGGCTGCTGCGAATGGGAAGAAGAAGAAGAAGGCATGATGACGATGAGTTGGGGCAACAGGCCCGACCTAAAACCGACCCGACCCGTGAGATGGAGATTAATTGATGAGTTAGGGTGGTGGAGGGAGAGTGATTTAATTTAAAGAGAGGGAGCGTGAATTTTGGACTTGTAAGTGCAACAGCTGCCCTGCTACTACGACTTAGTCTATTGCTCTAGATTATTTTGATCCGGTCGGTCAGTCGGTCGGTCAACCATCGGGGCCACTGGGTTATTACTTACATACATACATACTTGTAGTTGTCTGTCTGTCTGTCTGTCTATGTGCGTGAATTGCATGGAATGAAATATATATATATATATATATAATTAATGTTGCTGTGATTACATTTGCACCCCAATCTCCACGTTCATCATCAATCAATGCACATCAGCTGCAGGTGAGTCTCTATCCACGAGGAACACATGACAGACAGACAGGTGGGAGTAATATATTGATACAATTGATTTAATTTACTGTCAAAATTACAATAACTCTATCTATATATGTAAATAAAGTTTTTATAGTATGTTACGTTTTGAACATATTTTGTATCATTACATCATATATTCTTAAAATGCCTAAAATAGGAACAATGTGTACATGAACTAATTGTTCATTTGTTTAAGATTGGTGGGAGGTGGGAACAGCTAAGTCGGCCAACCCACAACTACTTGAGATCCTTACAACATGTTTAAGCTACCTATAAGAAGATTCCAAGTTCGATGAATAATAATATCCAAAACACCAGACAAACGCCTGAGTAATAATATCTATGAATAACAACTAACAACTGTTGTCATTCAACCACACTATATATCATTGTGCAGTGCTCTTTCTCACACTAATGGAATGCTTAAGCAAGTTGTAGATAAACAAATATTTTCTGACCTAAACTAGTCATCCAACAAGAAGTAAATAAGCAAACAACAGCAGTTCCAGCTCCTGTTAATTTATTTTTCTTTCTTCACACGATTACTTCACAAGCAAATATCAACCAAGTTTAAAGCCTACAAGTGACTGATTTGTTCGTTCCTTCAAACAATAAATCATTGAAGTTGACCCTAACAAAGTAGATTACTTTCGCCAAAACAACTCTTCATAAATTTCAAAGTTGACTCGTGAAGGTTGTTGATTCAAGCAGACATCAAACTATCATGTGTGAATTCAATAATAGAAGAGGTCTGTGTCTGCATGCAGTAGTATTTGACAAATTGAGAAAACTTGTAAAGATGAGAAACCAAAATACCAAGTTACCATAACAGCCAGTAAAAGAGAAGACGAATAGTCGATAACGCTAGAAATAATAATAATTAAACACCCAAGATCCTGTCCCAAACACTAGTCAGTGTCAACTTGCTGAGCAGAAATTTTAGCCAACTAAAACAACAGTTAATAAAAATAATAATAAATCTTGTTCAAGATATAACTTGCTAGAATATTTCTATCATTTGTGGAAAGAAAATTCAAAATAAGAAAATATTTGCCCTTGATAAACGATCCTTCTTGTCACTAGAAGTTACAAAAGAACTAAATTGTTGAAATGTATTGCTAGATACAAACAAGGTAGTCTAGAATAAGGAGGAAAAGGGCATCCATCAAGTCCAATAACCTGAAATTGCGTACCTCAAAAATGTAATAAATGATAGTCATGTTTGAGAGCTAGCTATCTACACGCTGGGAACAAAACAAGGACACTAGTTATAGTCCTTCAACACCAGCCACTGCTCCAGAGGTTTACACAATTCCACATTATCTCTCTTTCCTGCACATGTCAATCAGCCCGGGAACTTTTTCAAAGCATATCTTAATCATGAACAATAATAACATGATCAGTTTATACCACCAACGAAAAAGGCAGCTTACACAAATGGAATCACTGCAAGGGAACTTCAGAATCAGCTTCTTTACAGTTAGCAGTTGCCGCTTTTGGAACTGTTTTCTCTAACATTGATGTCCCCTTGAACGTTATCATTTGAGAAAAGGTTTTTTTGTGATTCAAAAGCTGAAAAATACATGGAAACTTAGAACGGTGGCTGAAAAAAATATTGAGGTAGAGGAAATTGCAAAAAGCATTCTTCCATTCACTTACCCTATCCTGCGGGATGTTCTGAAAGCCAAACTTCTGTTGCCAAATTGACTTTGCATCATCAGTTGCTGGGAGAACAATGTTTTTAACTTTCAAATGTGCAAGAAACTTCTCAAGCCGGTAGTAAAGGGTTTGGAAGTATCCCTGGAAAGACATTTCAATTCTATCAAACGACAATACCAAAAGATTCAGTCCCACAAAAGCAAAAGATTCTCTACAACTAGCACTATTCCACCCTCTATGAAAGGAGTACTGAAGTGTGATGAGTGTGAAGCGCGCTTTTTTTTTTTTGTTGGGGGAGGAGGGGGGTGTCGTGATTGCCATGATTTCTTAATCCACAGAGGTAACAAATCAATACATCACAGGTATGCAAAAAGGTAATATCCTTAATGAGTCAGATAACACACCTTGCCTTGATTGTCATTGTGAGTTGCAACCAATGGGAGTTCTGCAATTTCTTGTCCAAAAATCCTAATGATCCCAGCTGATACAACTGCCGAGCTGCAATAGAGACAACAATTTTTATTTTTTATTCACAAATATATTATCATAAAAGAAAGTGGAAGAAAATGATTATTACTTCACTGTCAATATGACACAGTACATTCCGCTAAAGTCTTGACCCTTTATATTCCTCCTGCCAAAGGAAAGACGAGGGATATTATAAAATAAGACAGTTAAACACAATCTAGGAAAGAAGGAAGACCAAGTCTTTAAATATGATGATATGCATACCCATAAACCAGAGATGGAACAAAATCTCGCTGAGTCTGCGGATCAACAATTGGCGCAAAAGAACTCTGGGACACCATTTAATTAATGACGCAATTATCACACTTGAAGAATTGAAAATATATTAGTGCACTGGGAAAAAAAAAGAAAAAGAAAAAGAAAAATCAACAATAAAACCAAAGAGATTAACTTAGGAGGATCGAGGATAGAAATCCAATTCTCTATCAGAGCAAACATGAAGCAACTTAAATATGTTTCGTTATGATTGTGATTTTTGAAGACCATAAAAGGATGAAGGGAGGGGGGGTGGTTAGATGCATGGAAGCATGGAAAGACTAGGGAATGCAACAACCCTTACATGAAATATAGCCACAGCCTGGGACAGCAACACTCTTGTTTCCCGGGAAGTAACTTTTCCATTCAAAACTCTCCATCCCACATCAATATCTGCATCCCCAGCTGAAGAATTTTTTGTTTGCTTCTCTTTTATAATGTCCAGAGAAGAATCTGAGAGCTTTTCTTCACCAGTATCCAACAAATCCTGAAGTTCAGTATAGATCCACTTGCAAGATTCAGAGCAAAACCATTTGCCTTTTGGAAGTTCCTGTAGCAGAGGTACACAAGAAATTCAGATAATGCAAGAATATTGACTGAAGTTATATGTAAGAAGTGACTTCACTTTCAACTAAATGTCCATCCATACCTTTAAATCAGCTATCTTGCATTTTTTCAAACAGCCAACGTGATATTCCTTTTCACACTGAGATGTATGAAATCAAGTTCAGTGTATTGTGGTGTTTCAGGTACAATAGATCACTATTAAATAAAAACAAAAAAGAATACTGACTACCTGATCACACAATATTACAGTGCGAGGACCAAAGCCAGATTTACTAAAATCTTTGCCTCTGCAAATAAAACAGCATTTATATGTTAAACACAATATTAGCTGCATAGTAGGTCTTGGCATCCCTGGCAATGTCACTGTACAATATCAACCAACACATCAATCATAGTTTGTACAGGTGCCCCCACCTGCAAATCACACATGCTATTACTTCTTCTTCTTCAGGTTTTTTGACAATGCGAATGCAACGATTAGTTATTTGTTGGATTGGATCAATACCAGCCACTCTTCCAGCTGCAACGGCATTGGCATTCCACTCAACAAACCTTTCCCTCTGGAACATATTCTGACAATACATGCAATACCATTTTCCACAAGGAATGCTTGAAAGAGATGCACATTCTGCATGGTGGTACAGTAAAGTTGCAAGATGAACACCATCTCATGACAAATAAAACATAATGTAGGCTCCAAGATGCAAAGAAATTGGTCAAAGATAAATTGTTTCAAAAACTTCTGAAAACAGGATACTTCATTCCTGCATCCGCACTTATACACATTTTCTAATTAAACACACATAAAAACAAGTTAAGTCAAAAAGTGTAACCAACTATGCTGCACAAAAAATCATCAAAAGATTTCAGGGAAACATCCAATATTAGACCATGATATATATATATATATATATATTAAGCGATTAATGTTCTTTCACAACACCATACAGCTACTAAATATTTTTCAGATCTGTTTTCATTATTTGATTCTCTAGCCCAGACATACAGATATTTTTAACTTCTAAAGCTAATCTAAGATATGGACAGAGACTACACACAGAAATCCTTTTTTTATAACATCTGACTTTATTTGAGAATTGAAATTTTCCAAAAACCAGATAACAGGGCCTCCATCAAAATAAAAATCAAATAAATAAACAAATAAGAGATTGGATTTGGTCCTAGAGGAAAGAGATCAAAGCAGTAAAAGAACTGCTGGATCACTGGAAATAACAGGTCAATATATTATACTATTGTAATCCAACAAGCAAGAAAGGATAGGGAATTTTAACAAGAAGGTATAATTTCAGGGGCAAAAATTAAGGAAACCAATAGAGCATAGTGAATACTTTCTGAACTTAACAACCTTGGTGAAAAGCCCTTGGACAGCCATCACAAAGCACAAGTTTCCCACCATCTGCACAGATGATGCACAAGTCATCATTCTCTTTCAAGGGACATTTGCGCTCTTTTAACAGCGAGACAGCAAATTCATGGAGGGATACTCCATTAGATGTGTAGATATACATATAGCTGCAGCGAAAGGAGACTGGATGAGAACATAATGCAAGCAAAAAATGTGTATGCTAGACATTAAGAAGATCAAGACTAACGGTTTTCTTCGAGATGCCCATCCCGCATGAGATTCAAATACAGATGGACTAACCTGCCAAAAGTACAAAACATGAATCAAATATATTTGCAAAAAAAAAAAGGTGTACTCACAAAATAAAATGCTATTACCAATGAGCTACAGCAGCCACAAATTATTCCAGATCCCTTTTTGTACCCCTCACACAATTTCTGCAGAGAAGAAAGAAAAACGATGAGTTTATAGAGGAGAAATAGGGAAAAATACATATATATATATACATATATATACTCCATAGGAACTGAAATGCAAACCTTGCCATTAGAATAATAAGCAACTTCTGTTCCGTCTGGCAATCCTCCATTCTCAAACACCAACTTATGCATCCTTTGATCTCTAAGTATAATGGCAATAAAAAACATGCTAAAAATACCATGAAGAAAACAATAAGATAAAGAACCAGAAGAGAAACAATAAGATGTTTGTACCAACTTTTTAGTTATCTTCCATGAATTCTTGGACTGGGAGGAGACTGGTGCAGTTATATGTGTTGTGGATAGAGATGAAGCATTTGACAATCTGAGAACCCATGATAGAATAATTACTCAGACAAATGTATGTGTATGTCAATGTGCATATGAAGTATGTATTTTCAAGATGCATGGGAGGTTAGGGATAAGCACTAACTCCTTTAAGATTGTACTTGTAGTCTTGTTTTTCTGTGAGTCATGGATGGAAGTACTAGCATTTGAGGTTGGACCAGAAGATGACTTAGAATAGCTCATTGAAGTACTTATGGGAGACATTATGGCTGATTCTGGCAATCTTAATATCCCAACAACAAATACAACAAAGAAGGAAAAGGTTGAGGTGAGTGTATCTACTTAGTTGAAGGCAAGTAGAAAGTATAGTCTCATACTAAGAAAGCACAAAAACCAACATTTTTGATATCTTCGATTGACCCTTCTTTCTACCACGCAAGGATTTTCCAGTAGATTCTGTGCAAGCTTTCGATTGTGAATGCCTGGAATGTGAAACAAAATGGCAAACTCTAAGATTTCTTCCCCGTTGGGGGATCAAAGGGACGTATAGTCTAGGAACTAGAGGGAAAAAATGCAGCAAAATACAGACTTCCTTTTTATCCTCCCACGACGTCCTCTTTGGTGGTGACTCTCATACAGTTCATCACTTTCAGGCATTCCTAAGGCAACAAGTGACTCCGAAGCCCTGAGAAGAGTCAGAAGAAAGATAGTATAAATAAAAGGTAATGATTCAACACATTAATAAATACATATGTATTATCTGTAATAAACCTAACTTGATTAAAATTGACAAAACATAAATAAATATAGATTTACAGCAGGAAGCTGAAAAAATTTAAATATACACACAATAAGTCATAAAGATGCAATACCTTGAATCTACACATTCACCATCAAACTTTGGATTTAGGGCAACAGTACAAGAATCACATAGTTCCACTCTCTCGGTAGATGTTGGCAGAAATAGCCCTAGATAAAAAGGTGCATCAAGCTACCTCAGATATGATTTGACAAGTATACAAGAAATTACAAAAGATAATAACATGTTCAAACACACATGGGTTGTGTATGTAAAACATGTTATCGGTAATGCAATAAATAAACTATATCAGACTTACAAAATTAATTGGTCACCTTTGCAATTTTGACAGATAACAGTTCCCTTCACAGGCAGAGGGCCGATGAAGTTCTGAATTGTTTCTTCTAATGTTCTCAGAGAAGATTTCCGGCATTCTTTGATCACATCCAAAAGGCTTTTCCCATTTTCTAAGCATATGTACTGTGATGTACGTCTATTTGATTTGCAGGCATGAATTTCAAACTGACAAGGAGGAACTACCTATTCAAATTGACAATGTCACTCATCACATAACTAAGAAACACATTCAAAAGGCAAATTCAGTTAAGTCAGATATATGAGAAAAGGTCAAGTTTGAGTACAAACCTGAGCTCCCTTGCATGAACTGCAATAACACAAGATTCCATCATCTTTTATGGTGCCACGTAACGGGAATTCCTAGTAGAATGTCATTATAGATAAAAATAACTTGCTTGAAGATAACTTTTCAATAGGTAATGGTGAGTTGTATATATTCGCATTCAGAAAATTGATGGAACCACCCAAATCTTTAACCTACCGAAGCTCCATGCAGATTTGATAATATTTCAGTTAAACCATATTCCAGGATATTAGATTTATTAACTTTGTTAGTCTCTTCAATTTTACACACCATGTCTTATGCTGGAACATGCTCACTACTAACTACCATGATTATTTTTTTCGTGGCATTCAAACGCTCATTATGAAGAGTTGTTATTTGTAATTTGTTTCTATAGAAATACATAAAAAACAGTTTGTACAATATAAAAGCTGGAGCTTGGAATTAATGAAAGAATCAAACTAACTGCTTGGAATGAAAATCAAGGGCCATTAATTTGGTTAGAAGAATGGGATAAAACGATAGCACTCCTCCATTTTCCTATTTTCCCTTTAATCCTTAAGGCACAGGACATAGTCAATATACACTTTTTTAGCAATGATAAAAAGGTTGAATGTTCCAAGCAGCACACAATTGGTACAATCATTCAAGTAGAAGTCATGTAAATAGTCCTGGATAACTTAGACACAGAGTGTTCAAGTTCAGCTTACATTTACTGTATTGACAATATATAATAGAGAATTGTAAAAGAGTGCAGTAACAACAATGGAAAGTATAGTAGATAATAAGAGAGCAAATCAACAACAGGATATAAAACTAGAAATATAAAATATTGACGTGGTACTAGTAGCAGTAGCAGACTAGCAGCAATGACCAAAAAAATGAAAAGAGAATGCCATCAAAGAAATAAAATGTTAAAGCATTATTAGTACTAATAAAACAAATTAGACCAAGGAAGATTATTTCACCTTCTTGCCACCATTGTAGAAAACTGGATACCCTTCCAGTAACCCTGTCTCGAAAAGTTCTCTAACAGTTGTTGGTCGGCCTTTTATCAGAATTTTCTTGGACATCTTCATTTCCATTTTCCTTGTCTCTGGATTACCCAATGCCAAGTTTTCATTCGTGAATGCATCAGCCTCTAAAATCACCGTGTCCCTCAAATTCTCCAAATCATCGCCCCTCGACTTAAGCATCGCGCGTGTAAACCTCCTGGGTACAGCACTTCTCGTGGCCACAAATGGCTCCTCCTTTATCTCAATGTCCATCATTACTCCCTCGCCCTCTGCTCCACTAAACCCTACATCGCCTAAACCACTGTCAATGCCACCTACATTCGAACAAGCAGCATCCGCAGTTTTAACCGTAGACCTCAAGTCACCCTGGAGTTTATCCGAACACCCGATTCTACCCGCGGCTTTAGTCTTCAATCTCTTATTCCTAGTATAAACGCAGTAACCATTCATCTCACTCGTCCTAGACCTAGGCAAATAGCAGCCATCCACCAAACCATTCAAATCCGGCCGGGCGGTGCCACCAGATCCGGATTCGAACCCCTTCGACTGACTCGCACACCCGGATTCCGATTTAGCCTTCACCATCGCTTCTTTGCCTTTCGTTCCGGCGCGATGACTAAAGTGACGGAATTCCGGCTCTGGATCTGTGCAATAAAATGAAACTTAGATGCATGACAGCAAATTTCCACAGGATTTTTACTAATAATAAGGCGAGACGAAGGAAGCAAAATGAGATGGAAACCCTACGGAGAAAGAATGGGGAAATTGGAGAAATTAGATTGAGAGAATCTTTTGGCATGAAAATTAAACATAAATAATTAATTGTATGTAGGTGGGAGGATGAACCGATGAATAACTAATATTGTATTTTAAAAAATAATGTTTAAATTGTTTAATTAGCTTATGGGTGAATTAAAATATTATTTTTAAGATATTTTTTTACTAAATTTTCTTAAAATTTTACTATTGCGTTTCTCAAAATTATATTATCTCAAATAAATATCTTTTATTATTTAATATTTTTATTAAATAAGTAATAAATTTTACAATATAAATAAAATAATATTTCAACTAATATTTTTAATTATGCATGGACTATTCAATTCAATAGTATTTAAGATCTTTTACATCTGTTCGTTTCTTTTTATCTAATAATTTTAAAGGTTAAAAAATTATTATAGAAAATAGAATATAAATAATTAAACTTTAATTTTAAACTATATTTAAAAATCAATACAAGCTGTTATATATTTGTCAATTTTTTCTTCAGTTCAGTCAATTTTGTTTGGATTGTTCAGATTAGTTTAGTTCAATTTGATCTAAAATCAAATTTATAAATTTAAATTTATTATAATTTTTATCTTATAATTTCGGTTAACCAAAAAAAAAAAAAAAACTTTAAAAAAATAAATAATTATAATACTCTCTTTGATTTCAGACAAATGTATTTCTTTGTGTTTATGATTGTTTAAAAAGTAAAAGGATTTTGATATTAATACTTTTATTATAATATAAAATTAATATGTTTGAATGGACATACCGAAATAATAAGTTTTTTATTTTTTTATATTTGAATATTAATTATTATATCAAAACGTAATACAAATTTAAAAAAAATTACAAAATATTTTCATTAGTGTCTTGTAATGCTGATAGAATAACTTTTGTAAAAATAAAAAATAAAAAAAATTATACAAATATAAAAATATTTTTAATGTTAATATAACGATACAAAAAATAAATATGGCATTTAGAGCTAGACATAAAGAGTAAAAACGTTCGAGTGAATGGGTGAAATATTATTTGAACTAAAAAAATTCATCGTCCACCAAAATTATGTATATTTTTTTTAGTTATTTATAAAATTTATGAACATTATATTTATAGTAAAATTTATTCAACTATAATTTTACTATTCTTTTTAACAAATAATAACAAATTTGTAATTATTGTTTTATTTAGCCCACAAAATATTATCAATTCATTAATAAATTTTTTATAATATTTCTATATTATTATTATTATTATTAATATTTTTATTTATCTCACTCCCTATTGTAATATTATTTCTTCATTTTTTGTCCAACTAAAATTAATAATTTTTTAAGAACTATTTAGGGTGTGTTCTATTTGTCAAAATAATTTTTAAAAAAATATTTTTTATATAAAAAATTGAGTAAGTATATAAAAATAATAAATAGATATAAGATATTAATATTTTTAAAATTAAAAATAACAAACCCTTGCCTTTGTCATCTCACCATTAATAAATTAGTAAGAAATTGTAAAATAAAAAATTATAGCACAATTGAAAAAGGTAAGAATAACTTTTAAAAAATACTAATACAATGAAAATTTTAAAGTAACATTTTTTGAAAATTTCTTTTTATTTTCAAATATGTGAATAAATATCAATATTAATATTATACATATAATAATAAAAAATGGAAGTACGATTTAATGAAACGTTAAAAATATGGAATAGAATAGGAGTGCGGTTGTTAAAATGGGAAAGAGAATTATTAACACAATGAATAATAGTTATTTTATTGTATTGTAAAAATATGCTTTGTAAATAGAAATATAGTATTTTATGTTATATAAATAATATAATATATATATATATATTTGTAAGTATATATCTGTATGTCGTTTGTGTTTGTAAATGGACAATTGAACCTACAGATATTATTATAAATATTTTTTTAGAAAAAAGTTAATAAAATATACTCCCTCCCTCCCGGATACTATGTCTATGTTGTCGTTTATGTCCTTCACATACATACTATGTCACTTTTCTTTTTTTTAAAAATAATTATAAACTTTAATTTTATTTTAAGTTTTTAATTTTTTATTAATTTTAATTAATCTAATTAATTATCTTAATTTTAATTTATAATTATTTATATAATAGAATAATTATTTTTATTAATACATTTTTAATTATAAGTATAGCAAACACTGTAGAAGAGGCGGAGGGACTACTATATTTCATCGTCATCAAATTGTAATATTTTATTTTAAACTAGATCTCAACCATCAAGCAAGCACACTGCACACCTGAGTTGCGTGAGAAAGCGATGAGCCAAGGAGGCAGCCAATGAAGACGCAACCAAAGGGGACCGAAATAAATAAAATGATTATTATTTCTCATTATCATTATTATTATTACAGCCAAAACCTCTTCTTTTTCCTTTTTTTTCTTTTGATTTCCTCAAATGGAATGATCATACAATCATCACAAACTCACGCCACGGGTGACAAATTATTACACCATACCTAATAAGCAGACGATATAAAATCATCAGCAACGCCTCGAGCTGATTAATTCCATGGAGATAGAATTCGATTCGATACCAATACCAAACGAAGCTCCCACGGGATCATCACGAAACTGACTCCAGAAAAATGCCAAAGGATAGAAGTTGCCCTTGAAACCACAAACCTCCGCCGCCGGCCACGCAAGCTTAACGTCCTACGGCGGCGGCCTTGCAGCGAGGCCTTTCCAGCGTCGCCGCCTCGGCTATTGCAGTGCCGGCCATGGCTCTGGTCTGCCGACCAAGATGGAGGAGAGGGTTTCCCAGGGTTGGATGAATTTATTAGAGATCCTTATCATTATATACAAGACAAGAGAAGAGAAAGAAGGAACAATTTGAAAGTCGTGGGGGCAATAAACGATTGAGGTGACTAAGTGTAGGAATTTGGTGGTCACCTTTACATTAAAGGAGAGGCAAAAAGGAAGCACCACCGGGGTCAAATGGAGCATCTTCCATCGGATATGCCATTGGCATCTTCCCTCCTCCACATCCCACAGACAGGCTTGTTTATATATCTTTTTCTTTTTCTCGTCATCTATCTTTTCCATTTTTTCAACATTTCTGGCTCCTAGGATCAATCTATCTGCCTTTTTCATCACCAGTCTTTTCATCTTTTCATATATATAAATAGTCGTCATCATGCTACTTATGCTTACACATGTCTGTTTCAGTCGGAAAAGTTGCAAAACTTGAAAGTTCATTCAACTTATTAGTCCAACAACATATATCCATACAAGAAGAATTTCCATCTCTGATTGATTAGCCATTATCAATAGGCTGCACTTATTTAGATATTTAACAGTAGAGTAGAACAAGAACATGTTATGGCAGAAATGGAGCAACATGTGTGTAGTGAATACAATATTCTGCTGAGGCTATGTTAAATTCTTACAGTGCACGATCTAGATTTCAGGAGAACCACTTCCTCCCTTGCCTGGTTGCTTTAAGCTTCATTACGAGATCCTCGCGTTGGGCCTCCACTTCCGCATATTTGAGGCTCATTTCGAGGTATCGCTCCCTTAACTCTCTTAGCTCTGCATGGAGTGATGACTTTGTTCTTTCGTACCTTTCTCTCGCCCCAGTTTCACCACTCACAGTTGATTTTTTGGAGGCAGCAGCATAGTTTTCATGATTACTGTAGAAAGATATTGATGTTGTCATGAGCTAGCTAGTCAATTTTCAATCATATAGGAAGAATGGATGGTGCATGTGTTTTTCGATATACTCATAATCTCACCGGTCATACTGAACTCTGCTCCTGTTATTGTCATCCAATCCGTTGGAGATATCTTTCTCGTGCATATGTTGTTGCGTTGTGTGATCCTCAGTCATAGCATGAGAACTTCCATTGTAGAGATCATGGTAATTTGCATCCTGTAGAAGCCACGAGGAAATAGATTGACTTAGATACAAATGATTTGAAGATCCTAAAGAAAGGTGAAGAGAAAGCGTACCTCCATGACGAAATTATTTCTTTCCTGCATAACTTTTAGATCCTCTTCAAGACTTTGGGCTTTCTTCAAGTTTTCATCCCTTTCCTCTTCGAGTATGTACATCTTCTGCTGAAAATGCATGTTTGCTCTCTTCATTTCAGCTATTTCATTTTTAAGACCATCGTTCTGGATGCAAAACATCTCTCTGGAATTCAGCTCCTTCTCCATTTGCTGAAGTTTTGCTTCTAGAGCTAGTTTATTCCTCTTGCATTCCTCAAACTCAGACATTGTTTTCTGAAAAACAGAGACTTTCTCAGATAGCGAACTATTTTCAGCCTTCAGTTCTTCATAATCTCTTGAAATTTCCTTCATTGCAAGCTCTACTTTTCCCTTATCATGTCTGCATTCTTTGAGCTCCTCTTTTAAGTTTGAGACTTTATTCTGAAGATCTGAAACACTCTGCAACTGAGCCTTCAAAATGCTCATTTCTTTTGTTAGTTGTTGGCGTTCATAGTCTGAAATGGTAAGCTTCAATTCAAGGTCATTCATACCCGTCTTCAGTTTTTCTTCACTCTTCTTGTAATTCGCCAATGACTTCAGAATTCTGTCTTGGTCAGCCGCTAGTCTCTCATAATGTTGCTGAGATATGGTTAGCTGATCTGTCAAATCTTTGAGTTGCAACTCAGATTCTTGCTGAGCTTCATTGAGTTTATTCTCGGCTGTTTCAGCTCTGATATGAACTTCCTGAATCGAAGCATGCAACTCAGCATTTTCAGCTAGCAAACTGGAAACCTCACTAGATGCTTCAGAGGAAACTCGTTCCTTTTCACAATGTGCATCTGAAACTTGCTTTCTGAGATGTTCAATCTCATTCTGGAGGCTCTCAAATTCTGCTGACTGCTCCAAAAACATCTCGCGCAGGCTTCCCTCCTGCGCAAGTTTCTCCTTCTGGTAACTGTTTTCTTTAACAAGAGCGTCTATTTCTGACTTGAGACTGTTTTCTCTCATTGAGAAATCATCCAACAGCGTGGTGAGATGGTTCTCCAATGATTCGTTTTTCAGAGTGCAACCAGACAAACTTTTCTTCAACTCACTCACTTGAGCTGCCAATGCCGAGCAACCACCTTCTAGTTCTTGATTTACTGTCTTAAGTTCTGAATTCAAATTCTGAAGCTTCTTAATCTCCTCTTCAAAACTTGTTGCAGATGCCTGTAGCAACTTATTCTCTTCTTTCAGATATTCACACTCTTCTTGAGCTCCTAACCATTTTTCCTTCATATCTTCTGACATTTTTTTCAATTCCACTATTTGAGTGTCCATTTCAGCCTTCAGTTTCTTGACCTCATCCTGGAGACTCACTGCTGCACTTTTGAACTTATCTGCTTCCTGCTGGCACGTTTCCTTTTCCTCTTTCAGTCCCAATATGGATTCCTCCAGTTTCACGTTTTCTTCTTGCAACCTTGATAAAGCATGCTCCAATTCATGCCTCGTTCTTCCAAGCTCTTCTATGTTCTTCTCAAGGTCACTGTTAGCAGAAACGTGGAAACTAACAGTGCTACGAAGGGATGCGATATCATTTTGAAGATTCTCAACCTGTTCAAAGAATGTGTTCCTCTCCGTCCTCACAAGTTCCATATTCTGCTCAATATGCTTCTTATTATGTTGGATTTCAGTGATTTCTGCTTCCAACTCCGTACGTTGCTGTAAAAGGACGTCCATCTCTTGTTCATTTGATTCTAGCTTAGCCTCCATGACATGAAATTCTGATATTTTTTGATCCAATTCCTTCATTAGATTTGTTCTGTCCTCTTTACTCTGGATCATTAGTTCTTCGAGTTCTTGAGTTTTCGACACTGTTTCTTTGATCTTTGTTTCAGCGTCAGCTATAATATTGCTTTTCTCTTTCAGTTCCATCTCTTGATTCCTGTGAATTTCCTCAGACTCAGTGATCCTCATTCCCAAGAGCTTGTTCAGCTCTTGCAAAGAGGTAAGAATATATTCATATGACATTCTAGTGTCAGCCTTTCCCTCACTTACATTCACAACAGTGTTGCCATTCTCATAGGGGACATGGAGCCAGCTCTTCCTTAGATGTTGAAAAGCCATGTCGATTTGCTTCACTACTTCTGGCAAATGTTCTGAATTTTTAAAGCAAGTTTTGTTCTCAAACTCCTCTTCCTTGGGGTCACTTACTTCAGACCCATCGCTAGGAGAAATATTTGGATGCTCACTCAACATTGAATCGAAAGATGCACACTTTATGATGTCATTTCCATTCAACTCCTTGAGCTTATATAAAAGCTCAAGGTTTTCATCAGTCAGCTCTGCGCAATCTCTCTCTAGCTCCTGAATTTTTTCTCTCAAGGATTCTATCTCCTTCATGAACTCCGCATAATCTTCATTCAACTCCTTAAGATTTTTGCCTTCTACATAACCTGGTACCATTGCTTTTAAGCTAGCAATTTCTTCGTCTTTTATAGAAATTTTGCTTTTATAATCCTCCTCAGCACTATACAGCATCTCTCTCTTTGAACACCGTTCATTCTCCAGTTCATTGATTTTATCTTTTAAAGCCTTAGAAAGCAACTCAACATCAGCTTGCAATTTCTTTTCAGATTCTTGAACTTGCTGCAGCTGCAGCAATGAAGTCTGGTTTTCCTCTGACTTTTCAGCTATAGAATTCTCTAAAGCCGCAAAGTCCAACTTCCGAGATGAAAGATTCTGTATTTCAATTTTCTGTTGCTCTATGGTCTCTTCAAGCTCTTGAAGAACCGAAACTAGGGCAATATTTGATTCCTGGCTCTGCTTCAGCTGTTGGTCTAAACCATCAGTCAGTACTTGGTGATGCTTTATCTCATCCTCCAGTTCCTTCTGGATACGTATCCAACTTTCGGATTGAATGAAAGCATCTTCTCTAGTTGCCTGATTGGTGCTCGATTTTTGCAACTCTAGCTTCATCTTCTCAATTTCTTTCTTCATGCCATCTTGCTCTGCGTGCGCAGCTGAGAGCTGCATCATTAATTCTGCCTGTCCTTTTGACAGATCAGAGTATTCTTTCTTTGACATGTCCAGATCAATCATCAGCTTCCTAGCGTTCCTCTCCCACATTTTGGCTTCCGCTCTGAGTTCCTCAATGGTGTCTTCTGCAACTTCCAGAAGGCTTCTCGAAGAACCCATGTTGCTCACCAACGATCTGCTAACAACAGATGCTTCGTTTCGAAAGTCCTCCCCTGAATACTGCCTGGAGTTTAATGATGGCTGCTTTGATGGAGAACGATTGCTACCTGAAAAGTCATCAGGTAAGGGGCTACTATCATAGCCCCCTCCAGGCTGCGATGCATGGGAATCATACTCCTTGAAAAGATTCTTCGCTGACAGGTTTTTATTCTGCGAAGATCCATCCACAGAATCAAAACTCTGAAATGAACTGGATGCTGAGCCCTGCAGACAAATGAGGAGGTGATCACTATATGGTATCAATCAGTGCAATAATACCAATGAACCTATAGATTTTCCTAACACCTTGCTGTCTGATTTCACTGGATGGGAGGTAGTAGCCATGTCTTCCCTTGGTGATCTACTTGAACTATATGATCTATCTGATTTCCTGTCACCATCATACTGATCTATATTCATGCTGCTTACTTGAGAGTTTGATGACTTCGAATCATCATCCCTGAATAGTCCATAAAATGTTAGTCCAACAAAAAGAAATCTAGAAACTGAATATGGAAGTCATTCATTGAATACTAACCCCAATTTGGATCTGCGACTCAGGCATTGAACTTTAAACTGAAAGCCAATGAAACATGTACATTAGATTGTGCAACCCAACCCATTAATGTAAGGAAAGGAACTAAACAACTAACCTGCAAAATAGTCCCGTAGCTGCATTTCTTTAGAGGCTGTGAAACTGCAGTGGATACTCTTGAACTTGCATACTGTGCCATATTGATGGTTACTTCGCCGAGGGTGCTGGATCTTGTTGACCCCTGAAATTCAGGGCTCAGGATTTATACCCAGGAAAATGATAGGCTGATGTGAATGAATTCTCAGGTAAAATCTTAACCATACCGTGGAAACAACCACCCTGACAGGGCATTCTTCAAACCCTTTTGAAGAAAGATCATTTGATATGTAGATAGATTCTAATATAGTCTCAGCCCAGTGGCAACTCCCATTTTTCACAAGGGCTTTGCCAGATTTGGCAAGTGTTTTGCCTGTATCTACTGAGATTAGCGACACAAATAGTCTGTCCCATCCCTTTGGTACCTGTTTATCAGAAAGAGTTGCCAAGAACGATCAGAAATTTCTTGATCATGGGAGGAAATTAATGCATGAACTAACAAGAACATGAATATGTAAATTTAGAGTGTCAGAATTCATTTACATCACCAATACCACCAACTACCCTTCACGAGTCATATGCATATCATTTAATTTGACAGTTTCCCTGAAACCACAACCTTAATTTTTATGTTTTTTTAATTGTTGCATGCTCGAGGGAACATAGGTCATAGAGAGAGTTTCAACCCAATGCAATCAGATTTCTTCCAAGAATGAGATCTCAGATTGTCCGTTAATGAAGTGATGAAGAAAGATCCAAAAATAAATTCAAGAAAATGCAAGAACATGCTGATACCTGAAGGGCCTGGAAATTGGAGAATTTGAAATCAACCCTCTCTCTTGTTTTAGATGGCCTGTTATCTAGCCTCGGCATTCGCAACATTCTGCTTTCTCTGATCAGTTCTTGAGTCTACAGTTCTGTGCAATAGGCAGCAGCAAGGGGATAAAGATAGCTTCTAAGCAATCTTTATTATCACTCCTTGCATTGTTTAAAATGACAAAAACAAAGCAGCAGAGAGAGAGAGAGAGAGAGAGGAGCGGGAGAGAGGAGTTATATGTTTGATAGGTTGAATGTCATTGTTCCCAACTTCCCAGGTGTCTTTCTTATCAAATCAACAGTGGTCTCTCATTTTGGCCCTTTCTTGTGATGATGACATATGACCATAGGCTATCAGCATTGTTCCTCTTTTGTTTAGCTGCCGTTTAAACCATACATCATTTATAGTTCAACAGCTAACATTCACACAATCATATTACAAAAAGATTTCCCCCTTTTGTTGTGCTTTTGTCCTGTTTTCTTGGCCACTTCCTATGCCTTTTTAAAGTGCCCTTAAACATATATAGAGCTCTCTTAAATCGGTTAAATCCAACAAGATTAATTCATATTCAGCATCTGCTTTCTGGTGCCTCTTTGCTTTGATTCAGTAATAATAATAGTTGATGATTGAAGGAATTCTGTTTACATTATCGAAAACATTTATGGGAGACGTGTTATGCTTAGGAAGAAAGCATACTCTGCACGGGTGGGTGACGGATTTCATTTTCATCAAGATTTGTCTTTTAAATTCATATTCTTGGTTTCAAAGTCAAACCAAGAATTGGGATCTGGATCTTGATCTTGATCTTGACACGTTCTTTTTCATCGAAGCTTTCATATAATCTTGTTGAATATCCACTATCACATGACCCAATACATCAACAAGTACGATTGCTTCTTAACAAACGCCTTAATGCTGGAGCAAGGGAAATTGGTAATAATTAATAAATATACCCTGATTCAAACTATAGTTTGTTGTCTGAATATATGGAGAACCAAACAAGAAGATATTTCTTGTTCTTTCTTAGGCACCAAAGCTTCTTCACATTGGAAATTTCGTTCTCTGTTAACTTCACATAGACGGCAGGAATTTTGAAGACTGGATACTTTTTTTTTATGCTAATGAAAGACAAACTTTGCCATGCTTTTCACTAGACTACACTCATAAAATAATCATTTATCATATTAACAATTCTGCTGACAACTGATGAACAATAGCTCTTTTCTTGGTATGATATAATTACAGCAAGGCATGGAATACAATTCCTGGATGTCAGTTTGGTGATCCACACAAATAAAGAATCGATCTTTAAATCATGAACTGGAGCTAGACAAATGCTTATAAGTGCTCTATTGTGATATGCAGTTACCAGAAAATTGGCGAAGTGTTTCCTCGTCACGCAAGGACAGATGCAGTCTCCCTTTGGGTCAGTTTCATGTATAAGCCCTGCAAGAAAACAGTCAATATTGTTATCTGGAAGATCAATCAGCGAATTCATTTCCTATGTGTTTAGTATTAGATTCAAGAAAACAATGTTACATTTGTTGTGTGAATGGTAGCTCCGGTGGTCATGCTGATAGTCTGGTCTGGAACTAACTCGAAGCTCAGTTGCTGAAGAAGTACGGCAAGAGCCACGATAGCTTCAAGCAGAGCGAATTGATCGCCAACACATTTGCGCGGCCCTCCACTGAATGGAATGAATCTGCAACATTTCCGATATGAATTCAGACATGTACAGTTGATTATGTAGTTATGACATTAGTAATATTTTCTGTGTAAACAAGTAAAGTTCATGTAGCTACTTGAAATCAGTATTTGATTCGTTAGGAACAGGGCCATCCAAGTCGAATCTCTGCGGCAAGAAGTCATCCGCTTTTTCCCATACCTTCAAAAACACAATTAACATGTTTCACAGACAAAGAGATGAAATGATCATAGCCAATAAGTATGCTTAGCTGCATAGATTTTCTTTTCCATTTGAAACCTGAGGTAGTGATATCGAACTTAGGCAGGGGTATTAGGGTATACGGTACCTGTGGAGAGTGGTGAATGTTGTACACCGATATCATAATATCTTGTCCGGCATTGACCTTGTAGTTCCCGGGAAGTACATCATCAACAATAGCTCTTCTCAACAGGACCTAATGAGATTCATCAATTAAATGATAACTGGATCGATGCTAGATGTACTCTCGTCTGATGAGTTGCTAAGACTTACAGGTGGATGAGGATACAGGCGCATCGACTCAATTATGCAACGCGTCAAGAATTTGAGATTCTTTATGTCTTCATATGTAGGAAGCCTACCCTGCAAGACTCTATCGACCTCTTCTTGCGCTTGCCTCAAAGAGGACGGGTCCTAGATTGTCATACATTTGGAAAAAAAAAACCATTCATGAATAACTAAGAACCATAACCATGAGTATGGAAGTACGCGAGAAATCATCAAAAGCCTGAAACACTTTCTCCATTTTACTACACCTTACTAAGCAGATAAGCTGTCCAAGTTAACACCGAGCCGGTGGTTTCATGACCGGCAACCAGCATTGACAAAAGATCGTCTCTAAGCTGTGCGCTAGATACCTAAACCAAGTACACATGTCCATGGTTAGCATCGAATGCACATTCCATATAATCAATGTATTGTGTGCTCGCTTCCATACCTCGTCTCTGCTAGCAAGCAAGAAGCGAAGAATGCTAGGGTCGGCGTCGTTCACATATTCCTCCTCATTAATCTTCTCCCCCTCAGATTCTACAATCTTCTTGCACTCTGATATGAGCTCTTCAACGGTTTCCCTTATTAAAGACACAGCCTTTTCGGCCTTAATTTGCCGCGGTATCACTTTACACAAGGCGTCAATCTGAATCAATCACAAAAACAGCATTAAACAACTCGACACATATCGAATAGCTAGCTAGGATGCAACGATGGAGGAATAACCAGCCTTCCAATATGGCAATAGATCAGTGGAACGCAACTCTGCCTCTTTCAATGCAGTATAAACTGCATCGATAACGGGACTATTCGCCGTAAGAGAATCGAAATTATAGTTGAATAATGCGAGGCCGATGACATCAAGTGTCAGCTGTGAAAACTTATCCTCCATGTTCACAGCAGCGCCATTGATTGCCTCTGGCTTCAGCTTCTCCACCAGCTGCTCAGCGCATTTGCAGAAGACTCGTTCGACTATTATCGAAAGGTACTTTTTATGAAGGGATGGAACCACAGCTCTACGCCTTACCTACAGCAGCATCAATTGAATCAGCATTGCTGGAAATGGCAGCAGCTCTGAAATCTGAATTGAGCATAGGTTTAGTTACCGTCCAAAGAGAACCTTCAGCAATGGCGAAACCAGAGCCGAAGAGGAATTCGGAAACCTCTGCAACAAGCCCTTTGGCGTATTTTGTGCCGTAGTTCTTCAAAACGTGCTTGGCTATGGCGGGATCGCTGACCACCACGAAATTGCGGGGCCCCGCCGCGAGACGGTAGACGGGGCCGTCTTCGATCATCCATTTGTAGAGCGGCAGAAACAGAGCTCCGCCGAGAAGGTCCGACACGTCGTCAAGCTTCGCGGTGGCGATGGGTATGTTGGACTCGTCCTTCCGCCTTAATAAAGTGAGGGATTTCGTGAGCGCGGTTAGCCACTCCGGGCTGACCCACGACGCCGGCCTGGTCGCCGGCGGTTTGTCGTTTGAGGAATTCTTGATGGAGAGTGCGCCGACGCGGCATTGGCGGGATTTCCGGGGGACTTGGCGGCGGCGATGGTGGGCAGCGGCGGCGGAGGGGGATAAAGAAGGAAGGGCGAATGAGGACGGCATGGTGGCGGGATGAACTCTGTAAGTCGGTTGGCTTCTATTTCCCGGCCGCCATTTTTGGGCAGCACTGGAGGTGGAGCCGTATTGTTTTCTGTGGATTAGCTCTGCTGCTATCCTCCCACACACTGTGTACGGACGCACTGAATCTTTGATGGAATGTAATTAAAGTCTACTTTGTTAGGTTTTTACAATTATTGTTTGATCACTGTAATAATTCTTTGACAATAATGATGAATGGCAATAAACGTAGTTTTGCTAAGTGGGCTAGTGATCCATAATTGGGCTGGATAGTATATTGGGCCGCAGTATACAAAATCTTAGGGGATTTCAATTTATTGCTGAGTCATGGACATGCTTATTTGAAAGTCACTATTATAATTGATAATGAATAAACGAGCAGTGAAATATGGAAGTTGACGCAAAGTCCAAAATCTGAAAGTCTTGAAGGGGAAAAGGAAAAGGAAAAGGTGGTTAGATTTAAACAGCCCACAAAGTCAAAAAGTGTGGTCCCAAGTCAAGACTGAATCCTTGAATTTAATGTAAATGTGAGCAGTACTAATTATAATCAATAAAAGTCCTCAAATTTGAAACCTTAGGTATCAACAATGGCAACTTGAAAATATTCTCGTCATACACAGAGGAAAATTATATAATCTATAAAGTAAATATTTTCGTACGTATTTGACCTGACCAGAGAGAAACGAAGTTAATTTCATTTGCAGATGCATAGCTCTTTGCTACGAAAATTACAAGAATTACCAACTCGATGACTATAACACACACACACACACATATATATATTTCCTTCAAACAAAAACAGCAATAGTTAATTAGTTAATTAATGCTCCTCCAATCCGATCCTGTACGTTCATCTGCACTATTTTATTGTTTCAGGTCAATGGACGTAGCAGATGCCTTCTTTGTATGCTAACCACCTCATCATTGACAAAAATAAAATAGTTTCTTCTGGTAGTTGATGTAATCTGCAAATGGATGGAATTACTACAATAGACAGATCTTCTTATATATATATATTATTGTTAGGCATGAACACGAAGTTGGCACGAAAATTTCTCATGAAGACTACCAAATTAATTAAGAAGATTATTTTGGAGATTTAGAGGTGGGGCCGGGGACCAATGCCAATATATTCCCAAGTTGTTAGAGGCTACTGGTTCTTACAATTTAACAAATTAAATCCTTTCTCGTCCAACCACTTGGAGCTTAATAAGTCACTAGCTGAAGTAAATTGTAAAAATTAGATATACATCTTGTATGCATTATCTTGTTGCATTTTTTAGGGGTGAGAGAGAGATTAATTGTCACCTGAATTTTAGTAATGAAGTTTAGGTTCCTTTGTCTGTTTATTTGGTTGCTCTAAACCGTTTGTGTGCTTAATGGACATGATAAATGGTCATTTGGGACAACAAATCACAACAATGATGATCTTTATAAAACTCATTATTAAAAAAAAAAAAAAAAAAGTCAAAGCACATGAAGTCTACTTGGCCGTTTTATTTTTAATGAATTTGTTTCTGGATGATTTGGTGGATGCATTACAGTAGTATTGATTAATTAAATAATTAACTAAAATTGAATCTAGCTGGTCAATTTCCTGGACTGAAGGAAGTTCTTATTTTTGGAGTCACAGGAGGTGATATACTTTAGGAAGGTAGCGAAATCGGTGTCTCTGTAACGCCTGGGGTTCGTGTCTGTGATGAGCGCCGCCGCCGGCCTGACGGTGCTGCTGAACGCCACGCTGTGCAGCGACGCCACCGACAGCCTATACTTGGTCGGATTCACAATCACTCTGTGCAGCACGCTCTTGTACCTCCCATTGCTGAATATCTGCAAAACCATCCAAGTAATCCATATTTAATAAATTAAAATGGATTTTTTAATTGATTATATATATATATATGTATGTATGTATACCTCGAGGTGGTCTCCGACATTGACGATGAAGGAGCCGGGAATTGGATTGACGGTGGCCCATTTGCGGCGGTGCTGAATCTGCAGACCTCTGACGTTGTCTTGGAGGAGGAGAGTGAGGAAGCCGTAGTCGGAATGGGGTGGCATTCCTAGGGTTAGGTCTGGTTGGGGACACGGGGGGTAGCAATTTACAATCATCATATGGCTTCCATTAATATCTGCCAAATCTTTCATTACCATTCTTTCTTCATCGTCATTAATGGTGAGCCCCAGGCTTTCCAGAATGGCCTCCACCAGCTCCAAGAACAGCCCTTTCGTTTCTTTGGCGTAATTCAGCGCCATTTGCCTGCAAAATTAATCAATTAATTGTAAGTGATTAATAATTGATTAATGAAGTTTAATCAATATGTAATTAGTTCTGCAAATTAATTAATTAACCTCAAGTGGAGAGGGGAAGAGGGCCAATGGGGAAGGACGTCGGGGAGAGGAGTGCAGACGAGCTTGAGGAAGTCTCTCCAACAGTAGATGCCATCGTTGGTCTGATTGAAGCTTGTCCCGTATCGGACAGGGCTGCTCGTGTCTCCCGACATGTACTTCTCCCTCTCTGCGATTGGCATTTCGAAGAACCGTTTGCACACATCCACCATCTCCGCTACAATCTCCTCCCCAATCCCATGGTTCACCAGCTGAATATAATTAATCAATTAATTAAACAATGCATGCATTTGTCATATATACATACATATATATATATATAGTACCTGGAAGAATCCATAGGTTTCGCAGGCGTGGGCGAGGGATTTGAGGGCGTCGGAGCGGTTCGGGCCTCGCAGTTGGGCAAAGTCAATTATTGGAAGATCAAGCTGGTTCAGGCCATCGTCGTCGTCGACGTTAGGACAGGGATTATTAATATTAATGTTTTTGCTGTTGCCTTCGTCGCCGGTGGTCATCGCCGGCATGTCGGGACGTTCTTCAGCAGGAAATACGTACTTGGCAGGAATGCGCTGAATCCCATTCTCGTACATGTTCTTCACTCCTTTCTCGTACAATCTACTCTCATTATTGTTGTTATTATTATCGAAGAAGACAGTAGCAGTACTGCTCGTCTCCCCCACAATCACCATTCCCGGAGACATGGATTGATAGAGATCACAACTAATTAATTAATTAGTTAATCGATCCCTCCTAGGGTTTGCTAAGCTAATTCTGTATGAATCAAGGAAGAAGGTGGAAGCCGAGGGCGGATTTATAGATGAATGAAATTCGTATGGGTCGGGTAACCGGGTCGGTCGGGTGCAGTTTGATTGTGAGGTGGGTGGGTTAGGATTAGGACATGCAAATATTCAATGCAATCCAAGTAAATTAAATCTGTCTAAGGTCAGCTGAATCTAAGTAGCAGTGCAATGCTGCTGCTGCGGGTTTCCATGCAAATGCAAACAAAGCGTTGACAATCTTGAAACACTACAAGCCAGTGCCAGTGCCAGTGCCATGACATGTCCTGTCCTATTCATTTTTTTTAGTTATTCAACTCATTACAATATTATTAATATTGATACAAATTAAATTTACAAAAGGATATATATTTGTTGTGGGTTTTAATTTAATTTAATTTATTTAATTAGTAATTGTCCAAGTCCACCCAAATGTAGTCCCCGAGGTTGATAGAGACGACCAAGACGACGACAATTAAATTGAATTAGTAGACATTTTCACATTCATGAATCAGGACAATTTATATTAATATTAATATTAATATTAATCTCTGGGTGAATATATATGTGTATGTGTATGTGTATGTACGTATGACATATGAGGCAGGGCAGGGTGAGGAATTGTTCCAACCCTCAAAACGACACCGTACGCACCCTGCAAATCTGATTAGTCAAGGACGAGACGCGTGTACAAACGCCTGCCCTATTGCATACGTGTCAACTCTCATTCCACCTCACTTTTGACTCACTGTACACTCAGTCAATACCCAATTGCATTAATCTCCCTAGCCAATTAATTAATTAATTTAATTAATACAATGCAGTAATAAATGAATAAACAAAATGGACTATCTAATAAATTACCTGAAATTTGAATTTGCAAAATAAAAAAACATAATTAAATTGCTGGGTTTATAGGTCAACAGTCACGTGGAATTTAGTATCCATGCATTAGAGCCGTTGACCTGACTAAATATAATTTTTTTATATACGGATTAGTTAGTCTTTTTTATTTTATTTTATTTTTGCCTTTTCAGTTTGGGTTTACTTTGCATATAAAACTACAATATAATGAGTAGTTGTGTATTAAGAAATTACCAAATTATTAAACTAATTCATTGGATCAAAAAGTCAGCGTGGCTCACATTGAATTTAAAAATCCACAAACCTAGTTGGACATGGAATTAAGTGGCATGCACTGTAAGACTTTACCTTCTTCGATTAAATTAATAACATTCCAACTCCCCAAAATAATACCTACACCATAGTTTATAATCTAAGTATAATATCAGAGATTTGGTATATAATTTTTTATATGGAGTAGTAAATTTGTCAGGTGCATTTTGAGCTTAAGATCACAATGACAATGTCTTAATTAATTATGTCTTTTTTTTTTTTTTTTGTATTTAATTATCACGATATTTGTTTATTATGGAGTTTTTCTTTAATTAGTTGAATTGAATCATATATTTGTCTGTTATCTGATATTGCTGGACTGTTAATCTGCATACCATTTTTTTTTTTTTTGGTTATGATGATGGTGTGGGGTTAGTGTTATAAGTCATCCTTTTTTTATATGTTGTAGGCTTTCTGTCGTCTCTTCTTCGTTCATTGCATGTTTAGTGTCCACCTCAGACCATGTTTATTTTAATGTATTTGCATATGTAACACTAACTAATTAATTTAATTGTGTTCGCACTTCATATCTAAATTTCAACCCTCATATTCAAATAATATATAGTGTACGGGTCATACCAAGTTAATACTATTGTGACAATGCAATACAATTTAGGTGTACATTAATAATAAATTATTATTATTCAATTACTGTGTAGTAAAATGGTTGTACATTAATTATATGACCTTTAATTATTTTCTCTGAATTTGTATCATAGCCCCAATATGATTGCTTTTATGTGACAATGTGCCCGCATTATTTGATCTTCGAAGATGGTTAAATCAGGGCCGTTCAATTTATATAACTCGTCCGTTCATCTGATCAGATCAAGTTCAAAGATGTATCTTAAATTTTCTTTCTGATCTATAATACAATTTGGGCAATTTTCATAGTAGTTAAGCCGATTGCAGGCATAGCCTATTTAGAAAGGATACAAAAATTCACAATTTATTTATCAAGAAATAGAAATCTAAATTCACTTTATTCTAAATGAGAGACTGAGTAATAGATGATCCAATATATATTTCATTGTTAAATTATTATACATAAAAAATTATTTCTCTGTGAACTGTATACAACACATGTTTTCCCCTAAGCCAAATGAAAGAACCAAAAAGATAACAAAAACACAGAAGCATAGGGTGGAAGGGACAAACAAAAACTAAGATGAGGAATTTGGCAGGAGGGGATCTGTGTGGTGGTGGTGATCATCATCATCATCATCCCTCTGGCTTTGCACTGATGAAAATGCCCAGTACAAAGCCCCTGACAAGATGAAGCTAAAGAACCATGTATTGTTGTAAATAATTGTGAATGCATTAGGGACACTGCCCAAAATCCCTACCTTGTGCAAGAACCCTGGAACCACAGGCAATACCCCTAACACCAAGGCCCCAATTGCTGCCAAATTGTATCCACCACAATAGTAGTAAGCCCCTCCAGGACTCCCTGTGTACAGATCATTCATGCTCAAATTAGTGTTCCGAACTAGATAATAATCCGACAAAACTATGCCTCCAATCGGCCCCATCAATGCCGAGTTCCCAACCAGCCAAGTGTACACGAAGCTTTCGCTGGACTGAAGAAGCCTCCATGGCTGGCATGCGATCCCAATCAATGCCGTCAACAGCGCCCCTCTTCGGAAAGTGAACTTCGAAGGGCTGAGGTTCACCAGGGCATTTGCCGGCGCCACCACATTGGCAGCAATGTTGGTGGTGATGACAGCCAGAGTTATCCCAAATATGGACAAGATTTTCGTCCAAACTCCACCAATTCTCCCCAGGAGCTGAACAGGGCTGGAAATCAGGGTCCCAAAAATGACTTTAGTCGAGGAAGTTACCACCAGGCCTGCCAATGTAAATGCACCCATGAACACTGGTAGCCCTGCTTGCCCAATGATCTGATCCTTCTGACTCTTGGCATAGCGGGTGAAATCAGGGATGTTGAGAGCAAGAGTGGCCCAGAAACTAATGTTTGCTGTCAACGAAGGGAAGAACAGAGCCCAGAATTCTGAGCTGGAGAGCCTGGAAGATAATGCGAACAAGTGGCCAAATCCACCTGCCCTAACATATGACCAAACCAGAAGACAACCTGTGAGGACCATCAGAAGTGGGGCAGCATATTTTTCAAGCTGCCTGATTCCATCCATTCCTTTCCACACAGCTCCCAGCTGAGCAAACCAGAATACAATGAAACAAGCAAATTCAAGAGGGGAAGTTCCCAGCCAGGCCACAGGCTTAGCAAGGCTTGATGCTTTAACAAATCCAGGCAGGAGGAGGAAAATAGCCTCGCCACCAATCCAGGTTTCAATCCCATACCAACCACAGCCAACCAATGCTCTGAGAAGCGTGGCAATGTGGGCGCCCCTGATTCCAAAGGAGGATCGAGCCAGGACAGGGAAAGAGATTCCGTACCGTGTGCCAGGATGCCCTGTCAGAACTAATGGCAGCAGCAGGATCAAATTGGCCGTGAAGACTATGGCAGTTCCCTGCCACCACGCCATCCCTAAATCAACCAAGCTCCCAGCGAGGTAATACGCCGGCACGCCCACCACAAGCCCCACCCACAAACTAGCCATTTCTGTCCCGGACAGCGTCCGCTGGTCGGCCGCCGTGGGCTTGAGATCATCGTTGATGAGGGCGGGGTCAGGCCGGAAATCCTCCATGTGGGTGATGCGATTAGGCTGCCTCGATGAGTACAATGGCGACACTGCGCTCCATCTTCTTCTCCGCAGTGCCGGAAATACGACCGGTTCAGGGCTGGTTGTGGCGGCGCGGGGAGGGTAGAGAAGACGATGGAGATGGGGGTGGAGGGTGAAGCATACGGAGAGCATGGGTACTGCTACTGTAAGAAAGATGGAGATTCCGATGGGGCTGGGGGTATATAGGAAGTAGAAAAATATGTGGTTTCTGTTGGGAATTTGGGATTAGACGCTGGATGAGTTGTGGGCAGGCAATAGCAGGTCACATCGGCAGTAAATGATCAGTCAGTTACGCAATTGTCTTTAATAGGATAGCCTCAAACATCCCAACGAACGAACGCCTCCATTTGCAAGTCGTGGATCTCTTACACAGCTGACAGATATTAGGTCAAACATTGAACACACCAGAATCCATCCAAATCACGTACTATAATATAATAACAAAATGCCATTTACGATCCCGAAATCTCCGCCTTGACATCAAAAGTATTCACATGATTTTTTGTCAGAAGCCATGTGAGTGATTGGGTGTGACACCTAACCCACAAGAATAGAAATGCAGCTGAAATTATTAGCACATGCCAAAATACTGCTCCAACCAATCTTAGCCCCAGCCTAATGTTGCCCTTTTGAGGCTTTGGCCCATTTAGAAATTAAATACTACAACAAATTGAAATTGAAACCAATTTTCAACAGCAGCATAAAATTATGGTAACCCTAAAAAAAGCCCAATTCCTTCCCAGACGCACACCTGTTGGAACTATGGCCAAGATTTTCTGCACGTGTCACCATCTTTACGCTGTCAAAACCTCACCAAAACCCTCGCCTTGCTCAGTCGGCAATGTTCTCACCACAATTTTTTTTTTGTAATGCAGTTAATATGCCCTATTTTTAATTTGAATCATCTTCCTTATATAGCATGTGGTTCTCACATTGTTAAATCTTGGTTTTGTTACAATCCCCAGATAGACTGAATTTACAAATGCATTTAATAAAAAATTGAAGGAATCAGGAACCTGGCATTTGCGTATACGATAGGATGATCGATGGAGAGAATATTTGCATTGCCATCGCAGAGTAGCCACACTACCTTCGGCCATGCTTTACTCCTTTCGTTGCTTGGAACGGTCATCATATCCTTAGCCACTATGCTCTACCACGTCCTCCTGATCAAGTGCTGTGTATGGAGGCAATCATCCACCACGACGGAGAATGAATCCGCCGCCGACGGCGCTCATTTCACCGGAGTCGACGAGAAAGTCCTGCAAACTATCCCGATCTACGCTTTCTCCGCCGTGAAATGCTACATCGACCAAGACGAATGCGTCGTGTGTTTGGGGGAATTGGAAGACGAAGATACGGTGCGTTGGTTGCCTAACTGCAAGCACGCGTTCCACGTGACGTGCATCGACCGGTGGTTCGCGGCGCAAACGAGCTGTCCGATGTGTAGATCTCCCGTAGTTTCAAAAGAGGAGACACATTCGGAACCGCCGTTCGTCTTCGACGCTCACCTTGCCGCCGATTCCGGTCGCGAAATCAGCGAACCAAGCACGAGTACTACCAATAACCTCGAATCATCGGCGCTCCGGCACTTTGTGGTATCGCTGTCTTCGGCACCATCGCCGCCGCGTTTGAAGCGGTCGCTCTCGATGGATCAATCGTTGATGAGAAGTAATCTGCAGAGGAATCCATCGTCTTCCTGGAGGAGAAGCCGCACGCTCAGGAGGAGTGGTTCGTACACCTTTCCGCGATCGAGCCATTTCGATCCCGGCTCGCTTTCATACAAGTGGCTCAGGTCCTTTTCGCGGCTCGGCTTGGGGAATGGAAATTCCAACGGACCAATTCTTCCTTACTGACAATATATTTTATTTTATTTTATTTTTTAAAAAAGAAATAGAAACAGAAATTTCTTAATTATAAGATTTTCCATTCATCTGAAAATAAGAAATTATTATATTGATCTGACAACCTGCCTTTTTCTTACTTAATAATTACAAAATGATTTACTGACTTAGGAATCAAGGCAGCAATAGTTTTACTTAAAATAATTAGGGGCTAACTGGACAGACAGCATAGGATGAGTCATCAGAGGAAGAGGTAGTTGACACGTGTTGCACTGCCAATGGCCATGGGCTAACCATGTCTTATGTGTGTGTGTGTGTGCAATCAATCAAACTTCATTGCTTTTTTGCGACTTCAATAAACAGTTATAAACATTCTCTTGGAGCACCACCACACTTTATTTCAAATTTAACAGAGAAGATGGAAACGAGACATTTAAATTAAAAAAAAAAATATGACAAGTTACCTACAGAAACAAGAGTTGATTTTCTCTAATATAAATATATTCTCTCTTAATTACTTCTTCTAGCTCTATGCTCTCATCAAAGTTTTTAGTAGGCTATATATTGAAAGAAGCATTTCCGATAGTGACACGTGAGATGGTAAACAAAAGCATCTTCCCCTTGAGATGAGAGAGGAGGAAGACTTGTATTAATATATCATTTCTTCTTCAATTTAATTCATCCTTCAAATGGGACATATATATATATATATATTTATTATTATTAAACAAAAAAAAAAAACTAATCTAAAAAAAAGCATGCATAAGGCCAAATCATTGACGTGTAGTTTGATAAGCTTAATAATAATAATAATAATAATAATAATGTATTTAAATCATCAACCACCACACCCGTGACGGGGAAACTTCTCCTACCAGCGGAAACAGGAACTATAAATTGATAATTTGACAGGTAATCTTAATATATGTAAAATGGCCCAATTAATTCATTGATAAATGATATGACTATCTATATATAATATATGGTCATAAGTCCAATAAAAAGCACTGGTGTTATGAAGAGGAATTAATCAGGATTAAAATTAATTAATTAATTAGGTACAGATAGATAGGCGATACATGTAATGTAATAGAGAGAGAGAGAGAGAGAGAGAGAGAGAGAGAGAGAGAGAGAGAGAGAGAGAGAGAGAGAGAGAGAGAGAGAGAGAGAATGAGGTAACAATGATGGGAAGTTGATTGGGCACATCGTATCGTATGCACACTAAACTAATGGAAGCTGTTATACTTTATGCCAACGGCCCATGTGGGCTTGTGGGGCCCATGATAAACCATACAACGGACTCCACAATATAATAAAATTTTAATTTCAATTTCGATATTATGCATACTGCCAACTTGGACCTCTATAAATGACTATTCATTTCCTTTTCTTGATTAAACTCTCACACATAAATAAAGTTATATATATATAATCAAACTACAATTAATTTTGCATTATTGCCATGTAGCTAGCTAGCTCTTTCCCACAGTTTCTTGTTTTCTTTTGCTTTGGGGCACTATATACTCACAATTGAATTTTATATAATTTTGTAAAAAGCCCCTTGAATTATGATGACTTGTGTAAAGTGTACATAAGATGATTATTTTTGTAATAATTATATTTAAAAAGAATAAATATGTATATGCGTGTGTGTTAAATTATTAATATTAGGACCTAAAAGGTGCCCTTTGAGGAACCCCCTTTCGTCTTCTTGCAGCAGAAGCTGGAGGTGGAGGAGGCGTGGGCGGGTATATGTCTTGTTGTGAGCCTTCACGCAATTCTTGATCTTGATACGGATGATGATCTTGTCTTGATGATGAATGCTGCTGCAGTATCATGTTCATTCTTGCCCTCGATGATACTCCACCCTCTGATGATTCATTCTTAACGCCGCCATCCAACCTAAAGCTTGCATCCCCATTTGCCTTTATTCCTACAACCTGCAGAATGATAACATTACACATACGATGATGATGATGATGGTGATCTCTGGAGGGGGTGCATTATATAATTAATTAGTTGTGTATGTGTGTGTGTGTGGTCATTGTTGATTCTTTATGAGAATGCTTATGCGAATCAATTCTGGTGGGATTACACCAAAAACAGCGATGATGGCCATTATTAATTGCTGTGGTTACAAGTACTTGTAATGATGATGTGGATGGGGATGGGCTTGGCTTGGCTTTTCTAATTTGTTCATCAATTGATCAGGTCTCCATCGTGCATGTATATGTACATTGAAATGGCGACGAAATATATATGTATGAAATCGTCTTCATTAATTAATCATGTAATTTTAATCCCAGCTGAAAAGAACGAAGGTTAAAAACAAATTAAGTCTGGTTAATAATTGTTGCTTCTTCCATTGAAAGTCATGTGAAGAAGATGAAGATGAAGATGAAGATGAAGAAGACAGTAATTAATTAATGGCGATTGAGGGACTAACCTTACATCCGAGTGAACAGAAACGGAAAGTGTCCAAAAGGCTTCTCCCGCAGATTTCACAGATACGAGAAACAGCCTTCCCACTACCCTTTGGCTGCGGCCGCTCGTTCAAGAACAAAACCCTCGCGCTGTTTATCACGTACGTCTGCACTCCGCTGATGTCCAATACCTTCTGAATCTCCGACACTCGAACCACATCGTGATATGAAGATCGCCTGATCTGCACCCCCAATTAATTAATGCACTACTCTGATTAATTATTTCATTCTTCTTCTTCTTCTTTTTCTTCTTCAACCCAACCAACAATGTCTATGATATGGTTGTCGGTGAATGAATGAATTGATTACCTGGATGACTTGATGGTCTTTGTGTCTGGAGGAGCGGCAGTAGAAGCAAAATGCGTCGGCTCTGCAGTCGAGGCAAAACATGTTGCACTCACTCCGGGCGGCGTCGCCGTGAGTCCGGCACACATTGAAGAACGCCGTGCTCAGCAGCCTTTCCAGCCATGGCGGTACCACCATTGCTTCCTGCTGTACAAGTACAAGTACAACCCGCAATTAACAATTATGCATATCTGCAATTCAACCAATTAGCTAGCTAGCACAAACCAAATTGGGCAAAAGACAACCCTCCTTCCTTCACACACACAATGAACACAATCTGATATACATACTAATAATTACCATTACTGAAACAAAACCAGACCGGACCGGGCCGGGCCCAATGACCTCCAATGGCGATGGAGATGATTCCAAGGTCGAGAGAGAGAGAATAATGAAGAGAAAGAAGAAGAAGGGAAGAAGGAAGAGGATGGAGGGAGGCCTAACCTAAACAACCAGCAACTTAGAAATCAACAATAAGCTACACCTAAGCTACAGCCTAAATTGATGTCAATGTAAATCCACCAACGGCCAGGATCAAAAGGGGTGGCTCCCTACATTCCTCAGCCGTTGGATGTGCAAAGAAGGTAAGAAGGGTTTGGCGCTTTTTGGATCTTCTTTGCGTCTCTACATGGTCATATAATAATAATAATAATAATAATTAATAATAAGTCGGCCACTGTGCTACGCTGCCTACGATACCAAGCAATTACGATCCATACGGCGTCGTCTTGTCTCCCTCCCTTCTACTGCTTTTCTTCCCTCAATCCACTATATATTATCTCTACATTTCACATTTCATTTATTTATTATTTTCTTCTTCTTTACACATCATCCCACATATATCCACCAATTTTTATTTATTTCTATTATCGAATTACTTAGTGGTTTAATTTATTTAAAATCATGATTTATTTAATTTGTTTCGTATATTAGTATATCCTTATTTATTAGTAGGAAACGGGCAAGGCTGGCAGACATATGGGAACGTGCAACAAACTACAATCTTTAATCGCAACTGCCTAATTGCATGCTGTCTTCAATTATTTAGCCTAAATTATCTCAACTTTCACTAATTAATATTCCTTGATTGGTCTCCACTCACTAATAAATCAAGCATAATAGGAAATAATAATATCTTTTTAATTTCATACGCTATCAATTTTAGTGCTAATATTACATTTTAATCAAATAAAATCTCATTAGTTAAAATTGATCAAAAATAATTTTAGTAAAAAAAATAAATATTGATTATATTGTAACAAAAGTAATTATTATTATTTCCGATTATACATTGGGGTCAAATCTATAAAAGTGCTAAGTGTGGGGACTCAATTTACATATGTTGCATTCTATTGGGCCAAATTGCAAGCTGGTTTATTACGGGAAGGAAGGAACGAAGTGAAAGAGGCAATCGCGAAGACCTTCCGGAACACGTTGGAGTTGGAAATTGGTGTTGACGAAAACAAAATTTACTGAATAGCGTATTCGGCAAGCTGAATCCGATCTTGGGGTGACAAGGTTGCGATTTTGATCGAAATCGTTTCGGACTAATCGATTGACTTTTCGTCGGACGATTGAGAATCGAGGGCGCTTCGAAGCCATGTTCAAGAATTTTTGGTAATCTCTTTCTCTCTCCATTTCATATGATGAATAGATGAATCTTGTAATCCGTATAATTTGCAATATCTCGATTGTATTATTTGGCTGAAGAGAACATCTGTGTCGATCGTTTCTTATTCCCGTTCCTGGTATGAGCAAGTGATTTTTTGTTACAGTGGTGTACGCTACGCTAATTATTTTAGGTACATCACATGAATTTGAGTCTTCCTGTTATTCATGTATTACGCTGGATACTGCTGGCTGTTTTTGTTGTGTTCGCTCTTTATGCAAATTCTGTTGTACGCTTAAACATTCAAGTTAGGGTTTAATACTAGCTTTAAAATATTTGGCCGTCATTGGCCGAGAAAATCGTTCTATGATGATTGCCCTTTGGATCTCTTATGAAATGGATGAAGTTGTGAAGGGTGCTTTTTTTTTTCCTTACCCTACTTTTTTTTTCTTTCTCCTTATTTACGGGTTGTTTCTGATGGGCTGCACTCGCTTTAGTATGCATTTAATGGGAAGATTCTGTTGTGCTTGATCTGCAAATTGAGGTTGTGAGAACTGGTTTTAACATAGATGTTACAAAGATTAAAGGCTAATGACTGTTTGAAATTCTGGGTGGAATGAACAAAGATACATGCATTTACTTATTTTAGTTGAGATTTTGCGTGTGCTCTTTCTCGCAGAATATACTATACCATTACTCAATTCATTTTCTTAACTGCAATTAAATCTACTGCTGGCTTAGAGAGAAGTATAATTGTCTTGCTTCATTGCATCTCAACAGGGGCTCTCAGGAGCAGCAAGTTCCATCACGGCCACAGGAAGTGCCCACAGACTCATGGTATCCTCCGTCTGTTATCAGTTCATCCGGCGCCTCACGCCCCACAACACCTGGTACCAGCACATCTGGCAGTTTCAGCACATCAAGACCAGCAGATCGATCAAACACCATATCAAATGTTTCACCTACAGAAGCTGCAGGCATCATTGCTGTTTTGAAAGATAAAAGGTGAGGTATTTCATTAGGTTATGATTTAAATCTGTAATTTTCATTATTCCTCCTTTATATGTTTACGGACAGAAATAACCCTATTTTCTTGATATCAGAGACCAATCAATTGTTAATATTATTTTAAATTTCTATTCCATGTTTATCCAATTTTATGAAAGAATGAACGTGGATTTATGCTTAACATGTAGTGATCTGTGAATATCTTAAAAAAAGTTATGCAGCTTCACAGAGTTTGCTATTGTTGTTCATGTGAACAGTGTTGATGAGCTGAGGAAGCTTTTGTCTGACAAGAATGCATATCAGAATCTTTTACTCTCTCTGGAGCCTGTAAAAACTCAAAACAGAGTATGTTTCTAATGACCTTGATGCGTTTGTGTATTTGATACTTGCTTGATGCTTGGTGGTTGGTTGCATATACAGTTTGGCTTGAAAGTTGCATGCTTCAAATTTTCAAACTTGACTGTTAGCCATTCTGTGGTTGCAACTTTAAACTAATTATGTCTAGGCAGTTACAAGACAAGTTCTATCTTTCCAATTATTCTTACATACACTTCCATATAATCAGGTTAGAGACGAACTCAGGAACGAGACTTTGCAGCTTGCTAGTAAGTTATCTGTTTTTTATTATTTTTCATTTCACTTTGTATACTTATTGGCTATTTTATAACCAAATTCTCTTGGAATCAGGAGAAAATCTTGAAAAGGAACCAACAATAATGGAACTAAGGAATCAGGTAAATTATGGCACTAGTTGCATTTCTTATGCATTCAGCATTATTATGCCTTGAAATTGCAATTGAACGTTTCTACTGCTGTTTTGTGCTTCAGTGCAGAATAATCCGAACAACAGAATTGGCTACTGCTCAAGAAAAATTGCATGAGTTGGAACGGAAAAAGGAAGAAACTCTGAAGTATTACTCTCCCTCATCACTCCTCAATCGACTTCAAGGTATTTCTAGTTTGTGACTGCCCCCAATGTACTTTACCTGCAAGATTACATATGTATATATATTCAATAAACTTTGTTTCTGACAAGGCAAATCTAAGTTAAAAATTTCACGATGGGAGCAAGTGCATTTGTTGTCTGTTAGGCATGCGCGCCAAATGTGATTAATCGTTTTGTTGTGAATTATGCTAAGTAGTTATTTGTGTGATGTCAGATGCTATGAACAAAACAGACGAGGAATCTGAGGCCATTCACCGGCAACTTCTTGATAAAGAACTCGATCTCCCATCCTTTGTACAGAAATACAAGAAGATGCGCAATGCATACCATAAACGCGCACTTACACATCTCGCTGCCAAGACATCTGCATCTAGCTGAGCCTTGGGATGCCATCAAACTTAACATGCTTAAACACAATTGTACTGCCACTCTTCTTGTAAAATTATTTTATTTTGACACCGCTTCCTATTTTGTGTTGTGTTATTTCCAGTTTTACGCTCAAATTTTCTTTTGTGTGTTTCAGTTTCATATACTGCTGGTGTGACATATTTTTAGACAAGTAAATTGTTGGGGGAGAGGCTATAGAATGACCATGCTCTACTTCTATACTTGTGCTCATATTGCAAACCCTGATTATGTATTTGCAGAGATGTTTGAACGTACAACAAGGGCTCCATGGAATTTGATGTTAATTCTTGTTCTTGTTATTCTTTATCATATGGTTATTATTTACATTTACATCATTTGGTCAATTTGTTGTGCTGAGAGCTTAGATACGTTCATAATAGTATCTATTCAACTTGATCCCAAAACCAATTCACAGTTCAGATTATGAAGCAATGATAATTCGATGCCTTAGAAGTGTACAAACAAAAAACCGAAAAAGAAGAGAAAATCAAATGCAGCAAAACTTAAAAATAAAAATAGAAACATCATCAATATGTTTTCTCAGGGCCACTGGTGTCTGGATCGTCGCACATTGGTGTTGTGTAGTACAGCGGACCAAGAGCGAACTTTAGGACATCCCTGTAAACTTCTGTCGGCCGCCGGAGCTTCAACCCCGTCTTCCCGCCAGCAAAGTCGGTGGCGATGTTGCAAACCGGGTCAGGCGACGACACAAGCCTAACATTACAATTCTGAGGCTTCAGCTCCTTCCCGTTCACGAATCTGTTGCAGGCGATATCAAAGTCTCCATTCTTGTCCGTCAGGTCACTTGCGTAATGAACAACTCTCTTCCTGTCATCCAGGCATGTCACGGACACCCTGCTGTCTGCACAAAACAGACATGAAAGCTCTGTAAAAACAACATGCAAGTTTAATGCACGAAGCCAATATATGTATGTCGAGCAGAGCACCTTTGATGGGGTCGGCGCCGTTCACCCATTCATTCCATCCCTTGTTGCAGTCCTGGCAAAGAACTTTTCCGGTGACATGGAAGACCTGAGGGTCAAGATCATCAGCTCCATATCCGGCGGCAGTGGAGGAGACAAGTAAGGATGCAGCCAATGCCAGCAACAGAATGTTAGGCCCCATTTTTCCTGCAAGAATGTGTTCAGTGCAAGATTTCCTCAAATATATAAAAAGAAGGGAGGGAGATGATCGTGGGGGCACACAACAATTCGACGTGCAAGCCATGAAACATATGGGTTGTTGAATCGAATCCCACATGTTCTCTTAGGTTTATTTAATGGGAAAGGTCAAACTGTGAATGATTGCTTCATCATCCAGACAAAAATTAACAGTTTGGAATTTTATATTTAGATCAAGAGAAGAAGAAAACAGAGTGATTGTTTATAGCACAAATCACTTCAGACAAATGTCACTTTTAGTCATGAAACAAACACAACTCCTGAATAGACTTTTACAGCAAACAAAACTCGTAATTCTGTCTCAACAAATCTTCTATTCACTATGCAGAATTGATATCACAACTGGGAAATGGAGGTGGAAACGACTTGTTTGGGGGTTGTAATTAAATAGCCTTGGAATAATCTGCAGCTGCTGCAAGCATCGTATGATGTATGATTGAATCAATGCTGGTGATCTTCTAGAAGCCCTGCGTTTTGTAAGGCGACTTTGAATTCCCCCTCACTGTTCCACGGGCTCACCTGCATTTTTCATCGAGAATTATTTAGTATTCACTTTCGGAAAATTCCTTCAAGGCTTCTCAAGTAGGAGAGTGACAAGCATGAAAATGTGTACCTCAGCTATTTGGGACTTGAAGTATCCCTCTATTTTGGCAATAATCATGTCGTCTCTATCACCACAAAGTAGGTTGAATACAGCACCTGTTCAATTAGAAGAAATGGTGTAAATCTTGGGATGATGAGGAGCACCCGGTGAAACACCCAACTGCTCAAACCCAGACAACATATGCATGTTCGAATCTGACGTGAAGGGATGGATGTCTAGTTAATGATAACACAAATTCTATCTCAACACTAGAGGAAGTAGTACCTTTGCGGCCAAAGCGCCCTGCACGGCCAACCCGATGCAAATAAACTTCGTAGTCAGGCTCTGTGGGTTGTTCATATCTCACAGGAAGATCATAATTGACAACCAAGTTAACCTACATGATTAAAGAAAAATAAAATAAAATTGGGTCATTAGTACAATATGTCAAAATCAATCACAAAAAGGAAGAAAAATATTTATGGCGCAGCAGGAGACACACCTCTTGCTGGTCAAAGCCCCGAGCAAGTAGATCAGTTGAGATTAACACTTGAGTCAGTCCTTCCTTAAACTCTTTTATAATTCTGTCTCGATCCTCTTGCTTTAAAGCGCCTTGAATTGTGGTGACCTCGTAGCCAAGGCTAACTAAAGATTTGTGAAGCACAGATGCACTATTCCTGGACCGCACAAATATTATTGTCTGCCCCACTCTCTCTCCGAGTTCAAGTATTCGATCTTTAATGACCATGTTCTTCGAAAGCTCATCAGGACAATGCACCTTATACTGTTTTACAGAGTCTAGTGATAGCTCTTCCTTTTTGACAAACATTTGATTATAATCTTTGACAAAGATTTCCTTAACTATTTTTGACACGAAAGCCGCCACAGCATCATCAAAAGTAGCTGAGAAAAGGAGGACCTGATCACAAAAACATGTACAAGTTATCAAAAGTTAGCAGCATATGATTATACCTTTCACTAAACACTCACAGATCCTATTTGAGATCTTCTGGTAACATACAAAAATATGATGAAGTGATCGTTGTTCTAGTGCAATAACTATATTACAGCAAAATAACTACTTTGCCTCTAAGTTTTCCAAAAATAAATGAGCTGCCTATTACACCAACACATAACACTCCCAAGCTTATTAATGTCACTTGTGTAACATACGCCTCATACACAAACAGATAACATATCTGCTTAGGATTTTACAACACAAAGTATTTGCAATAATAGTTTGATCTACAATGGTCTTGCCCTTAAGAAGTACACTGAGACCAAAAGCTAAACTACATTGTGTACGTAAAAATACAAGTGGTTCATTTTCCTAGATCTTGAATCATGAAAGGTGAATAACTCACCTGGCAATCAAAATGGGCTTTTGCAATTGTCTTCATTATCTTCACTGAATCATCGCGAAAACCACTCTAAAAAAGAGAATATGCAAATTAATATAATACAAGCAATAGAACTGCAGAAATCATGCATAGTAACCGGCATAAAGATAATAACCAAGCCATGGTCTAAATATCAATAATCAATGGCTCCTATGCTTAGTCATTGAATGGGAAAAAACCTAGACGCCCAAATAAGCATGAGAAAAAACCTAGAAACCCAAATAAGCATGACAAACATTTTATGAATTGGAAAAAAAACAAAGCTTTTCTCAGAAATAGCCAAGATATTCCACAAATAGCATTGGATGATCAGTACATGGTGAAAACTAGAGTATGGTACACAAACATAAGAGATATTGACCATAAGATTATAACAATGTCAAACCTCTGCCAACATGTGGTCCGCCTCATCAAACACAAGAATCTTCATTTGACTCATACCCAATTTCCTCGCCAACATCCACTTGCATATTGTGCCAGGTGTGCCAATAATTACTTGTGCTGTAATAGGTGGTCTCTTTTGAATTGGAATGTAGTTTGAAGGATCCGCCGGTATTGCTAATTCTGAGGTTATGCCAGTGAACTTTCCCATCTTCAGAAGCACTTCCATATTCTGCGCCATTTGTTTAGATACACTAATCAAGCCATAAGAAAATATTAAAAACAAACAGCCACCCCCATAAATTCATATACTATAAAAGCACGTCAGTTTCTGCAACATTTGACAGAGAGTTATTCTCGAGCAGACTCCAAATTGGCATTAACACATTACCGAAACAAACATGCCTGTTTTAGGGAAAAAAAGTAACCAATTTTACCAGAAAGTAATGCTTTTTCTGCAACCAGAGCCCACAATTCTTATGAATAACTTGAAAATCAATAAGCTATAAAATGTGTCTTGCAGCTCTTGCGGCCAAATTTGTATCGGTTAGAACAGTAACTGAATCTTCACAGGTATAACAAAGTTTGGCTATAAATTTATACAAATTCCTGAATAGGTATGCATCCAACATCTACTTCGCAAATTTGCTTCATTATGTACCAATAGCCTGCAAACAAGAAATCGACCAAGAAGAATTGGAAATTTAACTTGAACATACTTGGATGGCTAACTCTCTTGTTGGGCAGATACAGAGAGCCTGGGGAGCCTTGAGTGTTGGATCAATTCGGCTCAACATTCCAAGCACAAAACAAGTGGTCTTCCCAGAACCATTGTGAGCCTGGGCGATTAGATTTTTGTGTGGAGGCGTCAGGATCATGGGCAAACTAATTGCCTGTATCTTACTAGGTTTCTCAAACTTCATCTCAACGTATAGACCCTTCAGCAATTCCGGTGATAAGTTCAAGTCTTCAAACCTCTTAGCTGATGTATAAGGAGTGTCCCCAGATGTAAACTACACGCAGATGTATTCAAACATGAAATTAGTGCACGAACATTACTAAATCCAATTACTGTATAAATCCACATCTCAAGCCAACAATTGTATTCAGTAAAATCGAAAAGCAATCAGATCGTTTCAACGCCCTCAAAGCTTCTCGGAATAAACCTTATTCAGAGTTAAACCCTATTTCCTAGGTGCTAAATTAAACCCCAATCCATGAAAGTAATTGCCTTAATTGTAACCCAGATTAAAAAAACCCCTTCCGATAAAATACAAAAACCCATCAGACTGCGGGAAATAAAAATTATTGATAAGAATGAGAGGGATTACAGCTTCAATGGTTGAGTCGTCTGGGTCAGTGAGCGTGCTCTGATCTCGTCTGGACTCGTCGATAGCCAATGAATCCAAGTTAACCTCGGTCGAGGAAGATTCGGGAATCTCTTGCTCCACCTCTGCCTCTGCCTCATCAGCAACATCTGCCCATCGTTTCGACTCGGGAGGGGGAGGATTGGAACCCCCGGATTGAACTGTGGCGGCGGCAGTAGAGGAGTTCGCAGAGTCGCTGTCAGCCATGTGGACAACCCGTCGAGAAATTGCTGAAAGATATGTAGCTAAAACTTGTGAACTCTCTCTGTGCAACCACAAAGATGAGCGTCCCCTCCAATGCGAAATACTCCTCCGTCCGTCTGTCTGGAAAGTACTCCGTACTTCCTTTATAGAGAGGAAGCTGCCCACCGCCTCTTAGCAAAATGGAGTACTACCCTTCGTTTACATAATCATAACCATATCCCGATTTATTTTTAAAAATTATTAAATATATATATATATATATTTATAAAGTATCAAATCAAATAATAATTTTTATATTTTTTTAAAAAAATATTATAAAATTTTAAATATTTCTAATTTTTGTCTAAACGACTCTTAAAAATTCAATCTTAATTAAATTAAAATTTAAAATTTAATTTGAATTTTTATGAATTTTTGAATTAAATATTTAATAAATTTTATATTTTCAAATCAATTTGAATTTTATATTTAAGATCCGAATCAATCATAAATCCAAAATAATTCAATCGTCTAAATTTATTCTTAACTTTTTTTTTTAATTGTCATCTAAATTTATCTCGATATCATTTTTTCTATATTTAAGAAGATTGTGTTTTTTTACCTCTAGTCAAATGAACATATTCTTTTATGATTAGTGTTGATTATAAAAAATTAACATAAATAAATAATTCGGATTTTTTGATCTGACTCAAATTGATTCTTTCAAAAATAATTATACTTACCCCTCCTCCCGAAGTTACGGGCTATTTTCACTACCCTAATTGATTTTATTTTATTTATCATACAATTAAAAAAAAAAAAGTTAAATGAGACGAACTATTATCAATTTTATTTATCATATGACCGAAAATGATATATTTCCAACGTTTAACTAGATCAAATGATGATTGGGTGGACATTTGCAGTATTAAGAGGGTTAAAGCAACGCAAGAACGCCAACAAGAATGAGGCAGTGGCAGTGGAAATGGCAAACAATTTCTCATCGTGTATCTCGAATGTAACGAAATAAAAGAAGCCAAGAAGAACATAGCCTACTTGCTAGCTAGCGCCAACATAGAAAAGTTCTAAATTTTACAACATCCCTGAGTGCAGTGCTGGTTTTGCACCCACTTCTCCATTAAGGGTTAAATCAATGCGACTGACTCTGTCTATCATTTGTTCTGTGGTCGCCAAATGTCACAGACAAACCGTTTTCGACTCACCGCCACTTGTCCTGGAGATCTTTCTTCTCGGACCAAATCCATGTTACGACTATGGCAGCGACAAGGGCAACGATTGTGATCAGGAGAAGGGCATAGCTGAAATCTTCAGTGAGAGAATCGTATGTCCGGGAAGGGGCAAGCCGAGTGAAGAAGAGATCAACCCCATATGCAAAAGCAAGTGTGGTGGATTCAAGTTTAGCAGGAACTGTTGCAATGCCTCGGAGGCCTTCCACCTTAAGAGAATGTGTTATGTATGACTGCAGAAGGAGAAAATGTCAAGATTATCATATAAGCAAGGCTCAAGAACTTATACAGCTATACTAGGAAATCTGGTCGGGAATATAGGTTATCACCTGGGAGATAATTGGCAATGAATCGGTAAGAGGTATTATTCCTTCTTCTTTTTCAGATTGAGTAGGATTGACTGTTCTTCGGGGATCCAAAAATCGCTTATCAAGAGCCAAAACCTGTTAAACAGAGAAAATGAGATGCAAGAATTATACTGGCTAAAAAGAAATATTGCAGGGATGATTGTTGGTACGAACACTTAATATAACACAAGCGTAGGTAATTAGCGAACCTGATCGCCAATGGTACCAAGGAGAATCTGCTTTGATGTTATGCCTTTTGCTGTCAATGTAACTGCCATTGTTTTCACAGAGTGTGAGAAGAAGTAAGATTGTGATTTTGTGAACACTTCAGGGCGCGAGTAAGATGTTATAGGAGACGTTAGATTATGCGTCCCAAGAACAAGCTTCAACACATCCTTGTTGTCCTGCATATGGGAATAGTTTAGAACAGAGTGCAGCTTAGACAAGGAAAAGAACAAAAAATCAAGCTGGAGGAAGTACCGCACGAGCTTGGTCGTAGATTTCAATTACAGACATCTCATATCGATGCGCCCGTAGATTGAAGTAGTGGTAGACAACCCAGTTCTCAATGAAAACCTTTTAGGGAAAATAAATAAAGAAAGAATTTGTTAGCTTCTGCATTCAGATAGGATGACTATTTTCTTTTCTTTTCCGCACACACACATATATATATTTCAACAATGGTTGCAACAGATATAAGACTTACAGCATGTACAGGACCCTGTGAACCATGATGGATCATACGGTGTAATATTCGGCCTGTCACAGTATCAATCACATAAACAACCAGAGATGACTCCTCAGGTGTGACATAACCAATTGCATCAACAGCCTTGGGTGTAACAGTGGCTAAAAATAGCAGATTCTTTGATATATATTTGTACAAGACTTCCTGATCTCCAGTTATCTTAGCTTGGGTATGGACTACCTGTAAAGGTGAGAGAATTCAATCGTTCAGACAAAATTATCAAAAGACAGAATTTAATTATATTGCAAAGCTACACTCCAACTATACTGGCAGATATTAGAAGTTTCCTTCAGCAAAAATTTCTTGATCTGATCAAATGGGAATAAAAGAGGAAAAAAGGACCTCATTTAAACTTCTTGTTGCAGTTGCAGCAATCTTTTCCGAATCAGGAAACACAATTGACCACAGACCCCTTGTGTCAAAACAAAAGTCATCTGCCACCTCAAGATCACAATTCTTGTGCAATTCACCACCCCTTAGAAGGCCTTTATCTGTATCAGCTGAATGCCAATATATATTCCCTAAATCTCGCTGAAAGATGCCGAGTGCCTCAGAAGTTCTAGGATATAAGTGAGCATGCCCACTTGCGTCAAATAGTAGATGTAAGCGCTGTTCCATGGAATCAGTAAAAGGCAATGTAATCACATGTGTAATGGAGTGAGAAGGTTTCATATGACTACGCTCCTCCCCAGTGTATGTGTCAACAATACTGAAAACTCCAGGAGAGCCAATGTTGTCACCACATCTTCCAACAACCAGGACAGATGGGTTCTCATCCAATGCATGATGATGCGGATTCTGCCACTGATGTAAACTAATCCCTCTAGGATTGGCACATGTGTCTGATTTGCGAAGAGAGGTCAGTAAACGAGACCAGACTATCCTTCCATCCCCAGTGTGCAGCGCAAAAAGTTTTCCAGCCCGAGTAAGTACTACGAGAAGCTTTCTGAATCCATTGCGGTCTCGGGTCATCTTTGTTTTCTCAGAGCTTTGCAACCTCATTTTCACTATGGCTGCCACATCATCAGGCGTTGCTATCATTAAAGTTCCTTTGAGTTTCAGCATATGACCCTATCAGAACAAAGATAATGAAGCAAAGAAAAAAGTCAAAACACTGTAACTCCACCACTGATCACAAAATGATGCAGTACGGCATACGAAATCTCAAGAGTTATTCAGATAAACTTCTGGTACAATTATGACGAGCAAAAAAGACTTCACCAGGAAGCAGCACAAAGTATACCATATTTGCTAACCAACCCCACCAGATGAAAAAACTCAAGTGTCTAATGATCCATTCCTTTGAATTCTTTCAATATGCAATCAACCGAAACTAGTTCAAATGCTATGGCTAAAATCATGGCTAAAGAAGATCCAAACTCCAACATGAGTCTAGTAAATGTTCTAAGGTTTCCACTTACTTCTATAATGTCTCTAGAACAACAAAGATTTAGCTGCTTGGGGAAAAAAGTATAATGACAATAGATGATAACTACTGTCTACCTCTTCACATCTCGCATGGAAGACATGCTACTTACGACAGTAATTTAACAGAAAATATCAGAACTACCAGCACTTAGAAACTACAACGAAACAAAGTCAATTAGTCAATTATGATGATGACTTACCTTAAGCCATTCAAAAAGGCTGTGCTCTACTTTTGCAACAGACACACCATCCTTTTCAAGGGGTAGCTCTGATGCTGTCACATCCATAATTGAAGCTAGTCCATCCTCCCTGCTCCAAACAATCTCACCCTGTTGCAACAATAATAATGAATGATCTTCCATGACAATCAAAACTCTGAACCCGTTTGTCCTGTCTGTACGAACATAGCTATTGATGAAAACTTTATGCACAACTCCTCTCTGACGATCAAGCTTAAAGTTTTCCTCAATTAAGTTGGACGTCCAGTCATTACCAAGCTTTACAGTCAGAAAAATGTTGCCATCACCATGCTGAACTAGGGCAAAAGCATGTTGACCATCTGGCAGAGGAAGAGAATCACTAGCAGCATTTGCATGACTAAACTTGTCCACAACCTTCGGCATGCCATCACTTGTAACCTTAATAAATAGAACAGTATTATCTACTTCCAAGGTAACTAGTCCAGATATTTTTGAGGGTAATATAACTGCTGCTGTTTCTGAAAGCTCCTGGGCAAGTTGAGAAACATGAATCTGATGAAAGCTAATATGTCCATCTACAAATTTAATAGTAACCAAAACTGTTCCAGTAGAATCCATTGCTACAGCCATGTCATTTTCCACTATTGATAAATCTCCCGAAAAACCACCAGGAAACACCATTTTTTTATGCTTTAATAGGTCTCCACTCTTGACATCAAGTTGATAGACATCAAACTGAGAGAGATCCCGTACACCTATAGCATATAATGCATCACTTCCATCTGGATTGATTAGCTGCTGGATATCAGTGCTGCAGACATGAGAAAAATGTCAACATCTTTGGACAGGAATGGCAACAATAGACTATTTGAAATTAAGGTCTAAATTTGTTCAAACCCTTCAGATGCTAATTCCTTTTTCCAGATGACATCACCGTCTATGCTTGCAACAGCATGTATAACACCATTACCATAAACAAAGATTACTTTGTCCTTGTCAACCGTCAAATTGGTCTGTAACAAACACAAGTATTGTAGGTAAATTCTAAATTATTGTCTAACAAGGTGTTATCACAAGTTAGAATGTAGCTATGGGAGATGTTTGAATTTTGATCAGAATTTTTTAATTGAAAATAGAGCCTTCAAGTTCCAAGTACCAGAAGAAATGTAACTTTGTAACATCTCAAAAAGGATGCAACCAGGCTACACAATTCCATAAAACAGCAGAATTTTTCCAAATCATAGTGAGCAATAAAGATAACAATTTCCTAAAATAATCATACATAGTAGGTCATAATCTACAAACCAGGAAGAGCACGACACCATTCATGAGATTAGGCTAAGAGTTTTACTTCACACTCACCGGAATCAGTAATAATGACTTTGAGGGTTTTGGGCCAGTAAGTGTTGACTCCCACACCATTTGACCATCAGGAAGATTCCAAGCTCGCAAAATACTGCCACCAGATGACAAAGTAATAAGATCTGCAAATTTTAGCGAAATTTGATTAGGAACACAATCGTACAGTAGCATGAGATTGCAGTAAAAAGTTCTTGAGATGAACTACAGGATAAAACCATATTAACTATCAGAATTCATCTCAACGAATCAAGCAAAAGTTACAAAGTCCCATTTCATATGTTGAAACCAACAAATAACAAAGTAAGTATCTTCGTTACATTTTCCAAGTGCAATATCAATTTGGTCGATGACATCATTGGGCCCCAGAACATGCCTCCAAACTGCCCAAAAGAAAGAGGAAATACACTCAGAAATAATGAAAATTTCACGATATGCCCGGTGGAGAACAGAGACCGGAACTTCAAAAGTTTCAATTTTCCGAATACAAACTCACAAATCTCCCCGTGACGAAGATCAAGCGACGCTACGACATTCTCATCTGTGGACACAACAACACGCTTCCTCGCCGCCTTCTGGGTATGAAAAACTGCGTGCTTAACTTTCCCTATGTACTGCTGATGCCTGAATAATCACAAACAATTCAATTGTCAATTCAACTCACAATAGAAACAACTGATCGCAATCCAAACCATAAATTGAAACAACACATATCATCAAGGACTTACCAATCCATGACGCCGACTTGGTCATCGTATAAAGAAAAACTAACGAAGCACAAAGATAGGAAGACGAGTAGCAGCAGGAAAACCCTAATCGCCATATCCACGGCGACGATTCGTCGGCTTTTCAGTAATGCCAACAGATCTGGGGCGATAAAAGTTATGAACTATCAGCGAAGTATTAAACTAATTCCGAGCCCAGTTTGGGCAGCAGCAGCAATTGCAAAACCCTTTCTAATTCTTTATTTAATAATAATACTCTGGCTTTATTTATTCAATTTGGGAGAATTGCATATAGATCCTCCTATTCAAAAATCTTTCAAGAGCAGACCCATATAAAAAATCTAATCATTTTTTTGCTTTGATTTTGAATTTTAATTGTAACAACTATTTCATGTTAACTCCAAAATTTTACTATTTCAATTTGGGACATTATTTAAATTATATATATAATAATAATAATAATAAAAAAAAAAAAAAAAACTAGATAGTGGAATATTTGTATTTTACAAAATGGGAGTTGAAATGATGGAACTTAAAATAAGCCTAGAAAAGCAATAATCGTGTTATAGCCTACAAAACAAACAAAAGTCGCAAAACAAGAAAAGCACGCTTTACAAGCGCACGCAAGATTTGCTCCTCTTCAAACAGACTCTCCAAAATTGGAAAAACTCGAACCGAAATTCCGCTATTTCTTTCCTTCATCTCATCAGTAGACAGTTCTCATCCGACAACAACAAATTCGGCTCTTTCCTTTCTTTATCGAAACTGATTCCCATTGCTTAATCCATTTCCCCCTCCCCAACTCTGTATTTATTAAATTCAATTCAATTCAATTCAATTATACTCTGCATTGCAGAAATGGAGGCATCAAGAAGCTGCAGCACGATCTTAGCTCTAATTCTCGTAGCTTCTATGGTCATCAATGGCGACCCGTTAGTCCCGGCGCTCTGCATATTCGGAGACTCGGTGGTCGACGCCGGAAACAACAATAATCTTCAGACTCTTATAAAAGCAAACTTCCCTCCTTACGGGAGGGACTTCGTCACCCACAAACCGACGGGGAGATTCTGCAACGGCAAGCTCGCCGCGGACTTCACCGGTAAGTGGTTTACATGCGCTTTCATTCGTCGATGGAACCATCTTTGATCGAATGTATAATGTGAATGCACGCGCGCAGCCGAGTACTTGGGATTCAGTTCATACCCGCCGCCGTACCTCAGCCAAGACGCCATGGGGACGCGCATCCTCGCCGGCGTCAACTTCGCGTCCGCTGCTTCCGGTTACTACGACAGGACGGCGGAGTTCTACGTAATTAATGATACATTTTTCTTACATTTAGGTTAGATGGTCATTTAACAATCGTGGTTTTGCAGCGGGCGATGACGCTGACGCAGCAGCTCTCGTACTACAAGGAATGGCAGAGGAGAGTGGCGAAGTCCGTCGGCGCGGCGAAAGCTAACGACATATTTTCAGGAGGGATTCATTTAATAAGTGCAGGGAGCAGTGATTTCATCCAGAATTATTACATCAATCCGTTGCTCAACAACGTTTACACCCCCGAACAGTTCTCCAACCTTCTCTTGAAATCCTACTCCAATTTCATCCAGGTATGTATATAAAGATCCTGTCTTGTGTGGGTGAGTGATGATGGAATTAATTATCAATGTGGGGCAGAATCTATACAATTTGGGGGCGAGAAGAATCGGGGTAACAAACCTGCCGCCGACGGGATGCTTGCCGACAGCGATAACGATGTTCGGTTCAGGCAGCAACAAGTGCGTGTCGAGGTTGAACCAGGATGCGTCCATGTTCAACACGAAGCTGAACACGACATCTGAAGATCTGAAGGCTAATCTGCCGGGGTTGAAGCTCGTCGTGTTCGATATCTATCAGCCTCTTCTGGATATGATCACAAAGCCTGTAGACAGTGGTACCTACTGCACACACACCATTAATTCTCTTTTTGTCAATTAATGGGTAATAATTTGGGCGTTTCTTGGTTATTTGTAGGGTTCTTTGAATCGAGGAGGGCTTGCTGTGGGACAGGTACGATGGAAACCTCGTACCTCTGCAATGCTAGATCAGTGGGGACGTGCTCGAATGCAACAGAGTATGTGTTCTGGGATGGGTTTCACCCCTCTCAATCTGCTAATGAGAAACTGGCTCAAAGTCTACTTGAGCAGGGATTTGATCTCATTTCTTGAAACAGACACGAGATACGGTTGTTAATTGGAGTGATTAAGATTGTTTTGATAGATTAAGGTTTGCATAATCAAGAAAATAAGCCAGATGAGTGCAAAAGTAATAGAACATACAGAAGTTTTACAAAAATATATAGCAAATATTTGTAGACATTAATGTAAAATCTAACGAGTCAGCAGCACAAAATCTGTATTCTTGCCTGGTAAGATGTCCAGTAAGTCAATATTGATATTTATTGGATATGCATTCAATGTTGAGTGGATATTGTCAAATATAACTTTCATTTATTACTTGCCAAATTTCGGTACCCAAATTGAGACCCCTCTGTAGGCTGCCGAATACCTAATGCAGAATCTGTATGTAACAAGCTTCTGATATGCTTGTATTAAAAAGTGTTATACATTTCCATATCAAAAACATTAAAAGCAAAAATAAAAAACTAGTAGTAAATAATACTGGTAAAAAAATTATAGAGAAAGGGAAAATTGACAATAGTTAGTGTTGATTTTCATAAATATTAATGAAGAAACTGGAAAACAACTGATGAATACCGTAATAAAATTTCATAAATTAAAACCCTACGCCTTAACAATTGATAGAGACTTCCCACGCGCCGGCCACACGTGGCGAATGCACATGAGGGCGTGCAGTGCACGCCCATCTAGCGCGGTGGGTCTTCAGAAACAGAATATTTTTAAGGTAAGTGTAATAAATAAATAAACAGTGCAAGGAAGAAAGGAATCGAACTACAGATTAAAAAGGCGTAAATTTGCATGAAGAACTCGAAAACAGAGACTGACCGGTGGCGACGCTTGGCGCGATTGCGCGGTGGGGTTCAGACATCTCTCGCCAGTTGTGACCTGTCCTTTTAATTTCTTCCTTTCTGAGCCTCCCCTTTCCCAACAGAAAATTAAACAAAAATGGCACTGAGATCGACGGCACAACGATTGCACGTATTCAATACATGTAAAAGAGGATAGCTTCACGATCGGCGACATCCAATCCAGCGGCTGTGATTTCGTGCGGGGATTTTGTCGTGAATGTGATTCTGTGTCCATCTTCACTCAGGGAGCGATGGAGGTGAAGGGCTGTAGGAAATTAAGGCTGTGTTCGCGGTGGACGCCGCCGTCGGGGACTTTGGGGTTTATGGTGCCATTAGTGGCGGTTCTGGTGGTGGTGGTTTTGGTGGGGTTGAAGACGCCGAACTGGCTGATTGCCTCCAATTGGAATTGGGGTGCTTCTGCAATTCCTGGCGGCGAAATGAATCGCTCGGCGACGAGCTCGCCGCCGGCGGCGGAAGGCGGCGCCTTCAGTTCCGAGATGAAACAGTCGGTTACCGGCGGCGGAAGACACGAGGTGCACCTGGATTCTCTCAATTTTCACGGCGCCGCCTCGCCGCCGCCCGAGGTTGTGACACCTTTAAGGGTTTTTGGTTTTTATTTTTTATTTTTTTATTGTTTCCTAATCTGAAATCTTCTACAACGGTCCTCCGATTGCATGTGCAGAAAATAGGGGATTCACCAAACTCAACAAACCCTTCCAACACATCGTCATCATCACTGTTCAAATTAAGCTCAGAAATCAACAAAAGATCGAATCGATTAGACATTACAGAGGCTCAACTCCAGAAAGCACGTGCTGCAATCCAAGCTGCCAAGAACACCACAGATGGAGCACACGCCCCTTATTACATCCCGACGGGTCCTGTCTATTTGAATCCCTCAGCTTTCCACAGGTCGGCAGCTCATTAATTTCTCATTATAATTGCATGCGAAAACCTTTGTCGAGCGGATTATTACATTAGTAGCTTAACTTGCAACCAGGAGCTATTTGGAAATGGAGAAGAACTTCAAGGTGTACGTCTATGAAGAAGGAGAGCACCCGATTTTCCACAACGGCCCCTGTGGAAGCATTTATTCCATAGAGGGATATTTCATTTATCAGTTGGAGATCTCGAATTTTCGGACAAGAGATCCAAAGAAGGCACACGTCTTCTTCCTGCCATTCAGTGTCGCATCAATCGTTCACTACATATTCGACAGCACTGTCCGGAAGCATCGATGGCGGCCATTGAGAAAGACCGTTAAGGATTACGTTGATCTCGTGGCAAGAAAATATCCATTCTGGAATATGAGCCTTGGATATGATCATTTCATGCTTTCTTGCCACGATTGGGTATGTATATGTACAATGTAGTCTTGTTATGGACAAAGAGTTTATTCTATCTGTGTCAGAATTTTTCTAATATTAATGACTCTGTTTGGTTGCTTCAGGGGCCTGAGCTTTCGAAGTCTATTCCATGGCTGTCTAAGAACTCGATCCGGGCATTATGCAATGCTAATACAACAGAAGGATTTGAGCCCTTTAAGGATGCGTCAATCCCCGAGATTAATTTGCCCGGCGGCAATATAAAGCGGTTGCTCGGTGGTCCATCACCTTCAACGCGTTCGATTCTTGCATTCTTTGCAGGAGGGCTGCACGGTCCGATTAGGCCAATTCTTCTAGAACATTGGGAGAAAAAAGATCTGGACATTCAGGTTCAGAGATATCTCCCAAAGGATGTCTCTTATTACACAATGTTAAGGAAGAGCAAGTACTGCATTTGCCCGAGCGGCTATGAAGTCGCGAGTCCAAGAATCGTGGAAGCTCTTTACACAGGGTGCGTCCCCGTGATCATCAAAGATCACTACGTGCTTCCTTTCAGCGATGTTCTGAACTGGAAGTCGTTCGCCGTGGAGATTCCGGTGGCTGAGATTCCGAATCTGAAGAAGATTCTGACAGGGATTTCGACACGGCAGTACATACGGATGCAGAGGCGGGGCGTTATTGCAAGACGGCATTTTGAGGTCAATCTCCCTCCGAGGAGTTACGACGTCTTCCACATGATACTGCATTCGGTTTGGCTGAGACGCCTTAATTTTCGGTTGCCTGATGTTAAGGATTTTTGATTACTTCTAACAACATTTATTGATTTTCGAGTATTTCGTTCAAGGATTTCTGCTCTTTATAGCTATTACAGGTAGTTAGTTTCTCAAACTTTCTTACCACCTGAATCAATCCTAAAAGAAAGAAAGCTGATGGTAATGAACAGACAAAAACAGGTAGTAGTAGTAGTATACCACATTTCTATATAGAACTTTCTAAACATAATTGCCATTCATTCTGTGTCGTGAAGCTGAATGTTGATTCTTCTAAGCCATATCGAATGGAGTATCATGTGAAAGACGTCGTATCGTTTGGGAGGAAAATTGACTTCAAAGTGTCGTCTCACAATAGTCCCTGTTTCTTGCATTGCACCATACTTATCCGCAGGAATAGCCGTTAGAATGTTCTTCAAGTCCGGAATTTCCTTGGACCGAACATCCACGGCGAATGTGGTCCAATCCAAGACATCATCGAATGGCTTGGCATAATTGTCCTTAAGTAGCACGGGAACACATCCCGTGTAGAGGGCCTCGACCATTCTCGGGCTAGCGACTTCCCAACCGCTCGGACAAATGCAGAACTTGCTTTTTCTAAACATGTCATAATAGGACATATCTTTGGGCAAGTAGTCGTGGACTTGCACGTCCGGGTCATTGTCCTTCCAATGTTCCATGAGGACTTGTCTTATGTCGCCGTGGACGCCTCCTGCATAGAACACTAAAATCGACCGTTTCGACGCAGGCGGTCCGCCAATTAAGCCATCCATTGTTCCGTCGGGTAAATATATCTCCGGCATCGAGACGTCCGTCGACGGCTTGAATCCTTCCGAAGTGTTGGCATTGCATAGAACTCTGATCGTGTTCTTGAACATTTGCGGCACGCCGTGGGAGATCGTCGGAGCCTGCGGCGTAAATTTCGACTACTTAGAAGAGGAATGTGTTAAAGGTGGAGACAGAAAATGGATGAAGAGCATCACACCCAATCATGACAGGCGAGGAGGAAATGGTCGTGTCCTGAAGTTCGATTCCAGTAAGGATACTTTGTGGAGATGAGTTTGATGTAGTCCCTGGCTATGTCTTGCAATGGAGTCCATTCTCGGTTGTGGATGACGTAAGCGTAGCTAGCGATGGACTGCACGCTTAAAGGGAGGAAGTAAACGTGGGCCTTTCGAGGATCGGTTGTGCGAAATTTGCTGATCTCAATTTGGTGCATGAGGATGCCCTCAATCCCTAAAATTCCTAAGCTGTTGCTGTAATGAAATAGTGGTGGCTCTCCTTCCTCGTACACGTAGAGCTTGAAGAGCTTCTCCATCTCCAGATAACTCCTGTGTACGGAAATAACTTGAGTGGTCTGAACTCTGAAGGGGACATCGATTGAACAGATGGATTTGGGGAGTGATGAATTAAGACCTGTGGAAAGCAACTGCGTTCCTGTAAAATGAACCTGTGGGGATGTAATCGGGATCGTACGATGATTCGTTGTTCTGCCTGGCCAGGTGGATGGCGGCTCGGGCTCGGGCAAGGCTTGCCTCAACAGTGTCCAGATTCTCTTCTCTCTGAAACAATCTCGTGTTCTTCGAAATCTGGAAAAACAGAGGAATAATATATAGGGCTAAAAAAAAGGTTATGCCACTACATCAAACAGTTCTTAATCTTACCGGTGAGTGATCCTCCTTCCCGCCGCCGCCGCCGCCGGCGGCGGTGGCGGGAGTGGGATTTGAATTCCCCTTACGGCGAGGTTCTGGCCAGGATAAACTTCTTGAAGTTTTCTGATTAAATGCAAGCAGTAGCCCAGACAGTAAAATCAATGGAATTACCACGAAGTACACAAGCTTCGAGGAAGATGATGAAGAGAACGACGGCGAATCAGCCATGGCAATTTTTTTTTTTTTTAAAAAAAGAATCTTGCCCTTCTTCTTCAATTCTTTCTTCTTTGATTCTTTCTGAGTTATCAAGATTCAAGAATGGAGTCAATCCTAGACGAATGAACTGTTTATCCTTCGAACAAAGAGATTCTCAAATACACAAATTTCTTGGGAAATCGGAATAGCGAAAGCAGCAAATAACAAGTTCAAGCTTCCCCAAATCTCCCATATCTTCCCCAGTGTGTCGATTCATTAAAAACAAACTTTTGACTCTGCCAGCTTAACCACAGGATCAGAGAAACGAGAATGTGCAGTGCAGTGATGGCCAAACCACCTGCTGCAGCTTTTTCAAGAAGTATCGCATTTATCATTTTATTGCCACATTTGAAATTATTTACCTAAACAGGAGGATGAAATCAAATCACATAATACAATTACCCTTTTTTTAAAAAAATAACATACAGTAATATTCTATTTACGGGATCACGGCTCCTTTTTCCCCTTCTCTTTGTGGGTTTTCTTTTTTTATCAATCCACTTTTTTTTTCTTTTTTTTTTTTACTATTATAATGCTAGTAAAGTTGTCGATGCCATATTTTACTGAACCGGTAACTTTTTGTGTATATGTTTTATATGGATCTGAAATAAACGTAGCGTGACGTGGAAGGCTCGGCGTATGCCCCACCGGCCACCGGAGTGGATCCCGCCGGAAGACTCGTACGGTGCCCCATGTGCTTTCGTTGTCGTTTTCTTAAATTGGGCCGATTATATATTATAGCCTATAGGCCAATTATCGTTTTATTGGGCCCATTATATATTTGTAGGCCCAAATATCACGCTCACATTCCATTCCTTCCACTTTTCTAATCTAATTTGTAATTCAATCAAACAAAAATTAATTTTCTCACCAGAAAAGGTGAAAACATACATGATAGTCTTAATGAGAGATTTAACTGAAATTGTGTTACAATCCAACGATTCTTGGCCACTCATCAATAAAGGAGTATCATCCCAATCATTAAAGACGCCGTGCATCTCCGTTACTCTATATTGCGGCGGACCACATTTCTGACGTCACCCCGTAACGCCGTTTAAATCCTGCCGTCATAAGTGTACAGCAATCATTATGCTTGGGACTATCTTAATTAGTAACTATACTCTATAAAAGTATATAACTTTATATACAAATTCATTTTGTGCATTTTATATTTAAGAATTATTTAGCCAGAATATGTTGCTCGACACCGTACTTAGATAAAAATTATTATCGTTGGTTGGTGGATAGAAAATCCTTAAAAATTATTGATAGATTCGAAAGGAATATCTGTTGAATGAAAAACCGGAGTTTTTTTAATTTAATAAATTAATATTAATAATATATTATGATATGATTTGTCCGTTCTGCAATCTATCCAGCTGTAACAGTATACACGTGCCCCAACATGTGCCTTGATTCTATTCATTCGCAATCCCTGCAAACAACTTGTTGGGTGGGTGCCTGACGTTCCTCGGCGACGCCATTATTGGTGGTGGCAAAACCTAGCGGTGGTTGCGGCGTGGGAACTCGGAGGAGCTGTGACGGCCATGGCTTCCAAGGCGCTATTGGTGTATATGCTCGTTGGATTCTCGCTGGCTGTTGTATCCGTTCATTTTGTTGACAACTACGCACGTCGCGATTCCACGAAGCCGTCGCTTCTTTTGTTTTCGCGTACGAGTGGTTTGGAACAGAATAATGGATCCGACGATAAAGTTTGGCCTGTGAGTTTGTGGTTTATTTCCGTCGTCGATTGTTACGTGCATTCTGTAATTTCCGAACGTTTGTGTGTGTGATTGTGGTGTAGTTATGCTGAAGTTGGACAAGCCATTGGCTTGGTTTTCTTTATGGAATTATACAGGAATTGAAGTTTAGTTGGAAAGTTGTTTGTGCCACAGTGATAGGGTTTTTAGGTTCGGCATGCGGGACTGTGGGTGGAGTTGGAGGAGGCGGCATTTTTGTCCCTATGTTGGTTCTCATTGTTGGCTTTGATACGAAGTCTGCTGCTGCTATTTCCAAGTGTAAGGGTTAATCATTCTTGGTCACTTGCTTTACAGATTCAAGTTTTGGATAGGAGACTAGTTGGATCTCTGTAGTATGGATTTGATGAAACGTGTTGCATATAAAATTTTCGCTTGCTTTATGAGGTAACTATGATAGAATATTGAATTTGTTTTTGCTCTCAATCAGGCATGATAATGGGGGCATCGGCTTCATCTGTTTGGTACAACTTGAGAGTGCCGCATCCTTGCAGAGAAGTGCCAATAATTGACTACGATTTGGCTCTTCTGTTCCAGCCAATGCTTATGCTCGGGATCACCATTGGTGTAGCTTTGAGTGTCGTCTTCCCGTATTGGCTCATCACGATCTTAATCATAATTCTGTTTATGGGTCAGTACTACTCTTGTTTCTCATCACGCATTACCTTCTATGACGGTTGCTTTTTCCTTATCTTATAAGATATAGTTGGTGAGAGTTTGATTGATTGTATGAGTTTGCCAATGTTTCTAAATGGCTGATGTGACTTGTATAAGTATGTTCGTTGTTACTCAACAGGGACTTCGACAAGGTCCTTTGTGAAGGCAAGTGAGATGTGGAAGGAAGAATCTATGTTGAAGGTCAGTTGCCTTTAGTTGCAATGTCTGACCCTAACTGTGTATGGTTTAGCCTCAAGTTGGAAGTTCAAGGATAACAGGACTTCATGGTTTATATTCTTCAACCGTGATTGGATTTAAAATTGACTCCTGTTTAGTTACATTATCACCATCATTCTCATTTAATACTTTTGGCTTGCAGAATGCTATGGAAGATAAACGAACATTTGTTAATTCTCGTGGAGAGTGTAAGTAGAGTCATCACTGCATTTTCGTTGGGTTCCAATTTGGTGAAAAGTGCTAACTTCCCTTTTTATTTACAGTGCTAATTGATACTGAGTATGACCCTTTGGTTCCCAGACAGGAGAAAACACCTATGGTCAGTACATTTTTTATTTCTTGTATTACCTTTTTTACCCTTTCATCTGTCAATTAGCATTGTTAAGTGCTTCACATTATATATTTCAGCAAATTATGAAGGACAACCTTAATATCAAAAGACTGCTGGTGCTGCTGCTTGTTTGGGTTTGCTTCTTGCTTCTTCAAGTGACCAAGGCAAGCAACATTACCTATTTACCCTTTCTTAGGTTGAGTTAAATAATATCATCCCTTGTTTTGAAATATGGAATTGGTTTGCAGAATTACACGGCAGCTTGTACTACAATATATTGGGTGCTTACCTTGGCCGAGGTACATGTTTTGAGGAACTAGTTCCTTTTCCATATGCTTGAAGTGGATGAATAATACATTCTCTAAGCTCGATCTCCTGTCCCTGCTTCTTAGGTCCCAGTTGCTCTTGCTGTGTTTGGTTATGAATTTGTTAAGCTATACAGGGAAAGCAAGAAAAGGAGAATGGAAGGAAACCAAGAGCTCATATGTGAGGCAGCCATACAATGGACCGCCACGAATCTTGTGTTCTGTGGCCTTTGTGGTATCTTAGGAGGCAGCGTTGGTGGCTTGTTGGGTTCAGGTGGTGGTTTCATTCTTGGCCCTCTCCTACTTGAAATTGGGGTCATTCCTCAGGTACATTGTGTGATTTGCTATGGACCTTTTAACTGCGGATCATTCATTAGCTTGAATCGCCTGCCTTGATTCTAGCAGCCTAATATTGATACTTCGATGTGAGAATTTTATACTACCTCTACACTGCAGGTGGCAAGCGCGACAGCAACTTTTGTTATGATGTTTTCATCATCATTATCAGTGGTGGAATTTTATCTTCACAAAAGGTTTCCCATCCCATATGGTATAACTCCAAATTTCTAGTGTCAGCCATTCGACGAACATATGAGGCGTGACCTATTGGCCTCGTTGCTTAAATGTGCTTTTGTTCCTTTCCCTCTAATTCGTGTTTCTGTTTCTGCTTAAAAAGCTTCATAGATAGGAACAATTCAAGAAATGTTGTTTAAGACAAGTTTTTTCTTTTGCAGCTGTATACCTGATGTGCGTGTCAGTGTTGGCTGGCTTCTGGGGACAATATTTCATTAGAAAGTTAATTGCGATCCTGAAAAGGGCATCAATCATCGTCTTTGTTCTTGCTGGGGTCATCTTTGCCAGTGCTCTCACCATGGGTAAATTATGAATCAAGTCCATCATTATTCTACCCTTGCATACAGTGTCTAAAATCTCCCTCCCCTGTCTGCCCCTGCCATTGCAGGTGTTGTTGGAATAGAGCGAAGCATCAAGATGATCCACAACCATGAGTTCATGGGATTCCTGGATTTCTGCAGCAACCAATAATATAGCCAGCAATATCCATCAGGAGTGATCGTAAAAGACAGCACAAAGGGTTCCATGTCAATGCCTGGTTGACCTGCCTCCCCTTTTGTGCTGGCAGCGTATTGTATTGTACATAATGGTGAAGGTGATGCCAATGCCTAATTATTATTATTATTATGATTGTTATTATTATTGTATAATAGCATTCTAGAATTCATATTATATTTGTATGGTATATGTGAATGTGCACTAGGTGGCTATTGTGTTAGCTATCGCTAACACCACCACATCAGAAAAAATAAAAAGATTGTTGATATTCTTATCTTAACCTTTTAGTATTTGCTTCATTTGCAATGTTCTTTCTTTATTCTTTTTTGGGTCGATGTAATGTAAATAGGACCCTTTTCAGGACATACAAACCCAAAATCTCCTCGGACATTCTTGGATTGATGACATTCTTGAAAAGGTAGATACCCTTATGGATCCTCGTGATCCGTTAGCCAAGCCCATTTAAGTAATAAATTCCTTTGCTTTTCAAACAAGTGGTTAGGTTACCATGTATGGGGCTAAGAAAAAGAACATGGCTTTGAAGATATTAAATTTTCCCCATTTCGTTTAAATTTTCATCTGTAAATGAAACGGCTACAAGGCAATAATACGAGGGTAATTACAGATTCAGCATAGCCCACACCTACTAATTATTTTAAACAATTCAATTATCAATCAACCAGTTTTAATAATTCAACCTATAGCTAGAGCCAAACCAAATTGCTAATTCAGCTAGGGACTAATTAGTCCAGACACTAGCAAAGACTACATAAAATTGAATCTTTTTTAAACCAATTTTATCCATAAAGTTGAAAACTTTATAAAAACAAAGCTCCTCCTATCGCCATAAACTAAAAATCAAAGAAATCGAAGCACAAAACAAGCAGATAAATATATTAAGTAGTTCAATATAAAATATCATCAGAAACTCTCTATCAGTCAATAAAAGGGTCTAGAAATTAAACAGTACATACTCTTTCCCTATCTATAAGATCTCAGCAAGAACTTAAACTTAATAAATAACGTCACTCTCTGCCACTGAACAGCTGCTTTCACCTACAAACAAACAGCAGTAACTTTTAGTTTGTTAATTTAAGCCCTAAACGAACTAATTAAAGATATACAAACATCTAGCATGCAGATTTAATCATCATCATCTTCCATGATCGGATTCAAGGACAAGAAGGCATAGAAGCAGCAGCAGCAGCAGCCCAACTGTAGGGAGTCATCATGGCAGCTGGATTGTAGTCTTCCACGTTCAAAACATAGTTGCTGCACTCCCCAATTTGATTGCTAAGATTATTATTATTATTGTTGTTGATATTGTTATCAGTCTTGTCCAAGCTTGGAATGGATGTGCTCTCCACTGTTTCTTCCCCAGAGACTTCTGTGTACCCAGTAAACACTTGCTTCTTGCTCACCTGATCCTTGAGTATTGCCCTCAATGCAATGACCTAATCAAATTCCATCAGACAATAAAGGAACAGTAAAAGTCACGCAAAGAATTTGTTATAATGTTTACCACATTAGGTCATTATCTAATTATATTCATGTATCAGACAAAAACCCTAAAAAGATGCTGCAGTGTTGGTTTTTAACTTTGGACGAAAACGACATGTGAAGTTAGTGTTCCCCTCCCCTCCCCTTCCCTTAACTCGATCGTGCCAAAATTTGAAAGTTTGAAACATATATGCAGGCAGGCAGGTAGGCAGATTTCCCTTTTGGCCATTGAAAATTGAAATTGCTGTTTCTATGTTAGGGTAAGGGGAACCTGGCAGAGATATAACTTCTATGGCAGACATTTGCTTTCAAATGGCTACATTATATATATATATATATATATTTGGTTCGAAAGAGATTCATCAAAAGAGGCCTCCCCGATGATAAATATTTGTGTAGGCCAGTTTCATAAATAAGTTAGTGGCTTTTTTTCATATCCAACAGCTTCCAGGTTTTTTAATAGCCAGCAAATATTAAATGTAAGCATAAATGGTATGTCTGTGTCGTACCTCACAGTGAAAACCTAGAATTTGAAATAATAATAATAATGACGATAATAATTATCAATAAATTAATGAACAAGGGTTGATGATAAGACTGGTGGTGATTAAGGTGGAGGAAAGTACAAGTAATTAAGCGGTAGGTACATACCTCTTGCTGCAGCTTCTGCTTCTCCCTGGAAACAGCGTCGTACTCCTGTTTAAGCGCTTCGTACAAGCGCTCAAGCTGCTTTCCCTTCCACCGTGCCCGGCGGTTCTGGAACCAGACGGCGATCTGGCGCGGCTGCAGGCCGAGTTCCTTAGCCAGCTTCATTTTCCGGTCGGGGTCCAGCTTGATTTCCTCCTGGAAACTGTTTTCCAGCAACTCCAACTGCTCGGTGCTGAGCTTTTTCTTCTTGGGATCCTGACCGTAGATCATGTTCATACTGGCGTTGTTCTTGTCTGTGAGAGATGTTGGCAGCATTGTGTGCTGTGCTGTCTGCATCGATGCCTGCTTCATCTCCAAACCTCCTGCAAAGTGTAATTTTTTTTTTTAATTTTAGTAGAAGAAATTAAATACGAGACGAGTGTGAGAGAGTATCTGGAGAAAAAGTAAAAAAGCAGGTGGTGGTAATCAGAAAGTAGGCATGCAAGACAAAATATCTGATTAAAGACGATGATCGATGATCATGGGAGATGATAGTAGTACGGGTTTGTCAGACCAGCAGCAAAGGAAAAAACAAAACGAAAAAAAAAAAAAATACATCCACGGGAGGAAACCTAATTATATTGCTGGAAAAGCATCGAAATAATTTAACAGTTAGATTCGATCGACGTTCTTTTTCCTGAAATCACAGCAGCAAAATGCTACTGAAGAAGTTGGAACCTATCTACACCTCCTTCTGTTTGATTAGGGTTTCACGAAAACCCTTGATTTGGGATCATGGAATCATAGAATAATTGCTGAAACTTAAAATGGAAATTAAAGATTGATTGATATGAGAAGTGTACCTGAAAACTGATGATCGTAAGTGTAGTTGTAGAGAAAGCTTAAGGAATTCTCAGCAGGTCGAGAGACGAAAGGAACCCTAAAATTCCCATTCCAATCCATGCTGATTAGCTTTGTGGCTTTGCCCACCTGATCCTTTTCTTCCAAGAGAATTGATATATATATATATATATAATATTGTTGCAATTCAATTCCTCCGATGATCCTCTGATATATGAGTACTGAATAGCGAATACAAGTATATCTATGTATGCATGTATCTGTATATATATATATATATATATGACAGCAGAAGCAGAATGAATGGTGTGTTGGAAACAAGCTAAGGTGAAGGCTATGCTAAGCAGAAGACAACAACAACTATGGAGGAAGAAGGGCTTTTGGAAGCAGCTTTTCTTAGTTAGAATAATACATACATATATATATATGTATATGTATGTGTGTAGGTATGAATAGAGAGGGGGTGAAGGTGTGGGGGTGGGGGGGCGCAGGCAGGCAGGGAAAGGGAAGGGTGGCTTTTGTAAGGCTGGGAAGAGGGAAGGGATCTCTCTCTCTCTCTGTCTCTCTTTCTCTCACTCTAGAATTCTCTCTCTGCCCCTAACTTTGGATGCAACTAATAAATACTGGTGTAGCAGCAGCCAGCTACCATGCCATTCCAATTGCCATTGCCACTCCCACTCCCACTAATACTACACATATACATATAAATACATACATACATATATATATTGAATACATGTCTTTATTATTTATTAGAGTGTTTAAGATTGAGTGTGCTGCGTGTATGTCGGTTGGGTGAGAAGTGATGAGATCACAGAGTAAATACAATACATTTTACATATACATATATATATATATCATACATATATATATATATATGCAGTGTAGAGGTCGCGATCGATCCATCTGGTCCCGATTCTCAACCCCCTTCCCTAGATATGCCACTGACATTCTGCCTCCCCCTTTCTCACGCTACCTTATTATTTCGAGCTCCAGGGACCCCAACTCCCACTCCCACACCATCATCATCCCTCAATGCTCTGGAGTGTAGGCCCCGGATCAGGACATCAGGAATTAAGATCACACCAACAATATATACATACATATATATATATATATAATAACCTAACATCTCTCTGAGGATCGAATTGAAGTTCTTCTTTCTTTGTTCCTGTTCCCCCCTTTACGTGCACCGTCTGCTATTTTTTTACCCTTTTTTTCTCTTCTTCAGTCCTCATCCTCGTTTCTTTGTGATATATATATATATACATATATATTCTTCATATCATCATGATTAATACATGAGACTCAAATATCAAATTTACATAAAAACAAACACACACACACACACTAGTAGATCCTAACGGCTGCATTATATTCTGATTGATTTCTAAAATTAACTACTACTTTTTCACTGGGAAGCTGCCCCCAGGAGGGGAGGCCCCTTCTCTGCACTGCACTATGATCGTATTCTTCTTCTTATTATTATTATTATTGTGAGCATGCATATATATATATATATATATGTTTGATATGGTGTCCTCTTAAGATGGAAAATGGGATCAGTACACATAGAGTTGCAGGTCTCAGCAGTATCAGTAAACGACAAGTTTTAAGAAAAAAGCACAAGATCAGAAAAAAGAAAGTTTAATTGAATCCTGGTTTACATGTATATACATATATATGCATGGTTTGAGTTTTGGTTTGCCTGTATTAAAGTAAAGCTGGAATCAACCTTCCCTCTCACTGCAATGGCATTTAATGAATTTGATTCCAATTCAGTGATCCAATAAGAACAAACCCAACCATTAATTAGATGATGCCATATGACAAATACAGAACTCATCATCCATCTTATGTACCTCCTGTATTTTACTTTTCTTTTTCAAAAAAAATATATATTATTATTATTATTATTATTATTGAGATTTGCATCTTAACCCCTGTACTTTTGGATTTTGCCAGTGAAGCTCATGCATGTGCCACACTAATTAATTAGCTAGAAGCTATATATATTTATATATATATATATATATTACTAACCACCTCATTTAATTTATAAAACCTATTATTTAATTTACCAAACTCTTGTTGCCTTTGACTCTCACCTAACATTTTTCAAAAACTTTTCATGGAAGTAACTGTTACTAATCTCTTGATAATGACATTATAAATCTTGAGAGAATACTTTTATTTTTTTGAATCAATTAATAAAGTTGAGTTAGTGCAGAATTTAGAGAGAGTATTTATCTGACAAAGTTAATTTGGGCCCGAATTTTAATTTTCAAAATTAATGAAGACGAAGATGTAAAATAGGATGGGTACTTTTTCTGCCAACCAATTCTTCTGCAGCTTCAATAGCAAATTAAATAATTGTCCAGTTGTCCTATTGAACTAACAAAATTTAGGGTCAAGTTGATGATTCCTGAATGTGTGTGTAGAACTTTGAAATTTCCATACCAAGAAAGTTCAAATAATTTGGCAAATTCGTAATGATTGGAGAGGAAATATTTTCTTTATTTTCTAAATGGTAGCCGTAAAGGAAACCTCTCTTCACCCAAATATAGATAAAGCCATAAATAAAGTTGCCCTTAATTTCCACAATATTTAATAAATAAAATAAAATAAAAATTTGCCTCACTTTATTGTCCACCTCAAATCTCAGTTACACGCAGCTGCCTATTTGCACGTTAATTTAATTCACAAATTTATTATCACTCTTCCATATTCAATTTGTTGTAAATATACAGAGACACACACTTCTCTCTTTCTATATATATATATATATATATATTTATAGAGAGAGAGAGAGATAGAGAGGAGAGTAAAAATGGAGTTAAGAGTTTTGTCCGGGATAATAAATATTTCTCCACACAAATAATTACTGCCTCAACCCCCGCAATGAAAGAGAAGAGATAGTTAATAAACATGTTCCTGCAACGTTCATGTCTTGAGTGCTTTGTCCAAAAATCATCATGAAACATGTAAGTAATCCATCACATTAAATAATCTACTGTAAGAGAATATGGGCTGTAGAAAAAATTCAATTAAAACACGCAATCAAGAAAGGACGTGGACAACCAACACCAACGGGCACCGCGGCGTCTAGGATCATATATATATTAGTTGTTCTTAACTAATATATATAGATACATAGATAGATATAGAAGCAAGCATATATATAGGTACACATTGGCTTGGCACCCATCCCTTGTAATAACTGTGTAGTTCAACCAAGGATGCTGCTATCTATCTATGTTGTAATGTATATATGATGTCTCTGTTGTTTCGCAATCGCAGTTGGAATAGCACCGACTGTGTCATAAATTACGCAGACATTAGTAAATGAAGGAGAGTACCTGTTGGAACTTAGCTCCCAACTCCCAACCACATCGGACATACATAAAAATCAGCAAACTGACTCGCCCGCCTCGCAAGCATTTATGATGTCTTTTCCTTCCATGAATCCCTCCCTCCATCAATCCACCTGTTCTTGTTTCTTTCTGATCATCAAACACTGTCAGATCTATGTTAACCAACATTAATTAATTCATGTGATAACAAGAATTATTGCTGTCTATGTCTAATTGCACATTGAAATTTAAATATACCATTCATGTTTGGGATCATCGTCTCCGTTCAATCCAGCTTTCAATAGATAAAAAGTCATGTCAATTCTTCCAAAAGCATAAACCAGAATAGGTGATTGTCAATTCACTTCCATGTGTTGTTTCTTTCATAAGACATGGAATGTGTATATATAGTACATATTAGAGATGTGTCAAAAATAACCAGCCGATTATGTTCCAGGCAGTTCGCCAAATGAAGAAACGATTATTGCTCCATCTGTTGGAGAAAATGTCACATGGAAAAACTTTGATCTTGTAGGGGGTTTTGTTACTTTAGTCTTCCAGTTCTATGATCTTTACAACGGATGCATCCCCTACCTTCTGGCACACCACAACTCGATCGTGTGACTTGATGACTCCAGAGGCTTTTCCGTGATCAAGTGCAACCCTTAGAACCGACTCGTTAGTTGCATTTGTCGACTCAGCCTGAAAGTCAAAGATAGACAATGAATTATATGAAATTCTCTTAGCCGGAGATAGTATCTGGAAAATAAGCAGGTTTTATTTTAGGAAATTTGATCTTCAAATAACTTACTGGATGTCGAGGATCAGCCAGCAGTGGGAAGAGGCCGCGTACTATAAGTGATTGCCTTGCCTGTTGTATCGACAACATGCATTATAGCTTATTAGGAATAATGGCTTTACTAGAGTTAAAAGATCAATATGGAATCCCAGCAAAGCATAAGTGTGTAGCAACAACAACACAGTGAAAAATAATTTCACTTATCTAATAGATCTTTATATGTATTTACTGATTATAAATTACAGAATACGTGCAAATATTCTTTCCACGCCAACTTTTAGATTATGCAGGGAATTCCATTCAATATGTAATCAAGGCATGCATTTACATTCTCAGCTTATAGCCAATGGGTGTGAATTATTATGAGCCAATTCAATGATGTCATCAATTGCATTTTTGGCCAGTATGATGCATAGTACCGTTGTAACTTAAAATAGAATGGATTTGGAAAGTGCATACCTCAAATGCACCACTAAAACTCCATCTCAATTGATTAGACTTGAGACGAGGGATCACAACTGACAAAACAGGCATTGCTGGCCTATACTTCGCTATCAATCTGAATTTAACAGGAAAATAAATGAAATATCGGGATAGAATCAACAAATCAAAGCCATTGAACACACTAAATACAGTGAAACGAGGGCATATAAGACTCTTATATTACCTAGCGGCCCTTCCAGAAGAGGTAAAACATATGATCACAGATGCCTTCACTTTCAGGGCAGCCCGAACCTGAAAAAGAGATGGACAAACATCTTGCTTAAATTTATTTGCTTGAATAAGAACACAAGCTTTTCATCAAGTCATGTTTTCCCTCAACAATTTCTCTCTTCCCATGCTACTTACTGCAGATGATGCAATAGACTCCAAGTGGGTCATTGGTTCACCAACAAATTTTACAGTCCTCTTGAAGTATTGGTCTTGGTTGAAAACCTTCTCGGCCTGCAAAATCATGATATATAGTATGGAAGTTCTGTTCGATCAATACTTGTCAATTGCCAACTTATTAAATAGTCACTTGAAAAATGACTCCAACAGGGTTCCTAATGTATTATATCCCCTTCTATAAGAAGGGACATTCCCATAAGGTGTCAAAGATCAACGTCATGCCACAAAAATAAAGGTCACACATATTAATAACCTAGTCCACAATTCATTAAAAGCATATAGCATATGGAAATTCACAAATTTTGAAACTTTAACACAGCCTATAAAAAACTAACAAGAATGTCTCCACCTCTTGGATGACAACTGCTAATGTATTCTTACCTCAGCACAAATTTTGCCAACTGTAGAAATAGTTTCAACAGGGTATAATCCTCGTAATGTCTCAGCTCCAAGAAGAATTGCATCGCATCCTGAAATGCATATATAGATGTATATCACAGGTTTGAGCTCACAGATAGCCTTCAATGATCACATGCAATTTATGATGGGAGAACATATATGTATATATATTTACCATCTAAAACAGCATTAGCAACATCAGTTGCCTCCGCACGAGTTGGTCTGAGATTGTCGGTCATGCTATCAACAACACGAGTAACCACAGCTGGCTTACCAGCCATGTTACACTTGTAAACAGCAGATTTTTGAAACAAGAACACCTGCAACCAAAGAGAATCACTAAATATGATTCTAAATAATCAAATTATGAACATTAAGAAATTCAGATAATCAAACTATTGCAAACCAAAGACACCACTTGATAAGCATCAAATGGGAAATTTTCAATTACTACATAACAAACTACCAGAAAGCATAATAATAATAATAATAAATAAATAAAGTGATCTGCAAGTGCTAGTAGTCTGATCACTCAAACTAACATGTGGCAATAAATATATTCTGGAATATTTTAAAAAGGTGTAAAGAAGAAGAAAAATGATCCCATCTGCCTCCTAACATCTAACAATAGCAACTAACCTTCTCGGGAGGTAAATCAATACCAAGATTCCCACGGGAAAGAATGATGCCATCTGCCTCCTGCAGGATCTCATCAAAATGGTTTAACCCCTGCAAGCAGAAAGTGAATGAAAACATAAGCTTGTCAAGTATTGTACAATCTCTATTAGCTGCAAGCTATCATACAGCCAAGCTATTTTCTTCATTCATTTACGATAACATATGGTTTGTAAAATTCACCTCAACATTTTCAATTTTTGCTAAGATTTGAGTCTGACTTAGATCACCTAGTTTGGAGAGATATTCCCGAGCCTGAATCAACAAATCCGTCAAGAAGTCAATTAGGAAAAGAATAACAGCACATCATCTATATTATAAACTAAGAACAAAAAATTTTTAAAAAAAAATGCCTCCTTTTTCCCACGGTACCTCACGAACATCTTCTGCATGGCGTGTATAAGACAATGAAAGAAAATCAATTTTGTTTATAACACCCCATGAGCTGATTACCTGAAATAAACTAGATACGTTACAATAAGCAATAAATGTATCAGGTGAAACATACACCCATAGATGATTAGTTTCAAGATAGGTTCAAAGAACAAATAATAAAGACAACAATTAAGAAGAAAAAATGCATTAGGCCTAGAATAGTGAAAGGAAGAATTTTTCTTCGTTTGTTCTTCCTGGCATTATGCCGGTCCTTAGCTACCATACAGATAGAACCAAGTTACTGCTAAAAAAATTTCTCTTCATGAACTCACCATACTATAAGTTTCTCTCAATCACTTCAATGGTTAAATCTGAATCACATAAAATACATATATATATATATATATATTATGTTTAATTTCTGTTATTTTCTGATGTGTATATCTTCTATTACATACCAATAGTGAAAGCCAGGTTGTAGACCTAATACTACTGCATCCACTAGTCAGTCAAAAAGCCAACCTCACACTGACACGAGATAGCGAACCATCAAAGTATACAGAGGCATGTTTCCAATATTCACCTGCTTATCCTTCTCAGATAGAGTGGGCAGATCAATACGAACTTGTGATGCGTGCAATGTAAACAATGATCCAGCCAATGTTGCTGAATTCTTGACTACACAAATTATGTCATCGCCGTTCACTTCATTTACCTGCCCAACCAAAAAGATTAGTATGCAACAACAGGTTAAGAAGCTGCTTACTTGATCACATGTTAAGGGAAACAGAGAAAACTTTGTATTGTTGTTCAATCATTGAAATCATATTAGAGAAAGGTGGAACAGAGTGTAACTAGATGTTTCATATTAAAACTATACGCTTCAATGGATGCAACAAATAGAAAGACCATATGTATGAAAACACAATGATAAAGTGGAAACAAGTAAATAACCGAATCACTTGGGAGTTGGACTCAGAATACCTCAAGCCAAACAGATGTAGTTTCACTTCCTGTAAAGAGGTATTGACCAATAAATATGGTGTCTCCTTTCTTCACTGCCTGCAAGTATATCAGATATAATGAGAAAGGTTAACTAGTATCAACTACCAGGAACACTGTTAGACACTGAAAATGGTAATTTTGACTCCATGTATACTTATGAATGATTTGGTGTACGTCAGTGCGCAAACATGTCATGCCAGCACCTAATTCATGAATCAAGTCTGTTATTATACAGGTACACTTAAGTATTGGAATTACGATTTGTCCTAAAGAGTTATATTCCTTTAAATGCGAATGAAAGATGGGATTGCAAGAACATATAATGCAGTAGAGTACTCATAAATCGAATGTGTTTTTCAATATTTGTTAAGACGAGAAAAGACATCCAAGCATTTTCTGAGTCTAGATACTTCCTTTGAATGAGGCACTCCTCCTCTGAGTGAACAATTTGAATCAAGTCTCTTTGTGAATACTTTGGTTAAATTCACAACTTCCAAGATAAAATTGAATCCTCATGCGTCTTAAAAATTATCACTATCCACTACCATATACACTCATTAAGTAGTTTATATAGAGGTCAATTCCAGTATTAATATTTTATCTCAAGAAAACCATGAAAAAAATATGGCTATGTATGTATAAACCTTGGCGAGTCCAGCAAAGTTGATAGGCAAAACTTCAGAAGAAGCTTCTTGACCTTGGTCAGGTGTCAGAGTTACATTGTCATCGGCCTTGAGAGTAATTGCCTTCTCGCTTTTATTAACCACCTGTAACTCAGGGCCCACCGTATCCAGCATGACCTACAAGAACAGAAACTAAAAAATAAGAAGAAAGAAACAAAGAAACAAATTCATAGACCACGTTGTTCGTTTATACAGACAAAAAAAGTCGATTTCCAAAACATTGTTGGAAGAGCAACACTTCACTTTCCAAACATAACATTAACCCCTAATTTTGCAACGCTGTTAAGGAAAATGGACCTCATGATAATCATTAACAATAAACGGGAAATTCACAAGTTCACTACGAAAGAATCCAGTGAAACACATACAGCACAAAGTTTCTTAGAGCTCTTAACAGCAGCCTTCAAATTCTCCAGAGTTGCCTGATGATACTCGGCATCGCCCCATGAAAAATCAAATCTTGCCACTGCAGGGTTAATAATATAAATTAATAAATACATAAATAAAAATCGAGAGAGGGAATAACCAAAAAATTACGAAATACAGAGAAAAATACGAGACACCACTTACCAGATAGTCCAGCCTTTAAACAAGAAGAAATAACTTCAGCAGATCGAGAACGCGGGCCCAACGTGCCGACGATCTTCGTCATCGCCGGGAAGAAACTCTGCATCCGATCACACAAGATTACTCATCGGAGCACAAAACACTAGTGCAAATACAATAACTATCATACGAACAGAGAAGCAAGTCGCAAAAACCCTAGCACAGCATAAAAATCTTAAAAGAAAAAGGCGAAGCAATAAACAAAAAAACCCACCGCTTTGGATGGCTCCAGAATGGTTGCCATCCTGATCGGTTCCTCGAGTAGAAGATGACTGGAATGCATTGTCAAGTGATTACAGATTCCGACTGACTCCTCGTCCGGGATGAAATCGAATGGTAGAAACTAGAAACTCTCCTCGTTGCGTTGCTCTTTGGCCTTCACAGAGACGAAAAGCCAAAGCCAAAGCCAAAGCGAGGGTCAGAGTAAAACCACTTTCCGAGCGCAAGAATATAGGGAAGGATTTGTTTCCTCTCTCGACTGTTTTCCACGACTTTCATCAGTTCATGTGTGGAGATTTTTATTCATCATTTAAAAAAAAAAATTTTAAAAATATATGTATTACTATAATTTAAATATTTTTTTTATATATATATAAAATATCTCAATAAAATTATTTTTAAAATTTTTAAAACTTACAAAAGTTCTATGCAAACTACTAACAAAATAAAATAATTAATGAAATTTTCCTTATAGATAGCTTTATAAAGGAAAAATAGGTTAAGGACCGGAATATGGCATATCCCATGAAGTGTGTGCCACGCGTCATAGCGCGTGTGGGCAAACTCAATTGTGGGAAATTAGAAATATATGCTCAATATTAATCACAAAGTGGCCAAAACCTATCTGCAATTAAATTCGGGAATTTGAATTTTGAGTGAATAATAAAAATTTTGAATTTAAATAGTTATACGATGTGATATAAATAGGTACTGATGATGTGATATTTTTAATATAAAATTAATTTTTAGTATAATATAAAAAATTAAAAAATAAATTTTTAATTTAGTATTAAAAAAAAATGAATAATATATTTGAAGAAAAATTCACCAAACAAACAAACTCTAAATGATCAAGTAAACTTCCCTCTCTCTATTCCATTTTATAAAAAAGAAAACATTCAATACTATGAACAAACCGTCCCTCAAAATCCAATCAAGGCGTCACGCAATGTTACAAAAAATTAAATATATAAATATATTTACATTTTACAATGTTATTTGTTCGATGTTTGAATTTTGAGTTGGAATTTGAATATTAAAAATTTTAAATTTGAATAATTGTACGATGTGATATAAATAGGTATTGATGTGATTTTTTTGATGAAAAATTAATTTTTAGTATAATATAAAAAATGAAAAATAGTTGTTTAATTTTATATTTTAAAAAAAATAAAATTAGATGAATAGTATAAATCCAATTCTCAAACAAACAAACCGTTAGATTATTAATATCATTGGCAGTCATACTTTTCTCCGCATGACTTTTCTTTTTTCTCTTCGTTGCCCGGCATTTAATTTATACTATTAATTAGAAAGTTCAATTACATTGATCATAGTACTAATACAATTAATCAAACTTAATTTAAAATTTGCGTCCTAAGCTTCGTTTAGAATGGCGGGGGCCCACTTTCGGCGTGCCCAATTTTTAATATTGATTGATAATGTGTGGGTCCCTCTAAAATAGGGTAGGGTTGGCGTGGTTGACTTAAGTAAGTGTCGTGGACTCTCCAACAACATTATTGTGCAAGCATTGCATACATATGCACGCGGACAAGCAGAATCCGAGGAGGAAAGACTATTTACATATGTCAATTTGTCCATGCAAATTTAGAATTTGAAGACAGGCCAATTCCCACAAAACTACTGCAATGACAAAATAAAACTGATGATGGAACGAAAGGAACATAATAGGAATCGATGAATCCCTCAAACTACACTTGCTTACTAGTTAGTCAGTAGTAGTGCAAGAATAACAAACAATTAACACATATCATCTTCTCAACACAATTGACGCACAAACTGCATTCCAAAAAAACAAGTGGATGAACAAACTCATCCATCAGAAAGCCTCCTCCGTGGTGGCCAGCGACGGCGAGAGCGAATTACGCGACTCGTCGTAATCCTCCCCAAGCGGCGACTGCTCCACCCGTATCTCCTCGATCATCTTCACCACTTCCGCCATCGTAGGCCTCTTCTCCGCCTGCGCAGCCACGCAGGCCATCGCTACGTGGAGCGTCGACACCAACTCCTCCTCGATGTTCTTGTACCTCAACAATTCTTTATCGAAAACTTCGGCAGTCCACTCGTCCCGCACCACTGACTGAACCCATTTCGGCAAGTCCATCGACACTTCGTTGTCCTCGTCTTTCGAAGCACGCCGACCGGGCGATCGATGCTCCGAAGGAGCCCTGCCTGTCAGCACCTCAAGAAGAAGAACGCCGAAGCTGTAAACATCCGCCATTTGCGACAGCCTCTTCGTTTCGATCTGCTCCGGCGCCTTGTAGCCTCCCAATCGGGCCACGGCGTGGACTGGGTTCAAGAGCAACGACAACCCGAAATCAGAAATGCAAGCCATTCCATTCTTGTCTAGAAGAACATTCGATGACTTGATATTGCCATGAGGGATTCTTGAAGCTGCGTACTCATGGTGGATTCTTTCCAGCCCCCGAGCAGCCCCTAGAACCAATCCAATCCGCGTTGTCCAATCCAACGGAATTCGACCCGATCCTCGGTTCCCTGTCAGAAATCAATTTCCAATTCATAGATCTTTGCACATTGTTAGAAAAAAGTAACCTTTTTTAATTTTATCTTACCATGAAGAAGTGAATGCAGGCTGCCATTAGGCATATAATCGTAAACGAGCAATTTCTCTTCTCTTGCATAGTAATAAGCTCTGAATCTGACCACATTTGGATGCCGGAGCTTCCCGATCACGTCCATGTACTGCTCGAACTCTGTCCTGGCACAAGGATTTGAATCTTTCAGCCTTTTCACTGCCACTGTACATCCGTCGTCAAGAACAGCCTTGTACACTGTCCCCAGGCTGCCTTTCCCAAGCATCTCGGCTGAAGCTCGGAGAAGATCCTCCAGCTCAAACTGGTTTTTCCTGTCGAAAAACACGAGCTTGCTCTTATCGGTGGCATTGGTGCCATCGCTTTCTGCACCGCCATTGTTGGCGTACACTCGCTTCTCGCTCGAGTAGCTGCTGCTCCTCCTTTTCCCGCCCTCGCTGTCCGCCATGGAACTTGTGTCCTTGGAGTACTTCCCGCAGCAATAGGCGACGGCGAAGGAGGCGATCACTAGTAATAGAACTGAATTCGCCACTGCTACAGCGACAATGGCTCCGTTGCTCAGTTTCTTGTGATGCTTGTTTGATGGATCTTCGATTGTAGCCGGAGTTGTCGCCGGCAAGGAGCTGGGGTTTGACGGCACGGTTTCCGACGCCGACGATGGCGGCTTTCCGGTGTAGGAACATTTGGGGAAAGGGCCGTTCCCGCAGAGGCCTTCGTTGCCGGAAAAACTGGACTCCCCAAATCGGGATATTAAGCTCTTCGACACCTTCCCATACAGCTCGTTGTTAGAAAAATTCAATTCCTTTAGCTGCTGAAACGAATCAAGAAATTTGGGGATTGTCCCGGTGAGCTCGTTATTCTGGAGGTGGAGTGTCATTAACCGAGTAAGATTGGAGAGCTGAGTCGGAATTTCGCCACGGAGGTTGTTGTTCGACAGATCGAGGCGGAGCAGGCGGTGGAGGGCGGCCAATTCGGTCGGTATGTCGCCGGAAAAGTCGTTTTCCGATAGGTAAACGAGCTTCAAGTTCAGACATTGTGCAATGGGCACGAGTGTGCCGTTCAGGCGGTTGCCGCGGAGGTCGAGGAGGCGGAGCTGGTCGAGCGAGGCTAGCGCGTCGACGGGGCCGCGGAGGTTGAGGAACGGCAGCGTGACGGCGGTTACACGGCCGTTGGTGCAGTTAACACCGACCCAATTGGCGGCGCATGCGTCGGAGAGCGCCGCGGTGGTTGTCCAATTTGAGAGAAGCGTGGCGTGCGGATCGGTCTGGGAGCGAAACAGAGAGAGCGCCGCCGTGTCATTACCCGCCTCCGCCGCAGCAACCGGCGCCGGGAGGAAAAAGAATAAGAAAATTGAGAAGAAGAAGAGTTCCATTTGTAAGAATAGAGCGGCAATTGTGTGCATGGGATAAATAAATAAATACTCCTACTAGGAACCCTTATTTGAAAAAAAAAAAAAGACATCTTTAAAAGAAAACAAGACCAGCAAAAGTGGGTTATGATTTGTACTAATGAATGCCAAATTAGAATGATTACAAAGGTGGGTTTTCTTTTTATAAAACCATGATTAATATTAACTAATGAATTAATTTAGTGTGGGAATGAATGATTAAAGAGGGGGTGGGGTGAGGGCATTATGATAGCATGCCTCTAAGCTGTTCTCCATGACAGAAAATGGAGAAATCACTCAAAAAGTGTATGTTTTGTGCAAAGGAAAAGTGGGATGGAATAACAATGAATATGATGGCAAGGAGACAGCCTTTTTTGTGCTTTTAATTACAACAAAACAGCACAGCCTTCAAGAATTCTACAACATTCTTGGATCAATCCTCACCGTCCGTAGCGTTGACCAACGGTGTCGATCATCTCGCACTCATCAGTCAATTAAAATAATTAATTTGACTTGAGCATTGATTGATAATTTAGACATAGCTTTCTTGTTCATTTTATTTATTTGTTTCTTATCCAATAACTTCTATCAATATTATCTCTGTGCTGTGCTTTGTTCTGTTTTCTATTTTTCGAGGGGAATTGTAAAAAGTACAAAGTCAGTATTGAAGTTTCGCTTTCTTTTCCTTTATTGAAATGTTTTTTTGACAGAGGCAATAAGGTTGGTTTGAGTGAGATTGAAGCAAAGCAGTGTTTGGGCAATCCAACACGTACAGGTTAACATGCAATTGCTGTAACATCCACCGACAATAAATTCAACTACTCGAGGCTACACTAACTAGTTGTGTGTGTGTGTGTAATAACATATGATGAACAGAACAGTATGAATTAATAGAGAATGACAGGGAGGCTGGCAGCTTTGGTTCTTGAGCAACAGCAACAGCTGATGGGCCATAACATTAACCGTGCAGTCAAACTGACAAAACAGTTGGTTTAAGATTCTTGCACCCATGCATAATATATGACACCCATCCACCTTCATCAATTTCTTTTCATTGCAATTTATGTCAAAATTAATACTCTTCGCGCATACAATTTTATTTTCACTTTTTATTATTATTATTATTATTATTATTATTATCATTAAGAAATATTTTCATTTTTTTCATAAATTTTTTTAAAAAATTAATATAAAAAAAAAACAAATTTTAAGAAAAGATACACTTACATTAAAATGTGTATCCAAATTTCACTTTTCTTTTAAATTGTCATAAAAACAAGTTCCCATTTTTTAATTAATTAAAAAATACATATCCATGTTAATATTTTGAGAAGGAATTATTTTAATCAATGGGACACAAATAGTATGTAAACCATAGTCGTTACTTTTTGAAAATAGAATTGAACTAACTAGGTAAAGTTGCTAAATAAATTAGGTAGTTCGGCCAAATTAATTTTGACTTGATTGGTTAACTAACATTTCAATTTTATCGTCCTTATACATAGAGATAGACGTGACAAGCTCAAACTCGAAAATTATTATTTCTATAAAAGTGTTGAGCTCGGCTCGATTAGGCTAGCAAGAAGTTTAATTGAGATCATCAATGATAATATATTTGTATCATTTTATACGGTTAATATAACATATATAATTTTTTATGTTAAAATTAATATTTATTGATAAAATTTAAACATTTTATTAAATAAGGTGCAAGTAAATATAAAATATATTTAATTTGTTTATTAAAAATTATTTTTTAAATTAAACCCACACTCAAATTTGAGTTTGAATTTGCGAGCCCAACTCGAGTTTGAGTTGAGTTGAGTTTGAGCAAGTAAATATTAAAAACATATAATGATTATTAAAAATATCTTAAAATTTCATAAGATAATTTAAGTTAATTTTCAAACCCGTCCAATTTAACTAAAAAATAAATGCTAACAATCCTTAACATGGAGCAGTATCGTTAATTATAGAGATATAGGTTCAGTTAATTAGGAGATACATATTGTTGATGTAATTTTTCAACAAAAATAAAGTAAAATTCAAAGATATAGAAAATATCCTTAAACTTGATTAATTAGTGCCTGAGATTAGGAATCTCTAAACACTGTACGGTACAGAAAATAAACTGGAAAATAAAATACTGAAATTTAAAGTGGTGATCCCCAAATCTGACTTTGCTTTGTTGAAGTTGATTGAAGATACCTCGCCAAACGATGATTCAAATCCTTAAATATTCCCTGGGAAACCGTACTGAAAACCGCCACCCGAACGGTTACAACGTCTCCTTCTCAACCGTCTTCCAACCTTTCTCATGCTGACACGTGTCCCCAGCAGACCAAAATTCCCTATATTTCGCTCCTTGAGCCGACCACAAACCTTCCGCTCTTTTGGCCCGACTTCGTCCTTCGTCCGACCTACTTCTTCGCCCGACCCCACTTGGGCCGACCTCCATATCAACCGCCCCCTGTCTTTGATCAAAGGCCTCCGCGTTTGTCCGACTCCGCCTTCTATCCGACCTACAGTTTACCCGACCTGCGGATATCCTATCTCGACAACTTTTCCGTCTCGAAGACCTCCCGACCTGAAGACCCTCCGACTTAAGGTCTCTCCGTCTTGCGGACCTCCCGACCGGAAGACCTTCCGACTTGAGGTCTTTCCGTCTTGCGGATCTCCCGACCTGAAGACCTTCCGACTTGAGGTCTTTCCGTCTTGCGGACCTCCCGACCTGAAGACCTTCCGACTTGAGGTCTTTCCGTCTTGCGGACCTCCCGACCCGAAGACCTTCCGACTTGAGGTCTCTCCGTCTTGCGGACCTCCCGACCGGAAGACCTTCCGACTTGAGGTCTTTCCGTCTTGCGGATCTCCCGACCTGAAGACCGTCCGACTTGAGGTCTCTCCGTCTTGCGGACCTCCCGACCGGAAGACCTTCCGACTTGAAGTCCTTCCGTCCTGAGGACCTACCGACCTGAGAACCTTCCGTCCTGAGGACCTACCGACCTAAAAACCTTCCGTCCTGAGGTCTTTCCGTCCTGAGGACCTACCGACCTGAGGTCCTTCCGTCCTGAATTTTCCTTAGAAATAAATAAATAAATTTATTTTCCTTGATTTCCTCACGGTGTCCTTCAGCCAGTTCAATCAACCCTATTGCCAGGCCCATTCCTCGTTTTACCTTGGGCTTTTAACCTAATTCTAAATTTCGTGCGTAACAACTTGCCCGCCGCCAAGGGACTTTCAAACGCCAATAAATGTTTGGAAGTTCATAAAGCACTACCTTCTTGAAAAACTCCCTTAGCAACTACACCAGTTACTGCAACACTCCTGGTTTATTCCTTCTTCGCAATACGAGCCTGTGTGAATCACAATCCCAAAACATTCTAACTATGGCGAATCAATACATTCCTGCCCTTCCTTTCGACGGAACCCTTCCAGAAGGTCCATTTTCAGCCTCGAAAGTACTAACTCCGACGATCCGTCCATATTGCACTACTCCTGAAGATTCAAATCGGATGAGGGAAGTTTTGGAATCTCGCAACGCCTTGGCTATCAACAATCCCAACTACCAAGCAGTTCGCATCCGAGACAGCATCAAGACCCATCTCACAGACCCAAAAGATCTGTATCGTGCTTGGTATCGACGAGTAGCAGAACACTTCCAGACCCAATGGCGATCCCAAAAGATCGACCAAGCAATACTACTGTCTACCATGCCTATCAACCTGCATGAGAAGGTGCTGTTGGCCATGTCCGCCTTCTGGAATGCGGAAAATGGGACTTTCCTTTTGCCCTCGGCCCCCTTTGGCCCAACCCTTATGGACGTGGCCATGATCGCACATCTCCCAGTCGTGGGTGAAGACCCTGTAATGGGAGCCCTAGATGGGCAGGAGCCACCAGAAGACCATCCGGGATGGTCTTTACAAGGTGTGAAGGAATGGGGTTGGACAAAGTTCGCAACTGACCAGCAAGGGGCCCCAGGGACTCCTGTAACCGACCGGGAGCATACTGCCTTTATTCTATTCTGGCTTTGTAGGTACATCATTGTTTCTCCTTCCAAAAGTGTTCTTCCTTCTCACCTCGACCTGGCCATTCATATTGCGTCAGGTCGGTTCTTCTCCCTTGGCACCCTATTTTTAGCCAATCTGTTCGAAGGACTCACCAGGGTTAGCCTTCGTTTAACAGATAACGATAATAGGAAATTAGACACTGCCGCGTCGGGTCCTTTTTGGTTTTTAGAACTTTGGTTCCGTCTTTATTTCCCCAACGCGTTTAACTTAGGATCTCCGCCCACTATGCCAACATCTGAAAAACATTTAGGATTAGTCCTCAACCGATTCTGCTCAGGACGCAATAAACTCCAATCGTCCGATCCAATAATAACTGCCATTTTAACAGATACCCGCAGTAACTCTCGATTTTCTATGTATAAAAAATATGCGGGTTATGCTCCCGACCATTTTTGGCCTTTTCCAGTACCAAATCCGCTTCCGACTCATGAGCCTTGTCCTCATTCCACTTATCCTTTTGCCTGGGACGTTGCCCTCAAACCCAGGTCTCTTTTTAGTAGCAAAAAACTTGATAAAAAGGGGCAGAAAACCTTTTACACTTTTAATTATGAACCTCAATTCATGGCGCGCCAGTTCGGCTGTTGCCAAGGTATCCCTGGACCCGTCGCATGTCCGCAAATAATTTTTCAAAGCCCTGACCGACGAGTTCTACCGAATTCAATCCCTTCTTATATCTCCCAGCTCACCACGTATATAACTTCCAATTCTTATATTCCCTTCCGCTCCAACCCTGAGACTGTAGAAACATTCAATGAATGGTGGTCGGTTGTATGGCCCCTGATCTCCCCTGATGAGGGTCGGTTGCTGAACATACTCCTTCCCCCCCAAGGATTGGTTCTAGGGGCGGCTAGACATACTAGCACTCAACAACAAACAGCCGCCCCGGGGATCGGGTCTAGTGCTCCAACGCGAAAAAGGAAAGCGTCCCAGCTGCCAACACCCCCGACCTCTAGGACCGACCAGCA